TAAAAATTATAAAAAATAAAAAATACTTTAAATTAATTTTGTATAAAGATTATTAAGCACTTTTATAAAACCGAATAAATTAACAATAAAAAAAATGAAAAAACTATAAATTATATTTGATTAAGTTCATTAAACATACATTTTATTAATTTAATATAAATAATATAAAACACTTAAAAATAAATCTTAATAAAATAAAAAAAATTCTAAATACTATTGATTAAATTTGTCTAAAGAATATAAAACTTTTTCAAAAAGAAGTTTTAAAAATAATTCTTAATAAAATGAAAAAGAAAACTGTTATTGATTACATCTCAAAAATTTTATTTGTGATTTTGTATTAACAACATAAAAGGACGTTTTAAAAATAAGTCTTAAAAATATATCTTATATAATTAAAAATACAAAAAATTATTGATTAAACTTGAAAACTTTTATTGTTTAATTTTGTATTAAGAATAAGTTTTTAAAATTAATCTTAATAAAATACAAAATTGAAGATAAAAAATGAATAAGTTTAGTTCTAATAGAACTCCACTGAGCTTGAGGATTTGACACTACCTAAAAGTCTCAGCAGTGTATATTAGAGCGTCGTCACAATCTTAACATAAATATAATCCTCAATTTTATTTCTTGGAATGTCTCTTTTATTAAACCTACACAATATAAACAATTAGATCCTAAAGCCCAAATATTTTGCCTGCAAGAATTTCAGAGTTATATAATACAATAATCACCAAGGCACTAATTAATTATTGCCATAATTCTGAATCTTAAAACTTTGGAGGAATTATCGCATCATACACGAGTGTTTTGATAAAAAATTGTATTTAATATATATTATTGAAAATAAAGGATTGATTAAAACAAATATGATGAATTATGAATGATTTAATAAAAATTTAACAAATAATTGAGTAAGTAAGAGGCTGAATAATATATTAACTTTAGAATTTAAACGATATTTTTTCTTTATTTTGAATAAAAATATGCATAATTTTTCATAAATATATTTTATTGAAAAATAAATGATTAATTCTCACATTTAATTTAAAAATCTTATATTTAATTAAATATATTAATAGTAAGGGAAATTTTGATTTTGAATTAACAAGCAAAATTACAGTATCGTCTTTAATACAATCTGCTATATTATTGAATTCTTAATAATTATAATTTTATCTTGTTTGCCCTTGTTTTTAATTTTTTCTCATGTAAAAATACCTAAAAAGCAGATGGAATTTAGAAAAAACATTAATGTTAGAAGATTTTTCATATTTGATGTATAACAATATTATAAAAGAAGATTTACAAATTAAAAAAAAAGAATAGTTTAATTAAATTTATTGATAAATGTTTTCCTTATAATTTCAAGGTTTTCGAATACAAATGTATGTTCGTAATGCTTTTCTTCAACTAAAAGCTATAAATTCATTTACTTTAAATCTAAGAAAATATTTCAAAATCATGCTATACAAAATAAAAGAAGAATGCAATAAGGATGATTAGGATTTAGTTTTTTTGTATTATATCAATTTAAATTACGTCTAGTATTGTCTAATGTTCCATTTGAAAAAATTTCGAAAATTTTTAATTATCTCTGAAATAGAATAAAATTTAGATTTACATTTATATGAAAAATAACAAATAATTAAATATTAAATAATGGGCTGTGCATCTACAAGGTCTAAAATAGAAAAAATTAAGCAAGATTTGAAAATAAAGGAAAGACAAGTAGGAAAATTAAATGATGAGCTTGGGAGATTAGATAAATAGATTGAAAAATTGTAAACTGAGGGTAGAGAAGATGAAGTACAATTAAAAGTACAAGGTAAAAATCTATTGATTCATATTTTATTTAAGATTATGAACAAATGAAGAAAGAAAAAACTTTGCTTACAAATGATATTCAGCGTAGAAAAAAGACTTTAAAACAGCTTGAGGAAACTATTAATAAAAATAACAGTCTTATAGATTAAAATGACCTTGATAAAAAATAAATTGATAAGAAAAAATAGCAAGCAGAATACTTAATAGTAAGATAAAAACAGGAGGAAAAGCTTGCAAAAATTGGTGATGCAAACGAAGATTTGATGAATGAAGAAGAAAGATAAGAATAGAATGAATAATAATACAAAAGAGTTCCAAATAGTTAAAAAAGAATAATATAAGAATATCCTCCTCCTAATGCCATGTATTAATTTAAATCATTGGAAACTTAATAAAATAAAATCAATAATCAACCATAAATTCAAAAAGTTTAATCAGGAATTTATAATTGAAAGTTTATGCATTCATATAATTTTCAATATATTTATTCTATTATTAAATCTTTTTAATTAATCTATTTCTTAATTCAATTCCTTTCAGATATTTCAATCAATACTGCTGTAAATTCTGACTTCAAAAGATCTTTAACTAAAGATAGCCTCTCAAAATTTGAAAATTATTATATAATAATCACATTTTCGAAAATAATAAGAATTTAACAAATTGATATTTTAAAATTATAGAATTTTGGTCTATTTAAGACATTTCAATTGTTTAAAATAACAATTCAAGTATTAAAAGATAATAAAATTAAGAATAATCCTTAAAATCCAGAATTTCTATTAACTTCCAAGAAAACATTATAGAATTATAAAAATATACAATGATAAATAGAAATTAAAATTTTTTCTTATTATTAAAGCTTCATATAATTGGAAAGATTGGAATAATATCTAAATAACAATTTTAGTTTCAGTCTAATAATTTAAGAGATCATAAAATATTAAAATTATATAACAAATAACAACAAAAAATAATATTTAAGATTAAGAATAATTTTATTGATTAATTTATACTTTTAAACTTATTCTTAGTTTGATTCTTGTTTATTGAATTAGAAGGATTAAATATTTTGAAAACATTTATTATTATTTTATATGATTGTATTGATATATTTATTAGTAATGGTAAGTTGTATATAGCTCCCAATAACAAATGAATATGAATAGATTGAAGCATTAGAAATAATTTCAAAAGATACATTGGCAGATTAGTAAGTTAAAAAAGTATAAGGAAATCAAGTGTTCTTTTTAGAAATAGCAGATTATTTAGAAGGAACATCATTTTATAATTTTTTAGGTATTAGTTAAAGTAAATTAGATCTTTAAAATAAGGATAATTAATCAAAAAGAATAATAATTGCAACAGTGTTATCAATACTTCTTATTATCATATTTTGTGTAGTGATACAATTTATTCTGGATTTATCAAAAAAATGTAAGATCAAGCTAAGTAGAGAAAACATTGCAATACCAGTATGATAATTGAATGTATTTGAATGTATTCACATATAATACTGAGTTATTGATTTTCTTTTTTTATTCATTAATTTTATTATTAAAATGTCATCGGAAGTTAAAAAGAAAGAAAGGTAAGACTTGCTTGTTTAAGTTGAAGATTTTCTACATAAATAATAGTTCAGTGGTTAAACATTTCAAAAAAAGAATGAAATTGAAGAAGAAGTGGATGTTTTTTTAAATTTATTGGGAAATGTTAATCCATGTGAGACTCCATAAAATAAAGCTTAATTAAGTACAATAATTTCTTAAGGATCATATGATTCAACTTTACCATCTTTTAGAGAAACAAAGCTAAAATATGTTGATTAATTTGTATAATAGATGCTAAGATTCTTAAGAGAATTAAAAAAAGAGATTTAAGGGAATGAGTGTGCAATTTAATAAATAATAGATTAGATTTATTAATTTTATTTGAATTAGATGAATGATATAGATAAACTAATATAATACACTTATGATGTTGGAAATAGGAAACCAAATGTGGTTTAATTAAATAATGATTAAGATTAAAAAGAAATAAAAGGAACTTTATTAGAATAAGAACTAGAATCTTCTTTAGTTTAAGCTCATTAATTGAATGTAATAAGTATTTATATCAAGAGGATTAATTAAACAATTTGCTTAAGCAAAAGTCATCTGAAAATTATTATAAAGATAAATAATGTAAACAGGCATTACAATCAATAGCAATGTTAGAATCATAATTAAGTTAATTTAAGGGTTAATTTTAGAAATTCAATTAAATTGTTAGAATAATCAATGGTTAATTGAGTGATTGTGTAAATGGTCCATCTTTAGAAAATAACAAAACTAGAATAGGAAACAATAAAACTGCATATAAAACTATAAATTCTTATCGAACCCATTTTACTAATACAACTCCAAATAAAAAAGGGAAATTGGAAGATAACTATAGATCAATATCTTAGAATTCATATAGATCAAGAAGGGAAGAGGTTGATAAAGTTTATAAATAGTTATTAAAAAATTATTTTTGAATAAAAGACAATTAATGTAATTCATCCTTTATTTAGTTTTTCATTCTTGTGTGAAGTTTTTTTCTATAATCTTTTCAGCAATATATTAAACTCTGTTTTATTTTATCAATTTAATCATTTAATTATTATAATAAATTAGCTATGGCATTAGATCTATTTATATTAATAGTTTATTTAGTTTGTGTTTGAAACAGTCTAAAATTCTTCTGATTTTGATTTATTCATTCTAAAAATTATTTAATTAACTAATTATTTTTAGAATAAGTTGATTGTATTTATAATGTTTCTTAAAATTCTTATTATAAATCATCCATATATTGCAATAAATCAAGATTTTCTTCTAAATTTTTGTTATTACTCAATTATTATTACATAAAAAAGATATTTTTAGGTAAATATGGATGGTATAATTAAATATTTTAGTTCTTTTAAAGATACTACAAATATCAATAGGAGCATCTATTTCAATTTGAAAATATTCTTGCCTTAAATAGTATGATTTATAATTCATTCTGTCTATTTTCATCTAATTTATCTAAGAATTATTAATACATATTGATAATATTTAATTTTTCATCTATTAACATATTATATGTATTAGATTCATGTTAATATAATCTATCTTAATGTACTATAATAATAATATTAAGATTTTGTAATTTTTAGTTCAAGAGTTGTTAATAATAAAAAATCAATAAATAATTATTATTCGTTTTTTTATATTATACTAAAACTTATGATGAATATTCTAAATACGTAATAGATATTAAAGAATTTATGACTCAATTTCATTGAATGAATGTTGAATTCTGTAAAATTGTGTGGTTTTATAACCAGATAGTGTAATATACTTAAATTTCTTGATGAATAGAATTAAAAGGAGTTTAAGGAAATGAATAATCTTTTGATAGTGTTTAAAAGAATGCTTAATAATGATATAATGATTATATTATAATGATTGGAGAAGAATAATAAAGAATATAATATAAATTTGATTATAAGAATAATTATATAATATAAGGGATCGAAATATATATCTAAATAATTGAAAATAGATATTTTTATTAAATTTAATAAGGATGGCAGAGAATACCATGTAACAAAAGACTGAAGGAGATGAAAGACCTAGTGTATATATGGGATAAGAAATGGAAGGAGAGAGTATTGTTTTATAATTTATATAAAGAAATAATCTATAAAAATGTAAGAAAAGCTAAAATACCCAACACAGCAGATATTGCCTACTGTGAGATAAGAATAACTGAGTTGTAAGCTGAACTTGATGCTTCACGTGAATAGGTTTTTAAGTTAGAGTAGCAATAAGATGTGTATGTAACATATGAATAGACAGTAAATATATATGAATAATAAATATGTAGATCAATTAATTATAAGAGAGAAATTAAATATTACATGATGAAAATAAATAACTTAATCTATTGTTACGTACAAGAACAAAAGAATTAGATGTAGCAAAATTTAAGATACTTGAATATGAATCATTATTAGAAAGATTGAGAGATATAGAATAAGATTATAATAATGTATATGACTAACTGTAAGCGAGAGATAAAGAATTAAAGGAGGTAATATTTCATTTATTAAGTAAAAGTTAACTGAAAAGTATGGGCAATTAGAATTGAAATAGTCACAATAGAAAGTACTCGAATTAGATAACTTTGATCTTTAAAATAAAATAACAAATCTATAAAATGATTTGAATGTATACAAAGATAGAAACATCAAATTAGAAACTGAAAGAAAAAGACTTGCTGATCTAAAATCTGAAGTGACAACATCTTCTAAAATTGAAATTACAAAGAGTGAAACTAGTGTATCTTAAGTTATTACCTAATAATCAAATCAAGATTATACTAAATTTAAAACATAATTGTAAGAATAATAAGATCTATTGAATTAAATGAAAAACGCTATTTAAGAAAAAGATCATAGATTAGGATTACTTAATAATGAACTCACTAAATTATAAGAGACTCTTGCTAATAAAAATGAATAATTATCATCATTATAATAATAATTAGATTAATCAGATAATAAATTAAAAGAATTATAAAGTAAAGTTGAATAATAGAATACTAAACCTACAACAATTATTAAAACTGTTGAAAAGTTAATTAAAATAACACCTACAGATCCTGATTAAGAAAAAGTTAAATTGGCAAGTGAATTAGAAAGAGCTAATTATGAAATTGAAAGGTATAAGTTTGAATTAAGTTAATTGTAATCAAAATTAGAAACTCAAGAAAAAATAATATCTGATGTAAATATTATTTATAATATATATATAGTTGTCTAGAGATGTTCGATAAATTATTTCATTGAATGAAGAAATTGAATTACTTAAAATTGATAAAGCAAATCTATTAAATACTTTAAATTAAAAAGAATAAGATTTAGATTTTACTTTAAATCTTCTGAATTAGAAAACTCTTGAACTTTAAAATCTAGATAAACTTAAATTCAATTTAGCATTTGCTGAAGATTAAATATAAACTAAATAAAGAGAGATTATCTCTTTAAAGAGAAGAGTTGGTGATGTTGAAAATTCCAATAATTAATTAAAATAATTATAACCAGAATTAAGATCAGCTAAAAAATTAATTGAAGAATTAAAATCTGAAAATGAAAATTTAGATTAATAAAATAAATAACTCAAAGCCAATTTAATGGATGCCGAAGTTGTTATAAATTAATTAAAAAAATTAGAATAAAGAATTAAAGCACTTTAAAATACTAATTCTTCATTAAGATAAGAAATGACATAAACACTTACTGAATCAGAATAATGGAGACAAAAATATAATTAAGGATGTTCTGAAATAACAAGATTATAAAGATTATTAGAAGTTAATTAATAAAGATAATCAATTTTAAATGAATAAAATAAAAACTTTAAAAATGAGTTTGAAATTCCTCACATAAAAGTAGATCCACTTCCTATTCCTTAAAGAATAACAAAATAAATAATTCAAGATGATTCATAAATTGTGAAATTAAAAAATAATTTAGTAGCAGTAGAGTTATAATTAGAATCTGTTTATAGAAACAAAATACTTGAATAATAAACTTATTAAAGTTAAATAGATGAAATAAATTCTAAATATTAACTTAAAAAAGGAGAAAGTGAAGCTTGGAAATAAAAGTATCTTAAATCAGAATAAGAAAATGTTAAATTGATGAATATCAATGAAAAATATACTGTATTGTTGTAAAAATATGATTCTTAAGATGTTATTATACAAAGTTTAAATGAAAAGTTAAAATAGTAAAGTTAAGAATTAGAAAAATCAAGAAGTGATGTATTTTAATTACATTTGCAATTAAGTTAATTGGATGTACTTGTTTAAGAAAGAAATTAATTTAAATAAAGAGCAGATGCTTATTATTAAGAGATTTAAAATCAATATAAATAGATTCCTATTTTAAAAGCTTAAGTATTAGATTTAACAAGATAATTAAAATTGGCTGAAATTCCAATAATTCAAGTAGCATAGAAAACAGATGCAATAGAGAAACTTAGATAATAGAATGTAGAATTAGAATCAAAAATAGATGATACATTAGAAGATTAAATACATGAATTAGAATAAGGAAATCAAGTATTAAGATAGGAATTAACAAAATAGATTGAAATAAATGCTTAATTGATTAAAGATTTATCTAATTCAAACAGAAAAAAATAAGATTTATTGATAGAATTATAATTATTATAAGCTTTAGAAATAGATTATCAATAATTAAAAATTGCTTATTTAAATAAGTAAAAAGAAAATGATAAAATAAAGATGCAAAGTGATTAAATAGAATTTAAATAAAGAGATCTTGAAAATGGTCTTCATTCTTCAACTCAATTAGGATTAGAATAAAAGAATGAGATTGAAAAATTAAGAGAGAGATCAAATAATTATAAAGATTAAGTAAATGGATTATTAATCAAAGTAAATTCTTTAGAATAGTTGAATAATGATTATAAGTTTAAATTGGAGATGTTCCCTGAATTATAAGAGAAAGTGAATTAATAATCTAAATAGATAGAAGATCTATAGAAAACATTATAGAAATTAAATGAAATAAAAGATGAAATGACAGCTAAATGTACATTATAATAAGTCAAACTTTAAAGTTTAGGTCCATTATAATCAAAGATTGAAAGTCTTTAATTGATTTTAGAAGAAAGATAAAGATAATTGGATTTATGGTAAAGAAAAGCTTTGGAATTAGAAGATAGTAAATCAAAACTTAATTAAGAATGGAGAAAGAAATATGATGCTGTTGAAGTATAATTAAGAAATTAAAAAGAATTAGACTAAATATTAAAATAATAAGAACATGATATTAATGATTTGATTAATTAGAATACATAATTAAATGTATAAAATAAAGAATTATCTGTGTCAAATTAATTATTAAATAAAGATCTTGATTAAAGAGATATAGAAATAAAGAGATTATCAGCAATTGAAACTGATTTCAGAAAATTAAATGAAAATCTATTAATAGAATTATAAAGAATTGCTGATTTAACAGATAAATTATAAATTGCATAAAATTAATATGATGCTGCAAAAAGAGATTAAGAAAGATTAGAAAATAAATGTGCAATGATGTCAAGTGAAATTGAAAGATTATCTTTGATGGTTAAAAATAAAAATATTGAAATAGAAGGAAATAAAGCTATTTAACATTAAAATTAATAATAAATAGATTAAGTTTAACCTATTTTTGTAGAAAATAAAAGACTATTTGATGAATTGAATAATGTATTAAAATCTAATGAAGAATTAAAATTATAATCGATATAATTATAGAAATAAATAGATGAATTGAAATCAATAATTAATAATGGAGGTAATTATGAAAATCAATTGAAGGATGATTTAGATTAATTAGAATAAATATTAAAATAAAAAGATAATGAAATTACAGAAATCAAATAGTTATTAAGATAAAGTGAACATTAAGTAAAAGATATTAAAAGAGATGATTAATAATGGATAGATTAATAAGCAGAAAAAGAAAAATTAACAAATTAATTAAATTATGTAAATGAATTATTAAATTCTAAAAATGCTGAAAATGAATAATTATCAAAATAAAATCATTAATTATAATCTAAATTATTGGACAATTAAAAATTAGATTTTGAACATTTAGAATTAGCCTTAAATACAAGAGATAAAGTAATAGAAGAATGGAAAGGAAAATTCTAGAGATTATCTTAAGATTTATAAAAAGTAATAGAAGATAAAGTAGAACTTGAAAATAGATTCAGTACTGTAGATTTAGAAATTGAAAGATGGAAAAGAAAGGCTAATTCTAATTAAGCTGAAATTGAAATGTTAAGAGTAACAATTGATTAATTGAATGATGAAATTGAGAGATTGAATAAAAATACATCAGATTTATTAAATGTAAATATAATTGATTATTTTTAAGGAAAATGATTCATGGAGACATAAGTACGGTAATTTATAATAGTTGATACCTTAAATGGTACACCATTAACCAAACCCAGAAACTTAAGCTTATTAAGTTACACCAGGAAATAGTTTCAGAATTCCACCAGGAACTGAAAGAAATTAGGGTAGCTTTAGAAATTAACCACCTCCTCTTGATTCTAGAAGATCATTCAGAAGAGCTACAACTATTGGTCTAACAAAACCATGATTAGTAATAATAAATAAAATAATCAAAAATTATTAGCTTATTTCTATTCTAAATCAATCAACATTAGTTTATTAATATAATCCAATATTTTATAACAACTATTTTAAAACATATTTATTATAACTATAAAAATATCATATATTATAATTATATTGAATCTACTTATTTTTAGATATATTAAATATCAATCAATCAATCATCTGTAGCTATTCTAATTTAAAATATAGGATCTTTATCAAATTATTTCTTTTATGTATACATAGGCACTAATGCTTCAAGTTACATTCCTCCAAGTGGCATTGATACACCTATTCCAAGAGAAGATCTAAAATTTTATAATAGAGATTTTGGATGCCCAAATGTTAATAAAGAACCATACCAAAATAATTAATATGATAAATTCTTTTCTTTCATTCCTGAAATATTGTGAATATTGTATTTAAAATCAAACTTAGCAAAAGTATCATACTTTCTAGTTTAAAATTAACTCATTTCTATCATTTAATTAAACCCTCTAAATTATAAATTTTAAAAAGTATCATTTAAATCTAAATGAGACTAACCAAAAGCTAAACCATAATTAAATGATAATTATATAGAAGAATTAGCAACTAATTTCTTAATTTGTTTAATTCTATTTCTATGTTCATATAATGGAATCCAAAATTAATGTGACATCCATACTTTAAAAAATGGATTCATAGATAATTTAGGAATACCTAAACTACAATTAAATTTATTATTTTATCCTTCTAATATCCCTTAATCTTAAAAAATTTTAGTTGAAAAAGGTTTAGATAATGTAATAATAGTGGATTTAGTAGGAAGGAAATCAAAATTGTTTATATATTTTCTAAAGAGATATCTTCCTAATAAAGATTCTTCATCTTAAATTTAATTAAATCTATATTAATTTGAGATACTAAATTAACTATTTTGATTATTATATACAAAACTAAATTCACCTAGATTTTCATCAATATTTTAGATTGATGACATTTATGCCTATCTATAAGCAAAAGAATAATTAGAATCATAAAAATTTTTATAAGACCAACTAAGTGACCAATTAGATTTACTAGTACTTAAATTTTAATCATATTCAAATGCTAATGAATCATGGATTCCAAGGAAGTTTTTATTTCCAAATTTCATTTTTAATTAATAACCTTATGTATCAATTTCATTAGATGCAGATAAAAAATAAGGTAATTTATCTTAAATATCAAAATGAAATATGATTCCTTATGGATACTTTTTTTAAGAAGGTAGAATGAGTAATCTAATTTAGGAATATAATTTAGTGCTTTCAAGAGCATCTATAAATGAAGATGAGATAGCCATAAAATGTTCAAGTGATAAGGATTTATCTTTGATTAATTTTTTATGTTCTATGTAATAATGATAAAACAATTTTCTTAAGTAATTTTATTAAGTTTTAGTTGATGAGAAAGTGGCTCCAAAATAATTAAGTTTAATTTGTGATGCTGGTATTCCATGTTTAGATTAGAAATGATTCAAACAATCAATAATAGGTTCTTTGTCTCCATCATTATCATATTGTTCAATAATCATAAATATATTTTAATTTTTATAATGACAACTATTCTTCCATTAGGTAATATAATAATTAAAGTTGAGGATTATTGGATAAGGCAATTTCATCAAGAGTTTGGATTCTAATGAAAGATGATAGAGAATTTGAAGGCACTCTACGTGGTTTTGATGATTTTTTTAGTATATATATTAAATGATAGATTAGATATGGTTTTAGAGAATGTGATAGAATTAGATAATGGTAAGAAGAGTAAATTGGAATCAATTTTATTAAATGGAACATAAATATGTTTGATAGTACCTGGAGGGGAAATAAGATGAATAATATTTTTAATATGTTAATAATCATATTATTGTTTTAATATTCATAGTGTACAGACATTGATTATTGTAACAATCAAACAATTGATGGACATTATACTCCATTTTACTTTAATTAAGATTGTCAACCACCTGAAAATCTGATATTAGATTGTATATATTCTGATAATGATGTGCAAATAAATGTAGATTCATCTGTAAATTGGAATTTAGCTAATTTTATCACAAATTGTAAAAATGTAACAATTAATGCATGGAATATACAAATTGGTAATATAACTAGTAATGAAAAGAAATTTGGATTTATAGATAACAAATATATAATATTTGAAGCATTAAATAATTACTCTTTTTCTCTTAATTCTTAAATAGATATGAAGAACTATTTACTTGCTTTTTATTTGAATAGCAGTTAAGATTCAATTATTTAAGGATTAAATGTAATATCTTATAAAATGTTATTTGTATTCAATAATAATGTTATAATAAAAGATAGTACTTTTTTGATGATTGCATCTACATGTATTAATAATGTAGATATTTTGCCAGGATTAATTAGTATATTTAATTTAAATTTCGAATCTGTAGAAGAATATTTATTATATAATCAATTTAGTTTGTTATAATAACCAAATATATTTACTCCTTTTATTTAGGTGTCAAATTACACATTTTTTGTATTTAGTAGTTGTATGTATTTGAGTTTGAATAATATTTCAGTGATAGGCAGTCAGATAGGTATTTTAAATAATGGTACTATAATTTTACAGAATAGTTCATTAAATACATCATATTTTGGCTGTTAGATAAACTAAGGGTACATGAATATGTTGATTTATGAATAGTAATGCTAGAGGTCCTGAATTTATCAATTATAATTAAAATTGTTTTGGAAATGGTGGTTCGAATTCTGGATATGGTGGAATAGGATTAAATATTGGAGATTCAATTTTAAATGATTGTAAATTCTTAGCAAATTCAACTAGATTTATGTTTAATTTATATCCATATGGTTACTTATTAACTAATCTTTATTAAGGTTCTGGTGGTAGTTCTAATAATTTATTTGATTTAGCAAAATAGTTTGAAACCATTTCAAACATATTATAATATGGATTTGGTGGTGGTTCAATATTTATATATGCTAATTAATCACTTAATATGATAAATTCTTAATTATTAGCAAATGGACAAAAAGGTTTTGTTGATTAGTAAACTAATTATAGTATTGGAGGTGGTGCTGGTGGTTCTATTAAAATATATTCAACTCAATTTATAAGTGATAATTTATCATCTATTTAAATAAGTGGTGGAGATAGTGATTAAAATAATTTAGTAGGTGAAGGTGGAGGAGGAGTGCTTCAATATAAATGTTTAACAAGTCCTTTAAATTAATATTAATCTATTGATCTATCTACTTATTGTTCAAATAGTACATTTCTAGGATATATAACTAATACTCCTGGTAAAAGAGATAACAAACTTAATCCAGATTTACTTGGATAAAATGGAAGTTTAATAGAACCATTATGTCCACCTGGTTATAAAGTTCTTAAACTATCATGCGTACCATGTCAATAAAATTAAACCTATTCCATTTGGTGGAGTTCATAATGTGTACCATGTCCATATACATATGTATATACTATTATATTTTATTTATTTTAGGGAAAATTTGATGATTCTGCTAATACATTTTGTAATCAATAACCAAGGTGTTAAACTTCAGAATGTTGTGTTGAAGATATTAATATTCTAAGAAATACTGGAATTTAATTAGTTGTTTTTATTATTTTAATTATTATTGGTTATATTTTAAGAAGATAATATAAAAAGAAAGATTCAACTACTGAAAAAAACTTTAATTTTGAAAATGCTACCAAAGAAATTATTGCAGATAAAATTATCACTGAAAGCTTATAAGAAACTGATTAGTTTGTCTTAGGTGATTTAATGTATCATGCACATAGAATACCTGTCATTGGTAATAATACTTTTCTTAATCCATGGTTTTTACATTCTGAACCACCTGTTGAAATTGACAAAGCTGTTAATAAAGATGAATATGAACAATTTGCAAAAAATTTCAATTCAATTGCTGCTTGGAGTAAAACTAAATATATCATCTTAAACATTTTAGCCATCTTATATTACCCTTTATATTGGGGATGGTAAACTAAAATCAAAAAAGATAAATATAAATTATTAGCTGCTTTGTTGAATAAAAATCAAATTCCAAAATTTTGGAAATAAGCATCAGATCAAACTTATGGTAGATTTAAAATGACTAAAAGTGCAGATTACACTCTTTTGTATATTGATATCTTTAATTATAAGAATTGTGATTTAAAATACATTTATCTTACTTGTCCTTTTATTATATATTTATCTGGAGAAGGTAATTATTTGAGACCATTTTATTTATGTGAATCAGATTAATTTTTGGTTTCTCTTTTTTTTGCTGTAAATTAGACAAAGAATTCTATATAAAACAGGCAAAATATTTTGACTAATTTGGTTAGTAAAGATGAGAGAGAAGAGAATTCAAAAGAAATCAGAAGATTCTTAAAGAAATTCAATAAAGTAGCTATGACTTTGGATTTTGGAGCATTAGATAAGAGTTTTATATCAAACTTCAAAAGATTATTTGATTTATTGGAGAAATGGAATAATCTATTTTTTAATAATCATAATGTGAAATTATAATTATTGGTTGCTTAATTTCCATTTGATTCTTAACATCAATCATCAACAATAACATTGATAGAAATGAAATCAGAGAAATAGTTCAATGATTTTATGAAAGATCTTCATAAGAATATCATATTTTAGAAATTGTAAGATGTAAAATTTGGTGTATTTATTTTCAATACAGAGTAAGATCCTGCAGATATAGATTAGTAATTGAAAAATCAGAATTTTAGTTTTAATGATTATGAGGATTTTTCAATTAGACATTTTGAATATGAATATGATGAGGATGATTCGATTGATGTAGATTAATTGAGAGAATAATTTTTATCTAAAAGTAGTGATAAGGATCATTAATAGATGGGACATACTAAACATCAGTTTAAATAGATAACTAAGAAATAAAGTTAAAGAGCAAACTCTTTTTCTAAAACATATCATTTGATCATTAGAATATTCGATTATATAAGATTCCAATCATTTTCTCATAAACGAACATTTTTGGATAAGTATACATTAATTATAATGATTTGTATACTAATATTATTGGACAATGTAGATATTATTATATAATTAGTTTTTATTACAAAGTATTCTAAGTTTGATAATAGGGAAGTATAATTGGGTTGATGAGAAAGAAGATATTTTGGATTTATAATTGATTTTATTACCTTATCCATTTACGATAATAATGTCAAATTTATTTGAATCAATATGGGTATTTGATAATATAAATGTGAGATTCCAAGTTAATCGTATGGTATATTGAAATTATACTTGATATTTAATGCAATGGCGACATTTCAATATTTTATAAGTTTACTAATATTTGCATGTAATCATGATAGATAATAAATGTGTATACATGATACATTGACAGTTTTATCATTTTTAATAAAGATTACATTGAATTAATTAAGTGAGAGATTAATACCAATGAGTACAAAATTGAATTAATTGAGTAATGAAAAATAAATATGATTATTAATAATATAAAATTAAAGTTGTTCACAAAATGCAAATCAGTCAAGAGATGTTTAAATGGTTGAAATCATTGAATATAATATAGAATGGGATTCCAAAATAGAATGGAAGAATGGAATTAGATTCAGAAAGTACATCAGGCTTTTACAACGGTTTCAAGATATCAGAACTCTTAGATAAATTATCAGGTGTATATAATTAATAAATAAAAACACAAACAAATCCAACTGCAAGATTGTATAATTGGAATATAATCACAGAACGATTACATTAAATAAAAGTTGAATTGGATAGTGAAATAAAGAAATTAATCATTGATGGTGATTTAGAGATGATTGTGGAAGTATTGAAAGATGTTTAATCTAAATTCGTAAAAGAGAATAATACATCTAAGATAGAAAATCAAAAGAAGACTTTTGATATTGAAACTCTTAATTCTGCAAAATCTCTAAGTTCTTGTGAGACTGTACTCGAATTCGTAATTGTAGCATTAAGTTAAAACCTTATATTGAAACCAAAACAATCATAATAGTTACTAAATAACAATTTTAAATTACTTACACATGTCTTTATTAAGGGAGTGAAAGGGATGTATTTTTAATTAGTAACACTTCTATAAGAAATATATAATAATATGCCTAGATTGATAGAATTATTAAAAGAAGAGGAACATTAAATAGGATTCTTTGTTTCATTTCTTAAACTGTCAATGTTTTCTAAAGATTCAGAAGTAGTACATTGGGGATTAAGATTACTTGGTAAATTAGCATATGATTTATCTTAATATGACTTACTATTTCATATGTTTTAATGGTTATTAAGTATTTAATAATATTTATATTATCATTTTAGATTCTGGATTATCTACTTTAATTATTACACTCTAAAGATAACCATAATTGGCTGAACATTTAGCAACAGCTTTATCTTAGATTGCATAATATGATTACAATTAAGTATTTGGATAATAGAGATATTTTGAGAATCCAAAGTCATATATTGAATTTTATGGAGCTTTAATACCATATTTAAATTGTGATGTATATTAAAAATATTATTGATTAGCTTATAAATTACAATTTAGAATAACAAATTTAGATTGCTATAAGATTAAGTGATAATCAAAGTACTAGAGATGAAAAGAATGTCGCAATCCAATTTCTATGTAATGCTTGGATTCATTATAATACATTTTTAGAATAGAATATGCAATATTAATAATCAATATTAGCAATGCTTCAAAGAACTGCCAAAGATAATTCTACTATTTTGAAATCATATTCTATCACATAAGCATTCAAATTATTGGATGGTTTGGCTTAAAAGAAAGTTGTTACTGCTGTATCAGTTTATAAGAAGTTAATTTCTATTCTTATTGAAAGCTAAAATAATGAATATATTGTAAGATAATTCACTTACATTATTTAAAAATATCCAAGTATTCCTATTGAATTATTAATTGATGGTTTAATTAAAAATTAAAATTTAAATATGCCTGATTGTGATATATATTATGTGTTAAGTGCACATTAAAATTTAAAAGTATAATCAGCCATTACAATGTTAGAATTATTAATTAGAATCTATAATAGTAGTGTATTATTTTAAAGTGCCTTATTCCCTACTATATAATAAATCATTTAAAAATTTATAGAACTCTCAGAATTCCAAGAATATATGAATAGAATGACCTAAACTTGTTTAAATTTATATGTTAATTCTGTGAGATCTAAAAAAACTACTACTACTACAACAATTACTAATTATTAAGATGATTCAGTTGTTAACTCTTAAAGAAGAGCATAAATTATATAGTTATTTAAATACATTATTCAATTAAGATGTTTTTCAATGAATAATATGCTCAAACCATTATTAGTTGGAGCACATTTAGAATTAAGAAACATTGAAAATAGAGATAATAAAGGAATTATTTAATTATTACAAATGCTAGGTGATCCAAATACAATTGTTGATGAATATATAACAAAAGATTAGTAAATGACATCTCAATTATTTCTCGAAAAAAAAATGTAATAAATGGAAGGTAGTTAATCATAAGCTTTGGAAGATCAATATCTTTAAAAAAATAAAAAGTTATTTGAAAAAGAAGAAGATTTAGTCAAGTCATTATTATTAGAAGAAAAGAATGAAAGTAAGAATCAACAACAAATAAAAAAAAAGAAGAAAAGGAATTATGATTTTGATGAATTCTAATGTGTATATGAGGAAGGAGAATTAGCATATAAACCTTTAGATGTTGTCTTAATAGATTTTTCATTAGAAGAAGATGTTGATAGAGAATCTATGAATATAGCTATTAAACATTTCTCTAAGACTTTTAGATACTTGTTTAATAGATATGCATCTACTCCTTAAGAGGCTGCTAAAAATAGACTTAGAAGTTTAGATCAAAGTTAATTAGAATTGAGATCTTCTGATATAGTTAAGATACTTTAAGATTATGATATTTTCAATTTCAGTACATATGAAGAAATTATTAATCTTATTGCAACTGTTAATCATAAATTTAATTTATTTAGTTTAAGTTCCTAAATTAGATAATTACCATAAGATAATTAAACTGAAAAGTAATCTTCTTTATCTGCTACTACTTCTAGAACTGTTAATTATAAATTAGATTTTGAAAATTTCAAAAAATTCTTAATCTAATTTGCTATTGTTATTTTTGGTAGACCACCAAAAGATTTTAGAAAAATGCCAGCTGGACATGTATTAGTTGAATTTTTTAAATATTTTTCATTTGTTTCAAGAAGAAAGAATGAAAATCATCTCATTTTTGATGATCCAGATGGAGTTACTACTGTAGCTGATAAAAATACTATTTAAAAATGGAATGCTTAATTACTTTAAAATCCAAATATTGATGTTCCTACTGAAACCAGATTAAAAAAAGTATAAATTGAAAGAGTTTCTTTACATTATTAAATGAGAGATGTTATGAAAAATCTAAATAAATCTTATCTTATTTGTTTTGAAATTGTTAATGAACTTATTCAATCTAAATTTAAGTAATTATAATTTAAATTTTATTATAGAACCAATATTGTAGAACCTACATTTAAAATTAATCTCATTTATGAAGTTAAACCTATTGCAGCTAAAGGAGTTCATTCAGATCTTAAAATTGATCCATTGATTGAAAAACAAGAATTATTAAAGAATTCTCTCACTCTATTACCTATTGAAAAATAAGAAATTATGAATAAGTCTTTAGATTTATCTTAATTATCAGAAGAAAAAATTATTAATAAAAGTATTGTTGAAAAGATTGTTTCAAAGTAAGAAGAAGCTTTAAAAAAAGAATTAAAGGATATTAAATGGCAAAAAAGAAAAGATTATTTAGATAAACAATTCGAAAGAATTTAATAATTTAAAGAAAAAAAAGAAGAAATAAGATTTAGTGAATCATAAGTTCTTGGAGAATAATTAAGAGATTAAAAACCAAAACATATTGATTATATGAATAATCTTAAAAAAGAATACAGAAAAAATTAATCAGAAGTAATTATTAAAACTGTTATGACATAATAAGAAGAAAGAAAAGATTCTCCTAAAAAATAAGGTGATAAATAATAATAATAATAATAATAATAAAAATAATAATAAGATAATAAATAATAAAAATAATAATAAGATAATAAATAATAATAAAAATAATAAGATAATAAATAATAATTATAATCATAATAATAATAATAATCATAATAAAAATAATAAGTTCCAGATGGTAAATAAAAATAATAAGATAATAAATAATAACCCTAATAATAACCCCCCTAATAATAATAATCCTAATAATAATAAAAATAAGGAGTATAATCCCCAGAGAAGAAATTAACAAAGGAAGATAAAGCTGAATAAAGATTTAAAGCAAGAACAGCTGAGATGGCTGTTCATTATAGGACATCTTTAGAGAAGAAAGAACAATTAAATGAGAAATTTTAGAATTTTTATAAAGATCCTAAAGTTTAGGCAGAATTTAAACATTTTCGATCATCTGGTAGTGTGGTATAAATAATAATAATATACATAAGGCATTTCATCATTATTTGAAATACTCTGATGCTTGGAATTATAGTGGGAAAAAGATTGTATAATAGGGATGGTTAGATTTTGCAAAAGCTTTTAATTTATCTTCATTATTTAATGAGGAATAATTGATAAAGGTGTTTACGAATACATTGAAATAAAAGAATTATGTAGGTCATAGAGAAGCAGTTTAAAAGAACTTAAAATATTAGGATGAGATAGGTTTAACATATTTTGAATTTGAATATTTGTTATTAAAAATAGCAATAATGGGATAGGAATATTTTAATTCAATATAGAGTGGTAAGAAATTGGATGATAATTTAAAATAATTAATAATTTATAAAGAGAAATAGAATAAGAAACCAAAGATAAAACATAAATATGTAGAAATTTTGGAAGAGAATATGAATAAAACAACTAGTTTTACATTAGCAGCATGTTTAGCATATTTAGATATTCCATAGAATAAAGATTTATTTGCAGGTAAATTGAGATCAATAGAGGGTGATGATATAATAGAAGAGACAAGACCAAAACATTAATCAGTTGGTAGAAATAATTATAAATAGATTAGACTTATCATAAATTAAAAAGAAGTAAGGATTACCAGAAAGTCCATAAGTAAAGAAGAGTAGTAAATGGTAAAAACCAGGAACTCATGGAAAAGGTGGATAAGATGATAAAGGAATGACAGATTCTTAAATTAAATTACCTTATCTTTCGAAGAATGCAAAGAGTTAAGAATTATTAGAGATGACAAAAAAATGGGAAGAAATTTAAAAAGATGCAAAGAAAAAATGATTTGGTTTTATAAATATAAATTATTAATGAAAAATTTAACAAGATTTTTATAATCAGAATACTTTTATAAAGAATATAAAGATAAAATTTATGATTAATAAATATATTAAATTAAGGAATACTTTTAAATATATTTTGAAAACTCTTGGAGAAATATAATTAAGAAAAATCTTAACCTATAAAATTGGTTTTAAGATTAAGAGTAATTTTTTTTATTTGTAATTGCTGAATAGTTTATAAAAGAAATAGTGAATATTCATAATCAATATTTATCTGAAGGCCTTACTTAAAATATAATCTATTTAATGAAACTAATAATTAAAAGAGATTTTTTAACGAAACAAAGAGCAATTCAGGTTGTTTTTATAAAAAATCCTATTATAAGATTATCATTGAAAGGTATATTTGTTTAGAATTTATGACATCTTAATAATCAACTTATTAATTAAGTGTATATTAATATCATTATATTCAAAATTAAAATTAATTGGAGTAGAATCAAAACTTCATTATTTTAATGCTTAAAATGACAAAGAATATTATGAATTTATTAAATATAGTTATAAGTCAAATATATTCTAAAGTAATAAAATTGCATGAAATCAATGAAGAACTTAAAGTTAATTTATAAATTTTAGGAGAAATTAAAATTTTTAATTGAAATTAGAAACATTTTATTGAAATTTTAATCGAGCTTATTAAGATTATCTTGTTAATATGTAATTATAGCAATTAATAATTAAATTTATTTAAAGTAAATATCTAAATAAATTTAGTTGTTAAAAGTATGATGAATTCTAAAATGGCTAAAATAAATATAATTTAGTAGTTATTGGATTGATAAATAAAACAATCAAATATCTCTCTCTTATTTATTTTAGTCTTAAAATTCTTAAGATTTATAAATATAATTGATCAAAAAACTACTTTAAGATAATTAAATAATCGAGACTGATATTCAAAATTTCATTATACCAAAAATTTATACTATTAATCAAAATCAATACTATTGAATTTATTCTATATTTTTTTAAATTATTTTTCTATATTTCTAATCATGCGAACTGAATCCGTCTCATATGAAAAAGAAATGGACATTATCAAAAAAAGATAATCTAGAAAAGAAAGATCTAAATTTGAAGACATTGTGTAAATATAAACATAATTCTATAAAAGAGAAGAAAATGAAAATTAGTAAATGACATGTTATGAACGTAACTTAAATTGTTGTGGATCATGCTTTGGAACACTTAGAGCTTGGATTCCATGTTGCTTTTGTTGTTGTCCTTACCCTTATTTCTTAGTTACTTAAGGTTAAAAAGGTTTACTTTAAAAATTTGGAAAATATCAAAAAACCTTAGAACCTGGACTACATGAAATTAATCCGTACGTTTTATATAATAATTTATAGATTTACAGATAGAGTTATACCTGTTAGTACTAAAACTTTGTATAATTATCTATATATTTTAGTATTATTGATTTAGAAAGATAACTTGTCTTAACCAAAGATAATATCACTGTTAATATTGATACTATTGTATACTATCGAGTTGTAGATGTAATGAAATCTGCTTATAGAGTTAAAATGATTGTTGAAGCAGTTAAAGAAATCACTTATGCTGTAATATATCATTCTTATTTTTTCTAATAGACTTTACGTACTATATGTGGAGAACATAACTTATAGGAAATTATTGAAAACCGATAAAAAATTGCAGATGAAATAGAAACTTTTGTTTTCGATGTTGTTTCTGAATGGGGTATTATTTAATTATATTTAGGTATCTATCTGGAACATATTTTTATTAAGGATATGTTAATGAATGAGGAATTGTAAAATTCATTGTCTAATGCTCCAAAAGCATAAAGACTTGCTTAATCCAAAATAATTTCTGCATAAGTATACATTTATTCATTTATTTTAAATAGAGTGATGTTTCTGCTGCTAAACTTATGCGAGAAGCTGCAGATATGTTAGATTCAAGAGCTGCCATGTAAATTAGATATTTTGATACTATTTAAATGATTGCTAAGAATCATAATCCTAAAATACTTTTTCTATCTGTAGATTAATAAAATAACAAAAAATGATTATTTATTATATTTTTAGAAAAATTATGTTAAAATAGATTATTTTAATCACTTTTATCACATCCATTCTTACAATTGATTGTGATTATTGCAAAGCTGAATTATTAGATAGTCTCAGAGTAATCTCTCTTAATTTTATTATTAGGTTAAAACGGATAGTGTTATTGTTAAATGTTTAGATTCTGATTTCTCTAACAACCCTGTTGGAACTATTTTTGGAAATTGTCTATTTATTTAAGGAGTTGATTCCTCTAAAATCAAATAATTAGTATCATGTATAACCTCAAATTGTTGGGATCAATGGATTAATCAAAAAAATGAATATTTTTTATTCTGAAATTGCTATTAATATATATTATTTACTTATTTTATTTCTATATTCAGACCTATGATCTAAAATTATATTTAATAATATCTTAATCAATGAATATTCAAGATAATTTAACACTCTTAAACCATCAACTAAACATTTCCAATCAAAAACTTTAACTCTAAGTTGAAGTACTCTAACATTAAAACAATTTATTAAAAAAGAAAATCATAGAGTAAAACAATATTGTCAATCTAATTCACTCCTTCTAACATGAAAACAATTAACTCAAATAAGACATTTTAGGACTTCAGGAAACCTTATTTCATTTACAGACTTAAAAAAATATTGAAATTGAATAATCTTACTCTTCTATGCTTTAAGCCTTTACAAAAGAAAATGAAAAAGAACTCATCTATCTTAAAAAAGAATATAAAGATCATATTTTTTAATTAAAATAAGAAAAAAATCAACTCTTTGAATAAGCTGTTTCTATGGGTATACAAAATTAAACAGCTAAGAACTTGGAACTTTAAACTAATAAAATCATCTAAATTGCTTCAAAATTAGAGTAATTATATGTTATCATTCTTATAGAAATATTTTATATGAAACTCCTTATTGTTAAGAAAGTAAAAAAGAGAAAGTCGACTCAGCTAGAGAAATTTACAATAACTTAATAAATTAATTAAATACAGACTTAAATAAAAATTAAAAAGAATATGAAAAAAATGATAAATTTTATCAGTAACTTCTTTAAAAATAATTAATTAGTGCTCTAACTACATCTAAGAACTCCACATTTACCAAATAAAAAGATAAATCAACTAACTTTACAAAAGTTTTAACCCTCAATCGAACCAATGAATCACCCAGGAGTTAAGCATATCTGAATGCACTTTCATTATAAACTGCTAACAAAAAAAATTGATTCATTTGTCATTATAATTTCTATTTGTTTTAAATGATTTTTAATAACTTTTATCATTTTCTTCATTTTCAATAATTAATATAAAATTTAAACTGATTCTTTATTATTAATTCATATCTCAAAAACTATATTGAAAAATATTATATCAAATTTTATTTTATCTATCATGGAATATTAAGTAGATTTTATGATACAATTAAACAATAATTTGCATCATAAAAAATTTTATAAATGAGTTGATTAGCTTTTGAATTATTAATAATAATTTCTTTTTTTCCATTAATTCTATTATTCAGGAAACTTTTTTGATATGATATAAAGGATTTTATTTAATGTTTTTTAATAATAATTTTTTAATCTAAATTTTTTTGTGTAATTTCCAAAATTTTCTTTAACTCTCATAATTGTTTTCTTAAGATAAAAATTCGATTAAAATTAACTCCATACCATTATTGAGTTTTTTTAATAAAGGTAAAAGTTAAATAAAGATATTTTTGTGATTTGGATGTTTTTAAATAAATAAAAAACTTTAATTGGTTATGAAGCAATAAAAGATGAAATTTATTTATATACATATAGTTTATAGGTTTGAAATAATATTTATATGTTAACAATTTTGAGAGTGTCTATCACTTGATGAATAAATTAAGAGTAGGTATAAATTTTGAAATAAAAGAGCTCTAAATAATTAAATTTTGAGATTTAAAAACATTTTCATAATTATTTTGTTTAAATAGTTTGGATAAATATTAATTAATTATTATTATGAATTAATCTCAAATGTTAACAACTCATAAATCAACTAAGAAAGATACAGGAGAGAATAATAATAAATTATCAAGTGGTTCAATAGTGGCAACAAAATTTCGATTGATAGATAAGGTTGGATAAGGGAGCTTTGGAATGATTTATAAAACCGAGAATATGGAGAGTGGTGATATTTTTGCAACGAAATTTGAAAAGAGAGATGAGAATTCAAGTGGAATGAGTTTGCTAGTAAGAGAAATAAAAGTATTAATAGAAGTACAAGATTTTGAAGGTAAATAATAAAATCATATAGTTAGGATTTCCTTAGATTGTATTTTATGGAAGAGATGAATATTATAATTACTTCATGTAAACATATTTGGGATACAACTTGGAATAACTATTAAAAAGATGCAATTATAAATTTAGTATATAGACAGTGTTAAGAATTGGGATAATTCTAATAGATAGATTAAAAATGCTGCATTCAAAAAATTTATTACATCGTGATTTAAAACCTGATAATATGTGTATAGGTTATGATGATATCGATTAGATATATTTAATTGATTTCGGTTTAGCTAAATACTATAAGGATTCATAAGGTAATCATATAGCATAAAGTGATAAAAAGGGAATAATAGGAACAGCTAGATATGCTAGTTTAACAGCACATTTAGGTTAATAACCAATTCTATTTTAAAGGAAAGGAATAATCAAGAAGAGATGATATAGAGAGTTTGGGATATGTTTTAGTCTATTTAGCAAAAGGTCGCCTTCCTTGGATGAATCTAAATACTAATACAAAATCAGAGAAGTATTAAAAAATTAAAGAATTTAAACAATAAATCACTTTAGACAAATTATGTGAAGGATTGCCGAAAGTTTTACGTCATATTCATCATATAAGTGTTTCTTGAATCTTTTCATCTATGCACGTGGCCTTGATTTTTAAGGAGAACCAGATTATTAGTTTCTAAAAGATCAATTTTAGAAATAATATCAAATAGATGTATCTTCCTCATTGAACCATGTTCCATTAGATTTCGAATGGGAGCGTTTACCAGAGCTCAAAAAAAGAAAGTAAAGAGCCATAGCTAATTTATTAAAATAGAAGTTAGGTACTTGAATCTAATTGTATAAGAAAAATAAACTGAATTAGAAATTAAGAAAAGTTATGATGAAAGACCTGAATAGAGAGGAAGTTCATTTCTTAATGTACCTGTATAAGAAAATGATTAATAATAACTTTCTCCTGAAAAAAATAAATAAAGCAGAGTAAATATAAACATTTTATCATTTAGAGATTTAGTTAAAATGTTTCAAGTTTTGGTACAAGTTAAATTAACAATTATCAAATGAGTTAAAAAGAGAATTTTAGAAAATTTGCTAAGGAAAAAAGAGAATAATCATATTTTTCAATTGAAAAAAACAATTAGAATTAAAAGAATTTCTTTAAATAAGCATCAACTAAAGCAGAACGATAATAGGCATTATAAGATTTAGATAATGATTATAGAGATTTTGATGATTTAGATCAATTGGCAGATGAAGAAACAAATATTGCCATTTTCAACATTACTCCTCATATATCAAAGAGAAGATTTCAATGATCATTTAAATATTCATTACCAAAAGATTATAATATTTGCCCTAATTTGTAATTAATTATATGATTGAAATTGGATCACCATTGTGTAACACAGCTAGAAACTTTCTAATGTCTAATGTTGAAATTGTTCATCCAGAATAACCATAAGATATTTCCTCTTTAAGAGAATCTGAAAATGAGTTTGAAAAGTAGTTTAGATTATCATCAGCACCTCACATCTCGAAGGCACAATTTAAAAGAAATGTTTATTTATTTGTATTCTATTATAGGAAAATCAGAAAACTAAATAATCTCTCTTTTCATTGATCAAAATATAGTAGTTAGTTATTAGATTCATAAAAAATTTAAAGAAAAGTGCTAATCTAAGCTCAATATTTCCAAAATCATTGTATATAGATTATTTATTACGTTCTGCCTACAAAGGAAATTATGCAGGTTAATAGAATTCAAAGGTTACAATATTGAAACTAAAAATCAAAATAATTTGGGAGGTATTGTTATATCTAATAAATTTTTTATTAATTTTATTACTACCTTTTGATATTGAAATAAATAAGGATTAGATAATGAAGTTGAACTTTTGCATTTTTACATTAGAGATGGGGATTAAGTTTATTTAGCCATTTTATTTTGAAGGTAGATTGAGAAGAGATAGATACGAAATTATAAAAAATTATCTATAAACTGGATTCATTGTAGATTTCATTAGAGTGGGAACAATATTATCTCATATTTTAGAGATTCCAGATAGAATAGAAATTGAGATAGCAAAGAGTTTAATCTTATATATAATATCATTATCAAAGTTGCATTTGAAATTTATAAGCACAAACTACTGTTTTGTAAAATTTACAGAATTATTATTTTTGGTAATATTTATATGCCACTTTTTTACTCAATAAATATTTTATTCAGAGGAGAATCATTATCTGTTTAGGTTTGGTTTAAGTTTGGATATTTTTTTAAGCAATTCTTTAATTAGATTTTAAGAAGAAGAAATCTATTAACTATTAAATATACTTTATGAAACAGTATCATTTATAGTTAAGATTTACATATTATAATAGATAATAAGTTATTGTTTGATAAATTAAGAGATAATAAAAAAGAAAAAGGAATTATTCGATTTACATGGATATTTGAAATAGTTAAATGTTTCAAGTTTGATTTCGAATAGAGTAATTTCTTATTATAAAACAATAATGAAATAAGATGAGAAAATAAAGATGTAAGATTTTCATATATTTTTTGGTTAAAAATTGAAACCAAATTTAGCTTAGGAATTGAAATTGTAGATATAAGGAAGTATTCTTAAAAATTTTAAGATATTTAATAAATTTACAGTATAAACAATAAAGAATTTGGTATGTAATATGGAGGAGGTAGATTATAGTCCAAATGAATAGATTTATAATAAAGATGAATTGGATGATTAATCAATATATTTTATAACATAAGGGAAGGTGATGATAATGTACGGAAAGAATGAATTATAGATTTATCATGAGAATTCTTAATTTGGAGAGATAAGTTTTTTTACAGGATTGCCTAGAAGTTTTAGAGCAATAAGTTTGGGATATTCAAGATTATATAAAATAAAGAGAGTTGCGTATTTGAATATAGTTAGTAGTATAAATTAAGATTTGGTAAAAATAATGATAAATTTAGAGGAAACAGCTTAGATGATAAAAGACTAAATAATATTTTAATAAAGATATGATATAATAGGAAGGAAATGTTTATGTTGTTAAGATCATAATCATTTAATATAAGAATGTCAATATCTTCATTATAAGCCAGATAGAGATATAATATTGAGTAAATTCCTCTATCCAGTAAGGATGTAAAGAAGTAAAAGTAATAAAATGTATATGATTTTGAATTAGTTTAGAGAAAGAGATTACGATATCAGAATGTGTTAATAAATTAATATTTAAATCATATGAGAGCTTAAGAGTTTTAGGAGAACAATGATTTAAATAATTTAGAAGAACAATCAGAGAATTATTTGATTGATCCATAATCATCATCTTTTTCAGGTGAGTTTAAGATGAAACATTCTTTATTGTCTCCTGATCCAATTATTGCTCTACAATCGAATCATAAAAAGACAATAGATTCTGAAGAACATTATAGGAAAAATAGATAACCATTTATTCATCCTATTCCTGAATATAGTGATGAAATTTAATCATTAGCTTCATCTGAAATAATAGCACCTTAATAGGTAGAAAACAAATCAGAAGAACATCATTTCAGAATAATTTAAAAGTAAGTAAAACCTAAAGGTGATTTATTAAAATCTTAAGGAAGTTAACTTAGTAGATCTATTTCTTAATAATTACTATAATAAAGATCAAGATCGTAATCATAGAATGTATTAGACATTTCATAAATTCAAGTCAATAAAAAATAAATGGTTAGATCATTCTCTTAAATGAGTTATGAAGATAAAACCTTTCATAAATAGAAATCAAAAAGAACCAGCACTTCTCAATTAAATGGTTAATCTTTAATCTAATTATTCTAAAATGATTTAGTATACATAATATATTATTTATATAGAATCCAATATTGATGGATTTCATTCAAATCCATTTAGATAGAGGATGCAATTTTATGACTTATTTACCATAAAATAATATGAAAATAGTATTACGTCAAAATAAATATGTGTCTATTTAAAAGAGAAGCAATTATACTTTAAATTATGAAATTAGTAAGAAATTGAGAAAGGTAATAGGAATGTGAGATAGTATTTTAGAATTAATTAACTTTGATGATGATATTAAATATTTATGTATAATAATCATTTTGAACTAGTTGGTGATGATCTTTTCGTTAACTTTTTGATGGATTAACCATAGTATATTCTTAAATCTTATAAAAAGAAACAATTTTCCTCATGTTAATAGTAATTCAAACATCCATTATCCTTTATCAGAAAATGAAGGCCAACCTTAATAATAATAAGAATTTATGTTAGCCAATTAATTACCTCCATAGAATCTAAGAAAAAAACAATAGAAAAAAAAGAAAATTGATGAAACATTACTCAATAACAAAAACAACCTTAAGAATACATATATAAATAAGATTACATCTTTAATTTAAGAGACTAAATCAACTGTTACTCCTAAATACGAAAGAAAAGCTTCAACTTATACTGAAGATTCAGCCTAAGCAAAATTAATTCGTAATAGAGAATGTGCTAGAAATTCAAGAAAAAGAAAGAAGATCTATATTGAATTATTAGAAACTAGAGTTAATTCTCTAAATGAAGAACTAGAAAAATGCAAAAGAATCATTAAAGGATAAAATAGTTGTTAGCAATATTTAGGTTCAAATCCATAAGTATATACTCTAAATTAACTTAGTTATAAAACTTTTTTTTAGGTAGATAACAATTATTTGAAAAACTTGAAAATGCTATAAAAAATCATTCAGATAATAATGAAATTAATCTTCTATTGGATTCTATGAGATTTAGAGTTGGTGGAGGAGGAAAAGAAAGAATTAATGCTTCTAACTATTTCTTTCAATAAATTATGGAAATTTGTTTCCCTATTCATGTTAGATATATGTTATGGGCAGCTACTTCAGATAATTAAGAACCTACTTGGTTTACTAATCTATCTAAAGAAATCAATCTCACTGAAATTTAAAATAAATCCTTAAAAAAATAATACAAACGAATTCAATCTGATAAAGATAAACTAGAATAGTAATTCATTATATTTATATAGATTAATCAAATAATTCTAAAATGTTAAAGAAAATCTCTATTCTAAAACTTATTAATTGGAAAATTTTATAGATGAACTCAGAGGAATACTGACTCCTACTTAAATTGCTACATTTCTAATTGGTCTTGAAAAAGTATTATATATATATTCTATTCTTTAGAATAAATTTTAAAAAGAAATGAGTATCTCTAATCTATGGAAAATATTCGATGAAGAGTTCGAAACTGAAGTCAAAGAAGAAGATTCTATTCAACAAGACACTTTATAAAAAAGAGTACATTTATGATCTAATCCTAACTTAAATCATTTTATACATTATATTAATTATGTCAACTGTTTTACCTATTTTAATACCAAAAACCAAAAACATTTTGTTACTTAAAGATGATATTGGAAAACCAAAACCTAATACAAGGACACTTCCAAATGCTAATTTTACATATGGAATATAAATTAAACGTGATCCTCTTTAAATTTAATTTGCTACCTAAGAATCTGCCAATGAAATCTAATCATCTATAAGAAGAAATCATAGAATTTAAAACTCGAATAAATCACTAATCACTCATGGAATCAAAAATAAGTATAAACAACCACTCTTATTATCCATAGACCCTAAACTCCATTAGATAAAGTATTATAATATTAATATGCTTCCCAGGCAAAAGAACAAATTGAAAAAATATACTTATAAAGAATGAAAACAGAACCTAAAAAACAGAGCTTTAATTAAAACAGATCATTTTCTTTAAGATAATAACATAATACAAAAAAAGAATAAAAAAAAATGTTTAAGCTTTAATAGTTTCAAGATATAAAATCTAAAATATTTTAATGAATTCATGATTTATGTTTCAATTATGAATACCATTTAAACTCTTTACATATGAAAAAAATCAATCATAACAGAAAGCATCTTTATCCTATTTAAATTGATTCAAATCTTATTATCTCTATGCCATTTTAACATTTCAATTATATCAATTTTATTCTTGTTTCAAAAAATCAACAATAACTTTAATTTTTTATTCCATTTATTTTTTAAGAATCCTTAATTTTTGCCTTTCAAAATATTAATTTATCAATTAAAATTTCCTCAAATAATAATAAAATTACGATCTTAATTTTCATAAATAATTGTTCTGATTTTAGTATTGAATTAGATATAATGGTTTTTTGTAATTGTGAATTATAATCAATTTACTTATAGAATGAAAATTCTATTCAATAATTATAATGTTTTCGATAAAGAAAGAATTAAAATAAATTTGATACTACTTTATTGATAAATATTTTAATCATCATAATTGTCAATTGATTTAATAAAACAAATCAATCAACAAATATACCTATAATCTAAATCATAAAACTAAAAAATACTATTATTACTTATTATTTTTTCATCTTCTCTTAGTGAAGAATGTAAAAAATGATTTTATATCATTAAATTTAATGTAGCCACAAAACAAGAACAATTTAGTGATCCAAAACCTTTAGGAGATGATCAAAAACCAGGGCGATATGAGTATATTCCTAAGATAAAGTCAAAAACTTAAAGTCTTGCTTACAATTCCACCTAAGGCTAGAACAGATGACCATATTAATCAAATTGGTATTTTAGTGCAGGTTTGTAAAAAAAGCACATTTATTTTCTACTTAGAGACTTAAATTTCTATCCTAATATAGTGACAAGCCTTATTACAATGATTTATGTCGTAATTTATATGTGAAGACATTCCAATAACGAAAAACCATTTTTAAATAAGGAGATACAGGAACATGCTTCTATGTTATTTTAAGCGGAATTGTTAAAATTTATGCCGATGAGCCCACTATATTTCCAGGCTATTTCAAATAGAGAGAAGTAGCTGTATTAGGAAAAGGTAATTGCTTCGGAGAAATTGCATTATTTTTTGGGTCTTAAAGAACAGCAACAGTGATTGCAGAATCAGACTGTGATTTGTTAATGTTAGATAGAGAAGTGTTCTAAAAATATAGTTAAGGAGATTAAGAAGCTTTCGATTTGTAATCAAAGAGTCTAAAGGATGTTAGACGTTTCCTAAAAAAAGTTTAAAAATTTTCCATTTTTACTCAAGAAGAAATTACTTCAATAAGTACAAAATGTAGAAGGTAAAATTATCAATAATAAACAATAATATTGAAAGAAGGTGATATACCTAAGTGTATTTTCATAATAAAAAGTGGAAGAGTAAGTGTGATGAAAAAGATTGAAGTTGGTAGCTAATATTATGAGATAGATGAATTAGAATAAGGTTGTGTATTTGGTGATCATGGTTGTATAACAAATAGTGAATCGGAATGTACATACATAACTTCAATGAAGAGCGAGATAATCTATCTAAATGGGTTTGATTTAAAATAGTTTATATCATAAGAGAATTTAAATAAGTATATGGAGAATATAAAGTTGTATCCTGAGAGAGAAACCTTAAATAAGATGTAAGTAGAGGATGTAAAATGGAAAGAGTACAAGAAGTAATTAATGTAGAATGTGATAAATGATAAGTTGAATAGCAGAGGTTTTGATAGGAGGATGAGACTACCAGAATTAAGATATAAATTAATAGATGCACCAGATTAATAGATTTATTAGAGAACGTTGTAATAGAATGTAATAATAAATGTATTAGTTAATTGGATAAGAGTTGTAGGACTCCTTAACATAAGCAATTGTTCCGTAGAGAGATAGAATCATTACGTAATTAGATATCATCAAAGAGGATGAATTATTTTGAATAAAATTACTTATGAATTATAATAATATAAGAAGTATAGGGAGTAAACGGCGTGAGTCAATGATTTCTGTTAGCAAGGAGTAAATAAAGATTCAGGAAGAGGAGGCATCAAATGTGCAATTATTTATTCTTCAGACAGAGAAGTTAAAGAAACTATTGTAGATTCAGAAAGAGTATAGGAATACAAAAATATTGGCTGAGATTGCATAAATAGCAAAAGTACGGTTTACAACGAATGGTAGCAAATAGGGTTCTTGAGTAACTATAAGGATAGACCTTTTTTTACAGATTTATGTAAACACCTTTACATGTAAACGTTTGAACCAAATTCTTGGATATTCAAATAGGGAGATGAGGGAGATAAATTTTATGTAATATTAAATGGAAGTGTGAGAGTTTTGATTGATTAGGCTACAACATTGACAGATGTTATGATAAAGAAAGAAGTGGCTTAATTAAAGAAGGGAGAATTCTTTGGAGAAATGGCATTATAATTTAATTTAAAAAGAACTGCAACAATAATAACAAATGAAATCACAGACTTAATTATTTTAGAGAATGAAGCATTTTAATAATTTATGTTAGCTGATCATATGTAAACAGAAAGAGTTAAAGAAACTAAAATGTTTTTAGAAAAATTATAAATCTTCTAAGGATTTAGTAATAAGATTATGGTAAGTTTAAGTACTAAATGTATATAAAGTAAACATAAACATTAAACCATATTATTAAAAGCAGAAACTATACCCATTAAATTATTTATAATAAAATCAGGTTGTGTGACTGTGATTTAAAAATTGCCAGGTGTTATTTCTGATTATTCACCATAAGTTGAGTATGGATTTCCATTAAATGAATATTTTGAAATATCTGAACTTGGTAAAGGTGATATCTTTGGGGATTTCGCTATGCTAAAATAAGAAAAATCTAAATATACTTATATGACAGCAATAGAATCTGAAATTATAACACTAAGTTTATTCGACATTAAAAAAATAGTTCCATCAGATTTATTAGATTAATATATTGTTAAATTATAAACATATCCAGAACCGTAAGAATTAAAAGAAATGATTATAGAAAAAGATAAATGGGAAAAATATAAGAAATAATTATTAAATAGAGTACATAAAGAGAAATAAAGTAGAAAAGGTTTTAATGAAGGTCTACGTTTACCTACATTAAATGATTCCTACATATAAGCACCAAATAGACATAATATCAAGGCCTTGTATTAATATTTATTGAATTTAGTATAATAAATGATAAAAGATAAAGACTTACTCCAGTCGAGAAAAGAGTCTTCTTTAATGAAATTAATTACCTTCGTCAATCAGTTTCTAATGAAAGACTTAAAAAGTTTCTTCATAGTTACTAATGATTTTCTAGAATAATAATTTATTTAACAACAAATATTATATACAAATTTTGAAGCCAAAGCATTAATTAATAATTTATTTTACATTAATAAAAATCACTTGAAATAAATGTCAAAGGAAGTTAGTGAATTAGTAATCACAAGGTTAAAAGCAGAACGTAGAGCATGGCGAACAGATCACCCACATGGATTTGTTGCTAAACCTACAACTAAAGAAGACGGTACTGTAGATTTACTTAAATGGGTATGTGAAATACCAGGACCATAAGGAGTATAATACTCTATACAATTAGTGTCCTTGGGAAGAGGGTACCTATACATTACATATGGATTTCTCACATGATTATCCTATGAAACCACCTAAATGTTAATTCAAACCTGTCTTACCACATCCAAATGTTTATCCTTCTGGAACTGTTTGTCTATCTATTCTTAATGAAGAAGAAGACTGGAAATCTAGTATCACTGTTAAACAAATATTACTTGGTATTCAAAAGCTACTCAAAGATGAACCCAATATAGAAAGTCCAGCTTAATATGAACCATGCAATCAATACAAGTAATTCTACTTCATTTCATTATTAGAAACAATCGTCAAGAATATTTGAAAAAAGCAAGAGAATTTGCTGCCTCACTCAAGAAGCAACCCTAATGATCATATAATCAATCAATATCTATATCATTTATTCACTTTTCATTTCACACTTTATTTCTCCATCTTTATTTTCATTTCTTAATTTTATTATTTTATAATCTATCCTCTCCCCCTATCATCCTTACTCTATTATATATCAATTACATATTATATTATCTTTAATGAGTCTTATATTCAATCTATCTAATCTATTTATCTTAAAACTAAATTTTAAACATTTCTACCTCTTTCAAAAAAACTAACAAAATTAACAATCACTAAATCAATATCAACTTATTTAAACTATTTCTACTTCTATAAATAATCCATCCTTCAGTTCCTTACAAAAATAATTATCAAAATTATCATGAAGAATTATTTACGAAATACTTTATTAACCTAATTATTACAATCAAATTATTTTAATCATATCTTTAAACTATATTATTTTTGTTAAAAAAAATTAGATGATCAAAAAATAAGATAAATTAAACAAACCTTTATGAAATCTTTTAAATTATACATTTGTTTTTATACTTTAATTAATTTCTAAAATAATTTGATTTCCTACTATTCATAACTATTTAACAACATCTTCTATTATTTTTCATGATCTTTCATCTTCTTATTTTGTAACATAAACTAACCAAATCAGAAAAACCAAAAAAAATCATTATTTACCAATTTATAAAGATGTATAATTATAAATTTACATAACATTAAATTTTAATACATGTTAACAATACTTCATTTTGATTGTTAAATCTCTTCAGTATCACATATATTTACTCTCTATGATGATTCGATTGAAATTAAAGGCCCATAATTTCTCATGGAAATAGCTATTAATTACAAGATCAAAATAAGATGGGAAATATCTGATAAAAGAATATTGTCACTTCAAATTAAGGATTTACTCATTCTTGCAAATTAAGATGATCTTATTCAATTAAAATAACACCTTGATGGAAGAGTAATATACTTAGGAATATAAAATATTTATGAAACCATGGAATTACTTTCAGCCAAAGAAAATAGTAAAGTAGCTTTCTAACTTTTATTAAGGTTTGTCAACTTGAGGAAAGGTTCACAAAAGCCTGCGTTTGTTGTAAAGCCATGCGTAAAGATGCTTATGAAATAGAACAATTACATCAATAAATATTGATATTGTATAAGTTATAACAATATTCATGCTTTCCCAAGATTTATGAAGTATATGAATCAAAAACTCATATCTACATAGTTTAAGAATTAATGTTTAAACATTTAAGCGTAGATCTAATGCATGAAGAAATTTAAATAATTATATACGTATTAATTATTGATATAATGAAGGAATTATTAAAGATTATTAAAATATTGATAGAGAATAAAATTTATTACTCAAAGATAAAGTTATCGAATTTAATGTTAGATAAGAAAGGTAATCTAAAATTAGTTGGATTTTGTTGTGCTTAATAAACAAATGAAATAGATGTTGAAAATTACTTAGCTAACATTGGAAATATCATGATGAATCTGTATTTCTTAAAATATTGATACTTAGGTATGGTGTCAATGATAGTTTTAATTCTCTTCCAATCATTGCTGATAAGGGAAATGAATTTATTGTAGGTTTAATGAATCCTAATCGTGATTATAGATTTAGTTATGAAGATGCCATGAAACATGAATATATTACAAATATATTTTGTGAAACGAACTTAATAATCAAGAAATCTCCAAATCCAAAATTAATTACAGAGGTCACAGAATCTTTAACTTTATACTCTAGGAATGGTTCTTACTTTAAAAAATAATAATGATATTATTATTAAACTTTCTTTAATTCATAATGTTTTGAAAATATTTGTGTAAATCAATTTCATTTATAATTCCATTTATAAATCATGAAATCAGAATCTTATATCTGAATGTTTTATCAATAATAAGCCTACATATCTTTTTAATATTTAAATATGATTAGCATTTATCTTATTATTTGTTAAAGAAATCCAAAACAACAAATCTTTATTTTACAAAAATTAAATTATTTCAAAAAAATCATAAAATGTCCTTTAGCATGATAAGTGAGTAATTAAACTTTAAAGCAAATTTAAAGAAACTTCTTATTTTTATTTTATATAGAATATTAGAGACAGTAATGCTTGGATATTTAGAAAATTTTGACCCTAAATTTTTCTATTATTTACTAAAAGTATTATCTTTCACCCCAAAATATTTCACACATAATAAGAAAAAACTGACTCTTAATTTCTCTTACTTAATTTGAAAATAATTGTCATATACGAGGGAAAAATAAAACTTTAGACGCTTTCAAAATATCAATAATTAAACTTATGGGAAAAATAAAAGAGAATGAAGAGAACTAAAAATCACGGAAAAATCTTCTAAATTTTATCAACTTTAAGAAATCAAAAGGAATAGTTAGGAAATCCATTAATTAGAAGGAAAGATTTCTTGGTTATGATGATATTATTTTCAGTAAAAAATAATATATTTTAGGTTCAAATAATTTAAGAAATTTCTAATTATAAAGAATTTAAAGGAAGATTTAAAGAATTAGATAAGCTAAAATATTTAATAAATGTAAATACTATTGCAATCATTATTAAAATGAAAAAATTTCTGCATTTAATTTATAGGAAGATAGATTATAATGTATATATCATAATGGAGAAAACAAAAAAGCAATATCATTTCAAAAGTGTTAAGAGTAACTTGAAATTTATTCAAAATAAGAAGAGTAATTAAAATTATAAATATAGATATTTTAAAAAATTATATGAGATGAAAAATTCAATATATTCATTGCGATTCATTTTAAATTGTATAAAAAAGAAGATTTTAAGTTTTTAAAAAAAGTAAAAATATTTTCAAGATAATTAAAAAGAATTTGATAATTTGTACTAATTGAATCCAACGATTCATATTAATACTTATAAAAATCTTGATAGGTTTTTAAAATAAAATCAAGAATATATTGCACTAAATATGTCAGAACAACAAGAAATAACAAATTACGAATGTGTTTTAGATCCTTTTAAAAAAAAGATTTAGTAAATTTAAATAATACACAGCAATTTTCTTAATAGTTTAAAGCCTTGCAAATTAAAAATAATTTTAGAATTAATTAGGAACAATTTAATTGATGGTTTTCATTTAGAGGCTTAATAATTGTCAACATTATAGGACTTATTCAATTGGGTGAAATAGAAGTTTAATTGGGATAATAATAAATCCTAATTTACAGTATATATTGACTATATGAGTATGATGAATTTTCAATAATAATATTCATCTGTTCAATTTGTTTTATATTATCAGTAACAATTATATATTTTAATTATTTATTTAAATATGAAATATTAAATACACAATTTTTATATGATTATAATTGATAAAGATTATTTTTATTAAGATAATTAATAAAGTAATTATTAAATATGTTTAGATGATATGAATAATAAATTGATGTGCACCAATTAGATTATAGAATTAGATGTTTAATAGATTGAATATTTTGAAGTTTAAAAATTAAATAAAGCTAAGAAAAGAGATAGATGGATGTTAAAAGTCTGTAATGTAGTGAGGAAGATTGCAATGTGTTTGTTTTATATAGAAGGAGAATTAAATTTTTTTGAAATAAGAGAGATAAAAAAGATGAGNCATAATGGAGAAAACAAAAAAGCAATATCATTTCAAAAGTGTTAAGAGTAACTTGAAATTTATTCAAAATAAGAAGAGTAATTAAAATTATAAATATAGATATTTTAAAAAATTATATGAGATGAAAAATTCAATATATTCATTGCGATTCATTTTAAATTGTATAAAAAAGAAGATTTTAAGTTTTTAAAAAAAGTAAAAATATTTTCAAGATAATTAAAAAGAATTTGATAATTTGTACTAATTGAATCCAACGATTCATATTAATACTTATAAAAATCTTGATAGGTTTTTAAAATAAAATCAAGAATATATTGCACTAAATATGTCAGAACAACAAGAAATAACAAATTACGAATGTGTTTTAGATCCTTTTAAAAAAAAGATTTAGTAAATTTAAATAATACACAGCAATTTTCTTAATAGTTTAAAGCCTTGCAAATTAAAAATAATTTTAGAATTAATTAGGAACAATTTAATTGATGGTTTTCATTTAGAGGCTTAATAATTGTCAACATTATAGGACTTATTCAATTGGGTGAAATAGAAGTTTAATTGGGATAATAATAAATCCTAATTTACAGTATATATTGACTATATGAGTATGATGAATTTTCAATAATAATATTCATCTGTTCAATTTGTTTTATATTATCAGTAACAATTATATATTTTAATTATTTATTTAAATATGAAATATTAAATACACAATTTTTATATGATTATAATTGATAAAGATTATTTTTATTAAGATAATTAATAAAGTAATTATTAAATATGTTTAGATGATATGAATAATAAATTGATGTGCACCAATTAGATTATAGAATTAGATGTTTAATAGATTGAATATTTTGAAGTTTAAAAATTAAATAAAGCTAAGAAAAGAGATAGATGGATGTTAAAAGTCTGTAATGTAGTGAGGAAGATTGCAATGTGTTTGTTTTATATAGAAGGAGAATTAAATTTTTTTGAAATAAGAGAGATAAAAAAGATGAGAAGGGAAGAAATTGAAAACATAATTTTAATAATTTTTAATGTGTTGTTTTTTATATATAATTAATTAAGGATGTATAAGAGAATATAAGCAAATGTGAGAAGTAAAGAGGAAGATGAAGATTTTTTTGAATGGAATCAAATGTATGTTTAATAAGAGATGGAGAGTGATATTGAATGTTATAATTGTTAATTGTGTGATCGTCAATTTGGTAAAAATGAATATGAATTAAATGCTCATATAAATTCACATGATCACAAAAAGTTGGAGAAAGAATTTAGAAAGAGATATAATAATTTGATAATAGAATATAGATTGAGCACATATTCATAGAGAATAGGAAGAAAATTGAAAAAACTACAGTATTTTAAGTGCATATATGAATACAAATGATTAATTAAAATATGAAATAATTATCAAAATCAATAAGATATGCTTATTGGAATACAATAAAGGATATCAATCCTCTTTTTGTAGAAGCATAATATGCAGTGAGAGGATAGGTGCCTTCAATGGCAGCTACAATCTAAGAGGAAATAAACTCAGGCAAAAAATACCCTTTTGATTCTATCACCGAGTTGAATATAGGTAATCCATAAACATTTGGTTAAAAACCAATAACATTCAATAGAAGTGTTTTATCATCTATGTTGGATCCAAATATCTTAAAATATCAATCAGGAGATGTATAAAGAAGAGTGAAGTTTTATAATGATAAAATTGGTTTCTAAGTTGGTGCCTATAGTTAATCTCCAGGATATCCAATAATAAGAGAAGCTGTTGCAAAGTAATAATAATTAATTTACTCTCTTTTAGTTTTATCTAAAAAAGAGATGCCACAAAAAATAAACCTTCAATTAATGATATTATCTTAACTGATGGTGCATCTTCAGGCATTACTTTAATGTTTAACTTATTGCTAAAAGATAAAACTGATGGTGTCATGATTCCTATTCCATAATATCCTCTCTATTCTGCGGTTATTGCATAATGTGGAGCATAACAAATACCTTATTATTTAGTTGAAGATAAGAATTGGTCAGCAGAACAATAATAATTAGAAGGTATACTTTTCAAATATTTTTTATTTAGAATAATATTAGAAAGCCAAAAGAAATGGAATCAATCCAAGAATTTTAGTATGCATCAATCCAGGAAATCCTACAGGTTAAGTATTTGATAAATAGAGCATTGTTGAAATGATCAAGTATTATTCTCTTTTTATTCAGGTTTGCTGCAGATAAGAAAATTACTATTTTCGCTGATGAAGTCTATTAAGAAAATATTTATGACTCAAAGAAAAAGTTTATATCTTTTAGAAAAGTAGCCAATGAACTTAATTTGGATGTAGAAATTTATTCTTTCCACTCAATCTCTAAAGGAATTACTGGAGAATGTGGTTTAAGAGGTGGCTATATGGAAATAACATCTAAGATTGATTCAGAAGTTCATTTTTAAATTCATAAATCTAAAAGTATATTTTAATATAATCTGTATAGCAATAATGCTTTGTTCCAATACAGTAGGGTAATTGATGACAGGATTAATGGTTACTCCACCAACTGTTGAAGAAGGTTGTTCTGAATTCACTGTTTTATAATATAATGATGAATGCAAAGCTCTCTTTACTAGTTTATAAAGAAGAGCTGCCATTGTTACTCAATATCTTAATTAAACCAAAGGTGTTTCTTGCCAACCTATTGAAGGTGCAATGTATGCATTCCCAAGGATCTACTTATCAGGTATTTTTAATATATTACTGTTTTAGATAAATATGTCTAACATGCTAAGAAATTAGGTTATGAACCTGATGTTTTATATTGCTTAGATCTTCTAAAAGAAACTGGATTAGTTGTTGTCCCAGGATCAGGGTTCTTGTAATATCCAGGAACATATCATTTCAGAATGACAATCTTGATTTTACCAGAAGAGAAACTTCTAGCTAAAATGAAAATATTCCAACAATGGCATGAAAATTATCTTGCAAAATTCTAATGATCATTTGTATATTTTATGAACAAAACAATAACAACAATCAAATTATCAATTATATATATGTATTCTTATTGATTAACCTTTTCAAATAAAAACTAATCTTACACAAAACTTACAATATTTATAATTGCTGATTAATAATTAATTAATTTTGCCTATTTTTTATTCATAACAATTCTTTATAGGAAGATTTATGAATGAGAAGAATGATTGCATTATTCTAATAAAAGCATACTAATCCAGGTTAACTATGTATTAGAAAATGTTTGATTATATCAATTTTAGAAAGTAACAAAAAGATAATAAATAAATAAATAAATGAAAATTTCATCAATTTTTTATATGCTGAGTTTAAATTAAAAAAAATATAAAAAGAATTTTGCTAAAAATTAACATAATCTTGATTATTTTTTAGATTTATTGAATTGACATATCTATATAAAATAAGAGTAATAGTGTCATACTTATAAATTCTCTAAACTGATTACAATATTGAAATAATTTCATCATCATTTCAAGAAATATGAGAAAAATATTTGTTGGGATAAATTATTAGGGTTGAAGAGGTAATTTTAAATTTAAATTGAGCAAATAAATTAAAATTATATTAATCACTAATAAAATTATTTTTTTGTTATCTATTTCATTGTAGATTTTGAGTAGAGTTATGAATAATGTTATGGACAGACTTACTAATTTTATCACAAAGAATAAATGCAATAATATTAAGAAATATCTATATATGATGAATACTTAAAAAAGGATCTATGATCTAAAATTTAATAAAATAGATATATTGCATAAAAAGAAAGAATAAATTTAGTATGGAGAGAGGAAAAAACAAAACATTTGGGATTGATTCTTCTATAATTGATATTAACAAACAATATATATCATTTCAATTTACCATAAGGTTTTATAAAGTCTTGATTACAAAATATTTAATTACATATGATAATTTATTAATAAAAAAAAAGAAATAACTTTTAAAAATATCAGATGGTTGTTTATGATTTACCCTTTGAAGCTAAAGATGATGCATAATCAGCATATCTTTTGGCATTGCCTATTGCTCTTCTTATTCCCATTACTTTAGTGGGTACTAACATTAAAACCACAAAAGGTACAATATCATACCAAACTGATTCTGTTCCTAAATAAATAGTTTTAATTAGATTTACTTAACATTGGTTTTTTGGCAGATATATTTGGATCAAACCATTTGAATTCATATCTTACAAATTCACATCTTCCATATACTAAATAATTAAATAAATTTAGTATTTTGCTTCCAATTAATTTATAATGATCTAATTATATAAATCGTTTTCTTTAATCGATATACGGAACTGATAACAATTCTTCTATCTTATAATATGAGTTCAAATAAGGAACATATTGTTTATAGATTGGAAATTCCAATATTAATCGTTTACCTTATTTAATTAGATTTTAAACACATGCTCTGGTTTCTCTTTATATACCAGTATATCCTTCATTTTTTATCAAATTTGCAAAACGAGTTACTCTATCAAAGAATAGAAGTAATTAAAAGTTTTTTACAAAGAATTCTCTCATTATTTGATTGGCATTTGCATCTTTTGATTCTGTCCAATGTATATATGGATTATGAATATTAAATTTATTACCCATAAGGATCCAATCTCTAGGTTTGTATTCTTCAATATAATGTTTCTCTTAGAAATCTTTTAAAATGATTTCCTTGTACTTAAGGAAAAGCTCATTTTATTTTTACAGATCTATGCTATTCATGAGGATTACTTTTTTCTTTAGAAAGTGCTGCAGTGAAATATTCTGATGCGTCTATTATTTTGTCATCTACATATTAAAATAGACATAATTTTTCTAAGAAGACTTCAATACTGTATAAGTACATCAAGGAAAATATTATGCTTGTTGATCTCCTTCTAATACAATTTAAACCAAATTTAAAAAGCAATGGATACCATTTATATGACCAAGTTTAATTATAAACATAATTGTAGTAATCCATTTCTGTGTAAATGATCATTTTATTGAATCGAGTCACATTATTCTCATCTACTTTAAACAATTATCTAAATTCATTGTAAGTTAATAGTAAATAAGGTTTGTAGGTAGGATTATTAAAAAGTATTCTTCTGTTTTCTGGAGATTATTCTACTTTTTTTGAATTCAATAATTCAATGACTCTATCCATTAAGAAAATTAATTAAGGTTTTTAATTAGTTTAATTTATATCTAAATATACATAAATTTGTAATAAATATTAAATATATCATTTTTTGATTTTGTTTAAATTGATACCTACTTGTAAATATTATTTTAAACAACTCATGAATTCTTGATTTAGTTGAAATTCTTTAGGAGAATAGATAGAGGAATAAGAATGTTAATATTGTTCTTAATTTTCTAAATTGTCATTTTAATTTTAAAGTTTATGAATAGAGAATGAGGAATCATCTATGGGTAGTTTAACAAGAGTAAGAATTAAGTTGAATTCCATATTATGCTTTTTAAATTCTAAATTATAAAGGATTAATAATTTGTTGATTGGAATCAAATTTGATATAGATGATGATTTAAAACATTTCTTATAGATAATGTTAAATAGGATGAGTTTAATGAGATTCAATAGATTGTGTAATTTGAATAGCTTGTAAATTAATTTGTTTAGATCATATATCATTATAATTGACTTTGGTTTCACGTATTTAAAACATGATAGCTGGTTATGTTTTCTCTTAAGCAATAGAATCAAGATCTTTATATTATCTTTATTAAACTCTGGGAGCAAAGTTGATAGGTAATTATATTCTAGATTGAAATATGAATATATACTTATTTTCTTAGAATTAAAGTTCATCGATAGCTCCTTTGACAAAAATTTGTCTTTGGATAGTAGCTTTACTTATTCGTTCAATTTTATGATTGGTAGCCATTTATTAATCGATGACTTATTAACGTAGGGATTATTGATGTTCCCAATATTATCTTTCATGTTTAAGAGAGATATGTTTAATTAGATAGGATCCTCCTTGGAATTGTTTTTCACAAAAGATACAAGGGAAAGCATCTTTTGATCTAGTTTTAGCTTATTTTAATCCCATGAGTATGATTTCATTATCAATTAATTCATTTATTGGTAATTCATCACTAGTTTCTTCTCTTCTACGATTGCATAATGCTTAAATGATATCTTGCCATTCTAGATTGCATTTCTTTTTTGTATCTAATCTAAAGAAATGCTACAAAATATATTAATAGATTAGAATATACATAGCCAACTTTAGAAACAAGTAATCTATAATCAGAGAATTCAGCACCACTCCAATAACAATAATTATGAATTCTTCTTAAATATAAAGTTTGTATATCTAATTATCTATTAAATGTTGGATCATCTCTATCTTTAAGTGGTCCTTCAAGTAATGGATTACCAGTAATTCCTTTCTCTTTATCTAATACTTTAATGAGTTCTCTTTAATGTTATAAATCCTTCAATAATTTATTATATTCAACTGATTTGAAGACTCGAACAAATTTTCTAACCATGAATATTATTAAATATTACCTCTTTTCTTATTATTTTTAAAATTACAATACATGTCCTTTGATTGTAATACTCTCATCATTTACACAATTATTACAATATTCTTCTCCATCAAAACTAACCCAACCTATACGTGTATAATTCTATGATTTATTTGGTTCTGACAATGTTAGACTTACATAACCACTCATTTATGATAGTGCTTTAACTACTTCTACTCTAGATAAAGGTAAAGGCACATTCTTTATAAACACACTATTCTAATTTGGATCAGAACCAAAAAATGGTGCTTTACTTATATCAATCGATTCTAAATTTATTTACATATTTCACTCACCTTTAAGTTAAAATTCCCAAAAAGGTACATCTGGATCATCATTATAGAAATGATCATTCAATTCAAAGAATTCCATTAATTACATTTCTGTCAATGTTAAATTTATGTTATTGAAACCTCCCATATTATATTACTTTAAAAATTCATTGAACCGATTCTATGCTAATTAATTACGTTCTTCCTAAAACTCTCTTCTATTTACTGGATTGTATTTATCTTAAATCCAAGGTTCATCTTTATGTTAATCAAAGAATAACTCCTTCTATTTATTTTCCCATTTCCTTTCATATGTCTAATAAAGAAGTCGCAATTTCTCAGTCGGAATATCATTGTTTACCTATTATCTCATATCAATTTCATACATATAATTCTTAAAATTATTCAAAGTTTAACAACTACTAATCAAGTGATGGAAACTCTACAGTATGTTTTACTCTCTTTATCTACTTCTTCTTGTTTTTAAAATTTCTTTTTTTTGAATTACTTCTACTTCTGTCCTTACTTAAATTTGAAACAGATGATGATGCAGAAGAAACACTATTTTATTATATTCCAATCTATTTACCTCCTAGATGATCCTCGTTCGTCCATTAATTAAATTATTCACTTCATATAAAATATATATATAATCAAGACAAAATACAATTATTACAACCAATAAACATATCAATTATTTTTCATTTTTTCCCTTTGTAAGACAATAAATATTCACCCAAAAACCTCACTGCATTTTATGGCCTTATCATACTATTCTTTCATACTTTTATATAGCCACCTCTCTTAAACCACTTTACAATGCCTCTCGAAAATCAGTCATATAATATTCATTCATTGGAAGATTTTAAAATTTTGGTAAATCTTAATCAATCTTAAACTCATAAGACTTGTCTTAACTTTAATCGTTGTTCATTATATATTATTTTATTTATTATTATAAACTAATATTAAATCCAACTACTTATTTCTAATTTTATTCAAACAACTCTCATCATCATTCCACAAACATATACAAAATAAAACACATCCATTATCTACATCAATTAAATCATTATCAACTTCTTAAATCTTATGAACCCTTATTTATAATATTAATAAATTTAACAAAATTTTTATTTACCAAAATATGTTTTGTATATATACTATTAATTTTTCATCATCTCTCTAATTCTCCAATAATCTTAGATCATTTAAGAACTTTTAAAACAAAATATTTACAAAAAAAAATATATTTGCCTAATTAATTTACTAAAATGTTATCATCCAATTATGTCTGAAAACACTAATATTTCTATGGCTTATTCAAATTGATGAAGATTGGAACTTCTTTTAATATATAATATTTTTATAACATATTATCGAAGCTATTATATATTTAAACTACAATATTATAAAACATCATTCAAGTTAAATAAATTAAAATAGAAATATTTAAAATCTATATTTGATAATCCCATATTATCTTGTTACGATTTAATATTAATTAAATATAAATTCTTATCATTAAAATAAAAAAACAAAAATGATAAATTATTCAATAAATGAGGAACAAGAATAGGATCTTTAATTGAATCCAAATGATTGTATTTTTCATGTTAAAAATGGAATCACTACTGATAACAAGTAATAATAAACATTTAGTAATTTCATAAATCCAATTGATGCCAGTTATGATGAAAGTTTAAAATAACAAGACAAATAAGAAGAAATTAATTAATAATAGGTTTAGAAATAAAAAAGTTTTGAAAAAGAAAGAGATTCTATGAGGCTATATGTAAATCGATTTTAAAAAAATTGGGGAACAATTGGATTATAGATATTACAGGAATCTTATCAATATAGTATAGACATTGATAAGAAAAGCTCAAAGGATATTTTGAAGAGAATTTTATAAGATCCTACAAAATCCACACACGCTTTAAAAGTTCTTTAAAATCCACTTTTTTATAAGGAAATCGAATAGCTCTAAAATAAACCACTCCAAGAATTAATGAGCATATTAATCGGTAAGTTTTTCAAACATGTTAATCAAGATAAAAAAAAAAATTATCAATCTTTCATTAAGCTAAGAAAAGTAGATAATCATATAGATTAACTTCTTAGATTATTGTAAAATAAAATTCAATTTAATACTGAGACCAGATAAATGAAAAAAAGATCTAAATGAAGTTATTATAAAAGTGATTTGAGGCATAGTTATTGAGTATTTTATTTATTTTTTCTTTAAAATTTTTATAAAAGAAAATACTCAGCTAAATATACATTGAATCAGAGAATATTATAGATCTTTATAAAGTAATTACGAATTGATAAAATGCTTGACTTTTCATCGAAACAGAAAAAAAGATGATCAAAAATAAAACTCATTTTGCTTTTCATTAATCATTAATAATTTAATTACAAATTTTGCATGAATCTCTTTAATGATCAATAGTTTAACCCAGATTAAGATATATTTTTTTAGGATTTTAATGAAGAAATTTAGGCTTTTGAAGGATCAGAATTTATAAGTATTTCGATAGATAATAATAATCGTGAACCCTCTAGAAAAAATGAAACAGAAAAATTAGTCAAGGATTATGACGAAGTTTAGAAACATTAGATTTTTTACTCTATAAAAAAAAATATAAACAAAAAAAAATATAATAAATTACAAAAACATACAATTTGATAAAACTCATAGTTGGAAAGTAGAAATTTTAATTGAATATCTATTTTATGATTAATATTATGATTAATATATAGATTTTAATTTACATAAATACATTGGCCAAATTTATAAAAGGTAAATACCAACAAAAATAAAAATGTACATCCAAGGGGCCATAATTCTTAAATTTATTCTTGGAGTTTAGAATTGTTAAGTAAAATAAACTTTCTTTCAATATAAAACTATACGATCTTTTCAAAATAATTAATAATACCTCAGGTAAAAATATTTTGGATTAAATCAATAGATTACCAAGTAAATATGTATTTTATGAATCGATTTTCATATAATGTTTGTTTTATTTTTCATTTATTAATGCTGTGCACAATTTTAAATATTAACTATAATTGAAGGGAAAAATATTTCAATATATGAAAATTAGGTGTAAAATCATAAATTTAGTGTGTAAGAATAGTATCAATGTCATCCATAGGACCTGTTTGAAGAGGAATTTGAATAGAATAGCAGAATATTTTATTTTAAAAATTAGCATTAAAATGCCTTAAATTTAAGCATAATACCAATATCACTTAAACCTCAAGATATGATGCTAATGAATGAAATAAATTAAGTAGAATAATAAGAAATAACAATAGAGGGAGATTCAATACAAGAATACAAAATAATATATGAATGTTATTAGGGTTGGTCATATGTGGAATTACATGTTCGATATGAAAAGACTATATTAAATTTTAGATATATAAAGATTTGTGAAGAAAGCCTTTATTATCATGATTATCCTTATTTAATATTGACAGCTATATCTTTAACATTAATATATATTGGATCAATTTATGGATAGAAGAGATTCAAATTAAAGCAAGCATAAGCAGAACAATAAATTGATGAATTAGAATCAAGTGATTCATTTTATAAAGCAAGACAAATTTACTCTCCATAATATTCTCAACCTACATAGATAATGAAAATAGGAGATTTACAAATAACATCTGATACAGGTTAGATAATTTCAAAAAAAGGTAAGGAAACTAATTTAAAGTTAAGATTATTTTTATATATGTTTTTTGTTTTTGGATTATTAATAGTGTTAAATATATTGGAATATATAACCTTATTAGAGATCCCAATTTATGGGATATATTTTGTTTGTGTTCAAATAACAATGACAGATCTCTTGATATATATTATATCATCATCTATTTCACCCAATATAAAATTACCTTTATATGGGAAAATAAAATTGATAAACTTATTTACTTATTTGTTACAATTTGTATTTACTTTTTATTTAATTATGACAGATAATTGGGTATTGAGGAGTTTTAGTTCTGTTTGTTTGCTATTTTAATTAATAAGAGTATTTCAATATGTTATAAATTTAGTTTATGAAGTTTTATAATCTTTAATAATTAATATCAGTTTATTGTTTTATTTTTGGAATGTCATATTTTACATAGAAATAATTTTAAATAGATTATCCAAAATTATATTTTCCGAACACATTTTTGTTAGAGAATCCAAAATTAACATGTTCAAGTATAGGATTATTATAATTAATGTTGCCATGTTAATTATTAACATATATAAGATACTTTATAAAATAAAGTAGATCACATTAAAAATTATTTAATTTGTGTTATTTAAGTTATGTAATAGGAGTAGGTGTTAATTTATTATCAGACAATAATGAGATTGTATAAACATTAATTGAAAATTTGTTGCCATCAATAATGATCTTTTTGGGAATAAATGTGTATGGAATTGCGAAAAGATAAATGAAATAATTATATTTTGGAATAGAGTCTGGAATACATAACAGAGCAATTTAATAAGAATATAGTTATGAATTAACAATTGATAAATATAATAAAAATTAGTGAATAATATCATAGAATTCTTTTTCTTTCAATTTGATTAGCACTATGACTATATTCTCTACTTTCTTTAAGATTAGATTTAATCTTTCTATAAGTTATAAAATTATCATAGTTATATCTAATTGGTAGAGGACTCTGTTATCGACCTGTGAAATAATTTTTATTGATTTTCTATTTAAAAGATGTCTTTCGAAAAGTTTTCTACTAAAAATCTTCATAATCTAGAAGAACAGTACGATTAGATAGATCTCCATTGATACCTATCATTGAATAAAGTGTCAAAGAATCATATAATTATTCACTAGTATCAACAATTGAATCTAGGGAGATGGTGGCTGATTTATTAGGATTTTTAATGATAAGTTCTTATTATTTGATAGGATTAGAAATGATAAGTTTATTAGCTGCTAATTAATTAGAAAGATGGGATTTAAATTGTTTGATATCTGGTTTAAATGTGTATTAACAATTATTAATATATTAGATAGGTTTAATAATTCTTTAAGATGTAAATTTAAGATTGTAAAGTTATTTAAATTGTAACATATTTAGAAGTATGACTACAATTAGTTTATCGGAGAGTATCATATCTTGGAAGAATAATTAATATAGATCATCTTCTCCATTAATTTAAATATGAAAATCAGCATGAAAGTTCCTAATAGAAACAGATAAGTGTTATTAAACTTAAATGAGTTTTGCAATTAATTCTTATAATTCTAATTTCCTAGTGTACTTTAGAATGAGAACAGATGGTGAACACTTTTATTTTGGAGTCTTATTTTATTTATTAAGACTAAAAATATTGACTTTACCACTAAGATATTAAAAAGCCTAGACATATCCTAGAGATGTAGCTTGGTGCATTAAGGAATTCTTTTGTAATCCCATTTTCTTGTTGTAATCAAAGTACTCCTCACTGCATGATTAGAAACTCTGTTTAAAATACTTGATCTTACTCGAATTGATGGCACCTATAATATCTCATGGATAGGTGCGACTTTTAAACTATTCTTTTAATTAGGATTTTAGTATCTCATCAACACTTTAATCAGTCTAGATTGATTTTCGTATTCATTTTGATTTCGACAATGTTTTCTCAACACAAAATGTAATGGTGTATCTCCATTCACACCTTTCATTGGAGTTCCTATATTTTAACTAATCACCAACATTTTCTCTTCCCAAACTCCAAATATTTATTTCTCTATCATACATTCCACTACTTCCACTTCTAATTTACTACATGCCCATAATAATATAAATCTCACTAATTTTGAACATGGATCTATGTAATCTAATAAAATCTTAAATATTCTATCTATTATTCTACTACATATACTTTATATTTAATTTGGCTGCCAATATTATTGGCTATGGATGATACATTCTCATCAAACATTCAGGATGAAATGTACAAATTTATGGTATCACACTCCTTTCATCATATTAAATTGCTTTTATTAATACTGTATTTGTAAATGATGCAAATACATTCACAAAATGAGTAAAATTGAATTCTTTATGATTTCTTAACAATTATCCTACTGAACTTCTCTGTAAGTTTTATTGTCTATTATCCATATCAATTAATTAAAACCAACTCATATTCAACTATTTTATTGAATAATTATGTAAATAAATCTCAAATGGGTTTTGTTAAATGTCCAAACTCATCAAACTTAATTTTGAAAAGTCTGTCGATTTTAATTAATTATTTCCTATCTCTAATGTATGTAATCTCTACAACTATACCTTAGGAAACACACTTATCTAATTATGGTTTAATATTAATATTTCCAACTATTACATCTCTACTATTTGATTTGGAATCAACCTTATATTATTATTACTTAAATTTAAAACCCTTACTGATAATATTATTGGCAATTCCACTAGACTTTTCGAATTTAAGTTCACCTCTTTTTAATTATTTTGATCCATTAATTAATAAAATGAAATATCAGATTCATTATTATTAAATCACCCCATAAATTCATTCTTTAATTATCCATTCAAAAAGCTCAAATCGATTTCATTTGAAATAATTACTCAAACATTATATTGAATATTATCTATTAGTGAAAAATATATTATGCTTCACTACTGTAATTTGAATTATATATATATAAATTACTTATTAATATTACCAGATAAATACATGTTTGGAAGTTTTATAAAAGTATTAGAAAATGATAATATAAAAAGATATATTAGAATATTAATAAAATATATATTATGAACAATCAATCATCTAGCAACAGAAAATTCTAATTTAACATTCATAGCTGCCAATTCATTTACAAGATATCTCAGTACAAATGGTATAGCAACTTTGGAACACTTAGATTATTTGCATCTAACACAATAAGGATGAGAACTCTAGACAGATTGAATATTTTCTAAAGAAAGCAATTAAACAAATTAATATGTTGCTAGCATATTACCACATTTATCACATATGTAAGCTAATAGATAAAAACGATTAAATACTTTCAGAGTAATCTGAACATTTTAATAGACGATCATTAATACAATAAGCAACACCATGTGCAATAAGAGCATCTCTTTCCATTTCTCCAAGTCTGATACCTCCACCTTTCTTTCTACCTTTAATTGGCTATTGTGTGAGAACATCAACAGGTCCCATACTTCTTGCTTGAGATTTATCTGAAACCATATGTCTTAATCTCTAATAGTAGACAACTCCAAAATAGATATCAACTTTAAGTGGGGTTCCATAAATGCCAGAATATAATGTTTCATTTCCATGATAGTTGAAACCATGTTTAATTAATTATTTACCAAAGTAATCAACCACATTATCATTTTCATAATTTTAGAAAGGATGAGTTTCAAACATTTCTCCTTATAAAACATTCGCCTTAGCAGCCATACTCTCTATTAACATACCAATAGTCATTCTAGAAGGGAAAGCATGTGGATTAATAATAATATCAGGTACCATTCCAGATTCTGAAAAAGGCATGTCAATTTATGGCCATAATAAGGACATAACACCTTTTTAACCATGACGAGATGAAAATTTATCACCAATTATAGGATTACGATTTATTCTATATTTGATCATGACTGATACATCATTTTCAGATTTATTAACCACAGCTACTTATTCAATTCTGGCAGTTTCACTATCTTTAGACTTATGAATTTTAACTTATTACAATTGAGTATCATAGAGAGCCAAAACAGCATTACCTTTTGTAATAACTTAAGATTATTCAGGTAATCCATAAGGTAATAAATTAACAGGTATTTATGATTTAATTTGGTTGTATAATTGTATAGGTATTTGACTAAGTAATTTATATTTGACTTCTTTATCATCATTTAAAGAATACTCTGTAGATTTATAAATAATGCCATGACCGAATCCCCTCTCATAACTAGATTTACATAAGATCATTGCATCTTCCATATCATATCCTGTATAACTGATAACTGCTACAATGGCATTAGTTCCACTAGCATAATCAGCAAATTAGTAATCATCATAACCAAAACATCTGACAACTGGTTTTTAAGGAAAGAGAATACGATACATTTTATTATCAAATCTATAAGGATAATTATGACATGGAGATCCCATCGTTTATTTAGCCATTTAACATTGATACATATTTCTGGGACTTTAATTATAATTAAGAAATGGCACATTAGAAGCAAGAATACTCAAAATATATGCTGGGTCAATTTCTTGATATTAAGTATCAGTACGAATATCAGCTTAAGTACAAGCTATACTCATATTGATTTATTCTAATGGACTTATCCATTCTATAGAATTTAATTTTAGATTGATAACTGGTCTCATTAATCTAGCTACTGTTGTATTAATGTAGACACCAGGAAAGAGAGGAGACTTATTAACTTCTCTAGGTAAACATGCAACTTCTGTTGTTTCCTTAATTGTTCCATTAGATTTATAAACTCTTAATGTATGTTCAAATGTTGGTAATAATTAAGAATTCAAATAACCTATTAATTTACCATTCAAAAGAACTGGTAAATCATTTTTAGAATAAATTAATCTTTGTGATTATACTCCTAAAGGATAGAGTAATGGTTCAATATCTTATTCATCTGGATGTGTAAGTGGAACACAACTCATAGTAATATGATTAAGTAAACCACAAGGTCCTCCATCTGGTGTATGAACAGGACAAACGAATCCCCAAACATCAGGAAGTAATTTACGTACTGTTGTAGTTTTCATTTAAGCAAAATATGATCCTCTATGAACAGATCGGAAATGTGAAAGGAATCTCATATTATTTAATTTATCTGCTATTATAGTAAATCCACTAGCTTCCATTAGATCCAATCCAGTTTAAGATCTCAAATTACCAGTAGCTAAAAAATTCTCTAATTTTTCACCTACTGTTGTTTATAAATCAAAACATCTTTTAAAATAAGCCAAATCTCTTAATTTAGATTATTCTTTAGAGGCATCCTTTAACATTTTTTCTCTAACTCCAATTAATAAATCTTCCAATTTCTCTCTCAAATATGCAGTATAAAGATGTCCAGATAATAGAACTTCTTAATTAACTAAAGAATCCAAATTATCAGGATTGATTTCATCAATAAATAAAGCATATAATTTTTCAATGCATAACAATAAGATAGTAGCCTTATCTTAATCGTTGTCTAAATGAACACAAATATGTTCTTTCAAAAATATACGTCCAACTTAGAGATCAGTAGTTTCTGGATTAAATATATTTAGTTCTACTCTCAGTAATCTTCCTATATATTCAAGTGCATCTTTTTAAGTATTAATTCCTCTTGATTTAGCATCAGCAATCATGACTTCAACTCTATCAGAAATATCTGCTTTATCTGCTTACGAACGCACTATCTATTAATATATTTAATAATCATTCATATCTGTTAATGCTCTTAATAGTATTATTATAGGCATTTGTAATTCTTTCTTCTTCAATATGATTCTTAAATAAACATTACCATCCATCAAATAATGTAAAGTAATAGTTCTAGCATATTAATCTGATCTCATGCATTTCATCTGAACTGCATATGGTGAAAAGTTAAACCCTTTATTCTTATATCCAGGTCTCTTAAACGCAATCGGATAATTTCTCTTTTGTATGATCAACATTCTTATAATCTTCTCATTTCCATTTATTATAAAGTAACCTCCAAACTCATTACAATCTTCTTACTATTACACCAATTCTTTCATTTAGCCAAATCACAAATACCTTCTGCATTCAACCCATTCAAATGACACTTCTAACTCTTCACTAATATTGGTATCTCTCCCAAAGATAAACGTACTGTCTCCTTTGTATTGTCATCAATCTCTCTACATATCGTGGCCAACATAGGAGCTGTGTAACTCTTCTTCATCTATCTACATTGACTTGGAAAAACTCTATTATCTCCTAACATCCCTTATTATGTTGGCATCCCTATTTATAGTTCCTCTATCCAAATCTTCATATTCTTAAATGGTAACCGAATCTCTCGATTCCCAGGCACGCAAACTTCTATTGGACTTAAATGTCGACATATCTCAACCAAACCATGTGTATACAAATAATTAAAACTCTCTATATGATGCTTTGCTGCCACTCTCAATTGATCCCCTTATTAAATTTCCATAAATTAAAATTTTATATCAAATATATAATCTCACTTATATTAAGTTTTACTAAACTAGATTTTCATCAAAAAATGTCTTTAATTTTAGATGGTTTTTTCTTTTACAATTCACTTATATTCAAAAACTATCCTTTAGTTTCTTTCAGTGATATATTATCTAAATTTGATCATAATTTAAGCTTCTTTGATACCTCCATAAGTTTTAATCCAATTTTATGTTTTCTTCATTAAATTAATATGAAGCAATAGCTATTCAAATACTTTTAATTAAAAATGTGCCATTCTATTATTAAATTTAATGAAGGTATGATTGTTTTATTGAAATTAGAAATTTAAACTCAAAAATAGAATACTGGGATCAATCGATTAATGTCAACTTTGGAAAGAGATGGCATTTTAATAATATTATTGAAATATGAGTACAAATAAATCGTTTATACATAAAGATAAATAAATTATAGTATATTTGATATAATCAATATGAAGGTATTAACTTCTCTTCTATATAGGCAGCACCAACTTTATTAGTAAATTCTCCAACTTTATCTAAACCTTAAGCCCAATCATAACCAGTAGCATATGCAAATATTTATCCATCTTGTGAAACTTAACCTGCAATAGCTGGACCATCTAATTTAACACCCATAATCTTATTTTTTTTATTAATATCCCAAAATGCTAGTGTACCATCAGATCCACAAGTACCAGCCCAATTAGAAGATCGACAATTAAATTGAAAAGCATTGCACATATACATTCTAGATACTTTTTCTGTTCTATATTATGATATTCTATTTTCTTCATCTACTTTATAACATTTGAATTAAAGTCTGCTTGATAAATCTCCTCTACTACTTATAGATTTAACTACAGCTCTTCCATCAACTGTTGCATATGCCAATTATGTTGCATTTTCATTTATTGCTACACATGATATTTATCCTGTCAAATAATTTTCTTCCATATTAAAAAAACTCCGTGATGCTACACTGTTTTAGTTTCCTCTTAATACACTCCAATTTAACCATCTAAATTTATTATCAACATCTGCATATGCAAAGAATTGCTCATCTCCACTCTATTCACCGACTGTAGGTATATGTTGTAAATCTATTTAAAATGCTGGTTATGGTTTACTACCACCACTTGATTACAAATTCCAAAATTTTAACTTTTTATCTAAACCTAATGATATTATTAATTTCATGTCTTCATTCCAAAATACTTATCTTGCAGGACAATCATCATGAATCCCTATTATTGCATTATTCTAAGTTTTCACATCATATGCTCTTATTGTATTATCTGCTAATGCTCCAAATACCATCGACCTGTCTTACTTCCAACTTACTGATAATACACTAATTAATTATTTATACACTATACGGCTCTTAACAATCAATCGATGTCTTATAATCTACTTATATGTTTGCTCTATATCCAGATTATAACTAAACTTAATAAAACCGTATATTCCCATCCCATGATGAAGTCACAAATACATCCTTATTCCATCTAATTTCTGATACTGTGTCCATTAAACCATCATTCACCACTCTTTGTGACTACATTTTCACTTATTCTTACTTAAACTATGTTTTAAAATTGGGGTTATGAGTTGTACATTACTTTTTTTAATTTTTATTTATTAATATTTATATATATATATATATATTGTATAATTATATAATACTCTTTTCAAGATAAGAAAATCTACTTAAATATATAATTACAAATTCGGCATTTATGTTATTATAAATATTTGTTCAAACTTTCTCAATCAATAAATTTTAATTATTAATAAATGTTTTTCTTTAATACTGTCCCAAATGGTATTTATATTAAATAATATCTAATAACCTAATTCTATCTTTTCGAATATTTCCCATACAAAAGTAATGCAGTTAATGTTAAAATAAAATACAATACTCCCAATATTAATGCAAACAAAAACATTGAATTCCCAGAATCCTATACATTCTTTGCTATACGCTCTGTCAAATATTTTATACTATTTGAAATCCTTTAATTTATTATATCATAACCCCATACATTATTTATAAAATACTCTGATGATGTGAAGATCTTTACTATCTTATCTTTAACTATCTCAGAATCATTCAAACTGTAAAATTAACTATTTTAATTAAATATCTATCCCTATTGTAAAAGCAACTAATGAACACTTCTATTATAGTAAGGCATTAATTAAGATTCAAAATCTAGTTCTCTATTCTCTTAAGAACATATTGAATTGTCAACTTCACATAAATATCCTTAAAAAAATAATTCTAAATCTTTGTCACTCATCTTCAATATATTCGATGCATCTGACTAGTTTGAATTCAATAATATAGTACTATACTCATTTTTATTTAAATCTTCTAAATCTTAATTCAAACTCTCCAATCGAGTCTAATTCTGTTCATAAATTAATTACATCAACGTTTAGTCTTCCAAATATTCATAAGTATGAAACATCATTTGATATTAACAATTACTATACTAACTCAGATAATCATAATAGAATTGCTGAAGTAATTAACTAAAATATGAGTATTAATTAAGATTTGTAGAAGAATTCGCTATCTACACATGGAATGATATAATATATACAAAAGTTAACACTGTTATTCCAATTATAATTAAAAGACTCAATAGATTTGATAATTAGTGAGATATTGATATTTTAAATTTCGCATTTTCAAAGTTATCTATTTTCTCCGACTTAATGGACTTACCTCTATCTGATTATTTTTATATGAATAACTATTCATCATCATCTTTTAAAGATTTCTAATTTATAGAATGAAGTAAAACTGACATGTTTTTAGATAACCAAATATTTTCTAAGTTTCTCAATGTATTCTAAATTACACCAAATTTCTCTGACTCTAATAAAGCTTCTTTGTATTCTGTTCGCGTAAATAATTTTAATATCAATTTCCTTTATCTAAATAACTTATTTATCACCAATAATTAAAGAATAAAAATTATAAACAGTAATACATAAAGACTGATTATCACTTGATTGGATGTCTCAGTTGATGAATCTAATTATTTATCAAATTCAATAAAACAATTTATTACATCTTCATTTAAATAATGAATTTATGTAGGATAATTAATTACAATTACACTTTAGTCTTTTATATTCCTACTTATATTGTTATTTTAAATGCTTGTTAATATTATTTAACGTAAAATCAATACATTTTAAAGATTTTAAACATTTTTGCTTCCAGTTAATTCATTTATGTATATTAATTACAATTAATCTGATGTTTCTATTTAAATATCTCTCTTTTAAACAATAGTTGTAATTTAATCCACTAAATAGGAAATTAATTACTATTAAAATTATTAAATATCCTGTTATGAAACAATAAAATTTTATTTATCTAATTACAAAGTAATGTTGCTTAATGGGATAGAATTACTTAATTATTCATTATTAATTGCATTAACAATATTAGCTAAAGATGAAATTTCACTTAAAGCATGAATCTGAGTTGATATACAATAATTTCCTATTGAAAATTTATTTAATATGATAAAACTTATAATAATAAAGGTGGCTAAAAAAAAACTAGCAAAGATCAAATTGATTAATATAAATAATAAGGTGATTTTTTTATTTTTATTGTTCAATAATTGATTATGAAATTGATTTGATTATTAAAGCAATGATTAATTACTTGATTTAGATCTTTAAGATCCTAATTCTAAAATGGCATTATCAATACTTTGACTTGTTATTGAACTATCATTTGGTGTATTTAAAATATTTTATTGTTAATTAATTAGTTTTGTATCTTTTTAATCAACTTTATTTTCTTATTCATCTAAAAATTACAATTTTAAAAAAAAGAAATCTTTTGAAGTTAAAGTATTTCCTTTTTAGAAATATATGATTTTAGAGAATAACTAATAACTAATTTAATATTGTTTAAAATCACCAAAAGGATTAGCTTTTTGAATATCTTCAAAAATATCTTCTAATTATGACAATCTATTTTTAATACTGCAATTCTAATTAATTTAATAAATTCTCTTAAAATCTTTAGGCACATAAAATGCTTCCTATTATTTTTACACAATAATATCATTATCAATAAATTCACTAATTTATCTTTCAATCATAAAATGATATTGTGATATTAAAGAGTCTATAATTGAGGGTATGATATAACATAATTCAAGTTTGTTAAGATCTAAACCTATTTAATTAAATATCTTAGAAGCAATAACCTCATTGACTCCTAAAACATTTAAATTAATATCAAAATAAATATAACCAATATTACTTTTTTCTGTACTTCCTGCTCTAGATGCACTTTCAATCTTTTTGAAAAATGCCATCAAATAAAATTCAAAATCAGAGGAGAACTTTGGAAAGAAATATCCTAAAGTAAACTAAAGTGGTTGAATTAATCCTTCACCATAAATTGAAAATATTAAACTAGTCTATTCCATTTTATAACTGTAACCTTTTCTTATAAAGTTTTCTATGATTCCATCATGAATATCAGCAATAAATGGAGGCATTAATTAATTGAGATGAGACACTTAGAAATTAATATTAAAGAATTGTTCAAGCAGAACTTAATTGGGTTTCCACAATTCTCCTCTTTTCTTACAAGTAATATTAGATACAAGTCCAATACTTTATTAATTTTGAAAATGGAAATTTAAAAAAGATTCTAATTCCTATTATTCTAGAAATAAAATTTATTAAATTTAATGTTGAAGTTCATAAATTTCAAGAATGTTGTTAGTAGAACAAATCTTGAATAAGAGTTCAAAATTTAAAGTACTAACACAATCAAAAACCAATTATTTTTTTTTAATATTTTTACCTCTAAGCATTTTAATAAGAATATTGACAGAATGAATTGAATTTTAAATCTTATTCAATTAATCTAACAATTATTGAAATGATTAGATCTTATTATTATAATAATCTTCCCAAAATTACTATTTGATTATTGCCAAAGATCTAATCTCTTATTATAAAAGTGGACCTATGTTTTCGATGATTGAATGACCCTTTAATAATATAAGAATCTATTCAGAATGATGAATATTTTAATTTTAAAATTAAGCCCTATTTCTTTTCTAAAGTATGAATTGAATATTGAGAAAATAAAATGATGAAGATTAAACTTAACGACCTTTAATTTATAGATTCTATGATTATTGATTATTCATAATCTATTATAATATTGAATAAGCATTAATAGGGTTGTTTTTATATTTTGCTAAAAATGTTACATATTTTAAAGCTAAATGCTCATAGAATTCATAATCGCGATTTATTAATGCAAGTTATAAACATTTTTCAAAAACATAAGTAGTCCATAAATTCAATTGTTTATAATCAACTGAATTATTTTAAAAGAAACTTTATACATTCAATTAACAAGAACATTCAGTGTCATTGCATAACTAAATATGATGATTTAGAATTTAAATAAACAATATTTTGGATTCTATACTTGTATCACTTTCTTCAGCTGTTCTATAGATTTCTTCCAAATACTTATCTGCTTTATTATTATAGATAGCCAATTAAAATGAATTACAAATCTTAATTTAATCTCTCTTTTGAAATTGATTAGACAATATTATCAATAACTTAAATGATACAATAAATTTTTACTGGAGTGATTAAAAGAAATGTATAAAACATAAAATAATCATCTAATCCAGGACTAAATATCCAAATTGAAGTTAAAATAATAAAATATTGATGAGTAAATGTAGCAGAACTATAAAAATTTGCTTCAAATGAGTATCCAAATGGTTGATTCACAACTATATCATAAATTAATGAAATAGCCAATAATTATTAAAATGCATGTTTCGCAAAATCAATTCCTGGAAAGTTGATATAATAAAGTATAATAACTAATTGATGTAACATAATTCTTAATACATTAGTGTAACTAAATGATCTTGAGAATGTTTTTTCAAAGAATTAATAATTTCTAAAAAAATATGATATTGAGAATCCTGAAATTGAAACAAATAATGTTCCTAAAACACCAAATACATAATATAATTTATTCTTCTCTAATGAACATTCAGGAGAGAATTAATTATCTTTAATAAATGCTGTCTTTCCACAAACCATGACACCAACGCTTATTTCTTAAAAAGGAGTCACAAAAATCCATTAATAATTTATAAAAAAGAGATTCAAAAGTTTCTTTATATAATTAGGTTTGGCAATTTCTGAATCAAGAGACATCTTTATTAATGTCAAATAAACTATGACATGCAAACAAAATATGAAATAAAAGAAAAAAGATGTTAATACATCATTTCCAATTTGAAGCAACAAGAAGGTTAAAGGGGACAATTAAGTATAATTGGCTAAATATATATTTTCAGACAAATTCAATGGTTTAGTTTCAAATTGACTAAAAACATATCCCTCCAATTATAAAAAATATATCACTATTTTACAACAATTAAAAAATGGACTCTTAGCTAAATCAAATCCATCTTCTGAAATATAAAGTAAAGCTTATATCGTTCTTTTTTTAACTTTCATTAATGCTTTCTTAATGCTTCTCATCTCCATTATTATTTAATTAATAATAAAATGATTTTAGGTTATTAATTAATAAAAATGTTATATTCAAATTATAAGGCGAGTTATAATGCTGATATAAAAATTTATACAATATGAAAAGTATGATTCAAATCAAACATTTTAAATTATTCACAAATTCTAATTTCGACAATTTCAATCTTACATCTAAACGAAAGAATAATTTCTTCAAAATTGCTTCCTACTTCCTTAAATTCAATTTAGGTATCTATATATGATTATTAACAATTATGCTTGATTTTTTACTCAAACTGTTATTTCGCAAAACATTTACTTATGATGAACATTAAACTTTCTTAAGCCCTTTAATTTAATCAATTTTTTTAAATTATTAAGTGATTGATTAATCAAAAAGTGTTTTGGCACTTTTTAAATCCAATTATGATTCTTAATCTTATAAAGTATTCAATTACTTAAAGTTATGAGAATCAAATTAAAATTAAGAATTCTAACTTGATGAATTTAATGATTGTTAAGTATTTAATTTTAATGATATATTTGACTTCAAGACTTTTTAAGGCATCTTAAAAGACTCTTATTATGAAGATTCAGTAATAAGTGATGATCTTCTATTTTTAAGTGGAGTAATTTTACTTTCTGGACGACTAAGTGCTAATCCTACTTAAATAGGAGGAGATATCATTCTTATACTTGATTTTTATTTAATATGATCAGTACTAATAGATTTAGTAGTTTCAGTATTTTCTTTTTATTTATTTATCATATTCACCAATGTTTCTAAATCTTATTTAGCTTATTCAATATTTCTTTTTGCAGAACTTCTATCAGTTAGAAGAGGATCTCTAAATGTTTCCTTAATTGGAGATCGATTACTTAATTAAAGAACTTAATCTTTTTTATTTGATAATCTATTTGTAGTTTTTGGATCCTATTCATTTTCATATGATTATATAGTATCCAAAGTATTTCTTTTATATTTATTAGATTTGTCAAATGGTTATAATTGTAAAGGAAAATCTTTTTTATTGGAATCATTATCCAACATATCAACAAAACTATCTTATTATTAAATAAATCCACTATTATTTTGAAAATCAATACCAGATTATGCTGACATACTATCTTATCTTTTATTTGATCTTGAAGTCGGATTGTTTTACTTAGACTTCTTTTTATTAATAGTGTCATTGTTAGTAAATTGATTATCATTTTAAAAGGTTGGTAAAGAATCTTATAAATCCTATTTATTTTAAATTAATAATAATTAATCTATTGGTTTTTCTGGTTTATTAACATGAATTTTATTAAGTAAATGATCTAATTTTATTGGAGTTGGAATTTTAGGTAAATCCTCACATACTATTTAATGTAATTAAATAAAACTCTTTTATCTATTGTGATCTTATTTATCATTTTCAACTTAAGGTAATGATGGTTTTTCAAAATTTAAGCTTTCTCTTATTGTTGCTAATTTCTATGCTAAAGTAAGTGTTATTCCTTCATTTTTTTAAGATTCTAATTGAGGTTAATTATCAATAGTAGTAGAACTTCTTGTATCTAAGACTCTCTTTTTCGAATCCCAATCCTCAAATAATGATTACTTCATGCTTATTACACTACTTTTATTGTGAATTTGGTGTATGGTCTTCTCAGTTATATTGAGACTTGTATCAAGAATCTTATTTTCTTATATATGTGCAAATGAAAAGAGAGAGTATTCTGATTAAAGTATAGATATTTATGAAAAATGTCTTAGTTTATATTTAAATTCAATATCATTGCAATAATGCATTTTCTGAAAGATCAACTAATTGGTAAAGAATTGATGTGATTCAATTTCTTAAATAGAGTATTGTAAAATAGTATTATTATTTTGTAGAGCAAATATGTATTTATCAGTGGAAAAGATATCTTGGATATCTTTAATTTTAATTCTTATCATTTTTTGATTGAATAAATAGAATTCTCCATTTTCAGTTATGGTAACTCCACCAAGAGAAAATAGTATAGACTTTTTAAAATAAGTATTCAATTTCAATCCATTTAATTATGGTATAGAAAGAGTTTAACCATTTACCACATTAAATATCTTACCTCCAATCGTAATGAGAATGATTCTATCTTAATAAGAGGAAATGTGTTTGCAATGACTATAGATCTATTTATTAGATTTCCAAAAGAATCCTCTATGAGATTGATCTATTGCAGCAATTGGAGAAATCCATTTATAATGATATCCTGTTTTGAGTAGACGTGGTGGCTATTCTATTTAATAAATATCTCCATTTTCTAAACATGTTATTAAAGAGATCTTACATAATAATGAGTATACTAGTTTGCCATCTGTACAAATCATTGAAACTTCTGCTTACACAATAACACTATCTGAATAATTGTTCTCAACTATACTTACTTTACGAAGTAGTGAATTCTCTAACTTATACTAAAGCAATACCTAAATAGTATATGAATTTGCCTATTCGTAAAGCCTGCGTAAATTGAAATTGTAGATTATGTAAATTCTAACTTCATTATCTATACAATACCTCGATGTCTTCAAAAATAACAGACATATTAATTCGTTAATATATATTAATAATCATTAGTATTGTTGATTTATATTCACAGATGGACGCATACTTAATGGCATTTAAGCTGCCGTATCACCTCCTACTGACATTATATCTAATACACACATCTCAGGAATCTAATCATCTTCAGGAAACTTTAATAATTTTGAGGCTTTAAAGATAGCCTTTACCTAATCTCCTAAAAATGATTTCAATTTTCTATTAATTTTATAATAATAACGATTTGATTTTCTATTCTTGGCAGCTATTGCCTTATATGAATTAAACACATTTTCAATACTAAGATGTTCTTTTGTTAAGAAAGAGTTTTTTAATTGTTTTTTAATATTCTCTGCCACTTCAATTAATGTCATTTGCTTAAGAGATTATTGTTTAGAATAATGCAAGAAATCTGTTTCTTTGTCTTTTTCATTAATTGCAATAACTGGTTTTGGAGAATAATTAAAAAGTATTAATTGATCTCTATCTAAAAGTATCTTTTTAAGTTTTTCTAATTAATGAATTCTATTTAAGATAGAAAAAACATCTAATTCTTGTCTAACTGAAGTCAAGGCCTTTTATAAAATATATAATTAGGGTTCTTATTTAGGATTTGATTTACGACAGAATAGTTTATAGAAGAAATATTTAAGATTAAGTTAGATAGTTTTTTTCATCAATATAGTTTATTAGAAAGTTGCAAGCAGAAAATGTTTTCTACTTTTAAACTAATATTTATCCATAAATTATTTTTATTCTTCTACAACTTTTAAGACTCTTTCTTTGTATTAAGGATCTTCTTCCATAGAATCTTATTCAGGTTATTTAGTAAGATCAGGGTTATCTTATAATTTCCTTTTTTTCTTAAGAGGTTGAGCAGATTCTTGCTAAAGTTAAACACTAAAATGCAGAGGATCAACTAATCCTGAACCTTTAGTACCTTAATCATGATCAATATTAAAATCATAATCATAAAGACGATTGGAAATATCCAAATAAACTAATTAGTTGTGATTATTTACATTATGCTCTATTATAATAAGTTATTATTACTCCTATAATAGAAATCACTGACTGTGATAAACCTCCAATTTTAGATAATAAATCAGTAACTGTTTAATATTCACGATTATAATTAGTTGAGAAATTACTACGCATAAATACTATACGAGACCAGACTGCAGTATTCTTGCCTTCATAAATTTATTTGAATGAATTGGTGGAAAAGATACTCCATTTCTATTCATCTAGTAATCCTCTAAGATTATTGGGAACTCTACTCTATTTTAATTTGTCCCTGATAATCTTTGGTGATATGCTTATGAAATTGGTAATCAATCCTTTACAGATCTCCTGGTTGGAAGTATAAACTCATGGAATTATCTAAGTAATCTTCTGCTACAAATTCATTATTGAATGGATTTATAAACTAATTTCTTAATATACAATACTGTATTTTTAGTAATCATTTACAACTTATAACTATCTTTTTACATTCTTTTCTGACAATCATTTCCCCATGAACTTTTCTATTTGCATTCACTAATCTCAATCACTAGATTCGAAAATTCAGGAGCTTTCATTTAGCCATTTCAAAACTTACAAAATTGTGTTCCTTATAACTCTATTTAAAATTCAGATTTTGGACACAACCAAGTATCTACTTCATTTGCTTCCAAAAAATCTAACACTTGACTTGAGTTTAAAACATTTATGAATTGTTTGAATGTACATTGTTGCAACTCTAATTAAACTTCATTATTATTTTAGTATTATTTAACTTCGATATCAAATTGCGGCTACTCGTAGAAACTTTCCTATTCTACTCGTATTGCGAAAATGAAATTCTCATTATTGAGCACAAGCACATCAGGATCATAATCGAATTTTGTCTAATAACCGCTATTTCATAATACTACTTCTTATGTTATTTAGATTCCTCTCGATATTGTATATCCTATTATCTCATTCACACTGTAACCAAACAATAAAAAGACTATAAACAAAGAAACCAATCCCCCCAAAAAAGTCTGGTATTTAGATCTCAAATCAAGATTCAGATTTATTGGTTATCCAAATATGTCCATCTTCCTTATCACTAAATAATTCTCATTCAATATTCTTACTTCTACTTAAACTTAGCATACAATATTAAATGTTTATTTAATTAATAATATTACATTATACAAATAACTACCTATATTCAATTACCTAATTTTTATCATTATATATTAGATTAATTTAAATAATATGAGCACCTACAATCGATATTATTGCACATCCTGTTATAGCGTTTGGGATGAAAATTAATGCATTCCAAAAATTCTAGATTGTGGACATTCCTTTTGTTTGAAATGTCTCAAACGTCTTTTCTAGAATGAACAAATAATCTGTCCTGAAGACATGTAAATAATATTGTCAGTATTGAAAGGAAATGCATAAAGATAAACTCTCTGAATTAATTACGTACAAATGAAGAATTATTACATCCTCAACCCTAACGTTCGGATAGAATATTACCTTCGACTCATTCTTCACAATAAGACATTTCAGTGACTAAATCAGAGACTGTTACTCAATCAACTACTCGCTTATTTATTAATGTTCCTGACTATTCTGTTTCCATTCGTAAACCTCATATGATTTACCAAAAGGAAAAAATTCCATGGACTAGAGAACAATTATAATAATGTCTATAATAATTATAAGATTCTCAGCAACAATTTGAATTAAACTAGTAAACTAATTTTAATGAGGCATATAGAATGATAACTCAATAGAAACGTTATTTAATTGAACAAATTCAATAGAAGTTTTCAGATTTTCAAATAAAACTTAGAAATATAGAAAGTCAAATTTTATATGAATTAAATATAGTAGCATTAAAATTAGAAGATGATATTCGTTAAACTAATATTTCTGTAGATAAAAAGGCTATAGTTTAAATCCTATCTATAAAAGAAAGGTATCTTATTCCTTTATATGTAGTAAGAATTGAGTAATTGTTGCTACTCTCTAATGAGAAATTAAACAATCAAGTAGATTTGGTGAACTCCTTAACATAATAAACAGAATAAATTATAAATAATCTAGTCAAATAAGAATTCCAGTTTGTGTAAGATATAATAACTAAGGAAATGTAAATTAAATTTGATCTAACTGTTTATGATTACTTGCCTTAATTTTGTACTATTAAGAAATATGAGAATTTATAAAGAAATCAATCATAAAATAGAAGTAAGACTAGAGTAAGGACTCTTAATGATTCACACTCTAATAATCATACAAATAAATCTAATTAATCATTATCTTTTAGTAATAGTAGTCCAAAACCTAGAGGACATGATAATTCTATATCATAACCATTTTAATATTCTAAAAATGCACATCATTTGGAAGAACCTTCATATTAGAGAATGAATCCAAGAGAATTAACATTTGGAGGTCAATTATAATAACATGAATTTAGAAGATCTCATGATTCTAAAAATTCAAGGACTCTTTCGTCAACCAAACTTTATGAAGCTACAGGTATTGATCGTATTGAAGATCTTTTATTAAAAGGATTACCTATTGAGAAATTAGATTTAACAAATTAAAGTATCTTAAATTCATTTATTTAGATTTAAATGATTCTGATATCCAAGAACTTATTAAACTTATCCAGTAATCTACTTCATAAATTGAAATACTTAAATTAGGTAAAAATAGAATCACTGATATTGGATTTGATAAATTACTTACTCTTCTACTTAAAAGGAGTGATATTCATACTCTCAATTTAACTAATAATGAATGTACAGAAAAATCTATTGATATGATTGAAAGAAGAATTTAAAAATTACAAGGAAAGACTATCTATCTTTCTAATTGTAAACTTAATAACTTAAATCAATTAAAAAAAAAATAAACTTTATTTCAAAATAAAAGTGTTACTCTGTTTCTGTGATTAGTATTATTAAGAAATTAAAAACAATACATATAATTTTTATAATTATCCTATATAAATTAAATTTATGATCAGACAACAATCAATTATCTCAGGAGAATACTTAGTCTTTGATACTATTAATCTAATTAAAAAAGGTTAATATAGACAATGCATACAAAAAATTAATAGATTAATCTTTCATCCTTAATAACTTAGAGGATAACCATAATGTTTGTAATTATAAATTTAGCTCTGTAGAAGACTATTATATTGTTGTAATCAAATTTTAAAGAAGTAAAATATCATCATAATAACATTTTTAGATATTTCTAAAAATTTACAGAAAAATCTCATAAAATTCAATCGTTACTTAATCGTACAATTGAATTAAGTCTATTTTATATTGATTACTTAGAAATCTATGCTAAAGAAAATAATCAAACTGATACTTCACCAGTTGCATCTCCATCACCTACTATTAAAAAGAAATAACTCTATAAAGAAATCTATACAGAATAAATTAGTTTAGCCCTTAAAATGGAAATGTTCTTTTCACAAGAAATTGTGAATAATTATGTTCCAAAATCACATATTTGGTTTCATTCCTAAAGCTAAAATTGCTATTTTTTATTAATGGAAACTCTATTCAATACTTATCGCTTTCACAAATATAATAGAACTCCTTATGCTACAATATTTCTTAATTTAATTGATTAGATCATAAATAATGTAACAATACATAGTATCAAACAATCATTATTTCAAGGTTAATTACAAACATTAATAGGTAATTCCTATTTTGAATTATGTATATTTTTACATTTTATTTAGATGAATATAATAAGGCAGATTAATATTACATCAAGTCAATTGAATATACTATGGAAGCTGTTAATACTATCTTGAGTGATATTCAAAAATTAAAAATCAATATTGATCTTAAAATGATTAAAGAACATTTAGCTAAATTAATCAGTTAGATTTTAATCAATTTTTAATTACAATCCTTTGCTAATTAATAAATGGAAAAGTAGTAAATGACTTTTAATCTAGTTATAATCGTTGTTTAGAAATTATTTCAATCGCTGTTTATTTCAATAAAATTTTAGAATACTTCAAAATTTCTTAAGAAGTTTCTTTAAAATTTTAAGCAAGGAGTACAGAAATTAAAGAAAATTATTAGGATCATATTAATGAAATGAATGAAATTTGTAGATTACTTTCTAATTTATTTCAAATATCTTTAAAAGAAAAGTTAAAAAATAATAAATCTTCTATAAATCTTTAATAATTAAATTAAGTTTAATAATATGAACACAAAATCTTTGAAAAATATTAATATGCACAAAATAATCAAACTTTTTTAATTAAAAATCGAGAAGTTCCCCGATAATTTACTTTACATAATATATAAAAGCAATAATAATAATAAACTTAATATTTTATGAAAAATTAATAATCAATAAAAATTAATAAACTAAAACAGAACAATTCTTAACATTCAATAGAATAACCTTCTACTAATTATAATGATAGTTAATTGTAATTATCTAATAATAAAAATGATTAAAGTCATTTAACTTAAATTGAAACTTCACATGCTTCATCAACAAAAACACAATTAATTAAAACTTTAAAATTGAATTCTAATCATAGATAAAGTTTTTTAAGTGAATTGATTTATCTAAGAAATTCAGGATCAAAATCAGATGAAAAAGATAAATATGTTGAAAATGAAATTGAGAAAAACTTTAGAAAATAGAAAGAACTATTATTTAAAATCAGCAATAAAAGTTATTTTATAATAATATAATTAGATGCTTATTAACCATTAGATTAAGTAGTTTAATCGTATATCAATTAAAATCTTGTGAGCTATTAATAATGTTAATCTTTAGATGAAGTTAAATAGAATGCTAAATAAATATGTTAAGCAGAAGCTGAAATTCATAAAGAAGTACCTATTACCAAAAGTTTATTACAAGCCAGAAAAATGACTTGTCCTTAAGGAGTTGTTATTTAAGATAAATAAGCTGAAAATGAATTCAATAAATTACTTGAATTTAATGTTATTGAATATTTTGATTTTGTTTAAACCAATAATAATTTAGCAATGACAAATTTAAAAGCTTAATAAGAAAATAAATAAGTTCATATTGCTTAATAAAAGTTATTTTCTGATAATTTTATTCCTAAGAAAAAATTAAGTTTTATTGATTAAGAAGAAATTAAATAAATTGAAGAAGCATAATAAATAGCAGAATAAGCAGAAAATCTTTTAAAAAAAACGTATGATAAAAGAAAATCTAGTTAGAAATAATCTAGAATATCTCTTTTAAATTTAATGCAAGATAAAACATATAAATCTAAATAAGATACTATAATACCTATGTCTTATGAATAATCTTTAGATTAAGCTCGTAATTCTATTAAAAAAGTGTTATCTTTAAATGAAAAATAAAAATAAGAATTTGAAATAGAAGATATAGAGTTAAGAGAAGTAAAATTAAATCTTATTATTTTATAAGGCTGAATTACCTTACAAATTTAAGAGATCTTTATCTGGAAGTTATAAAAAGAAATAAGAATTTAAGAGTATTTTAATAAAGAAAGAGTTTGGTCATTTATTTTCATCAACAAAAAATATTAGAGAGAAAGATTTTCGTTAATAAAATAATACAGAAACAAAGATAAGAGGCATCTCTTTAGATAAAATTAAATGATAATTTTGTTTAATATTTATTTATCTAATTAAAAATTAAATGATTTTGATTTTTCATAAAGTTGATTTAATTCAAAAATTGAGTTTACGATTTAAATTTGATTAAAAATCTGATGTATCTTATTATTTAGGGAATGTATTTGAACTACAATTTAAGCATCCATCACATTTACAATTATCTGAACATTCAATCCCCATTTAATAACATTCACAATATTTTTTTTAACATCCACTTTTTCTACAATTACATCCCTAAAATAAGAAATTAATATATTTTACTTTAGAATGTGTTAATTTTTATTCAATTTCCTAAACTTTTTAATTGAATGCTTAAGGATTTCTTTCAATCATTTTTTGAATAAAAGAGTTTCGTTCATTCATATTGGAACTATTATTAAAACATCCACAACAATTGCATTTTGAAGAACATAATTTACCTGCAGCAAAACAATCACAATATAATTTCAAACATTTACTTTTCTTACAATTACATGGCTTGCTTTCTTAATTCCTATTATAAAATATTGAATCAAATAAAATTTAATAAGGTTTTAATATTTCGAATATATGATATTTAAATTTAAATTATAATATAGTGTATGATTTTCTATATGAATGGAATAAGTTAAACATACCATTTATTTAAGTTGTGAGTATTAGATTTATCTTAGCTTATTTATATTTAAGAGTCATTTTGATTTGCAATGTATTATTGGAACTTCTAGAAACATTTTTATTCTGAATTATTGAGTGATATTTCTTTAGTTTTAGGAGTTCTATAATTAAGAAAATGAGTTCTTACTAAAAATTACTTTTACTAAATATTTTTGGTATTGTCAATTCATTACTTAAGAAAATTTTCTTAATTGGTTGAGTTAAAAAATTTAGATTCTCATAAGTTTCTTAATCATTGAAAATTGTATCACAACCAGGATTTATCATTTACAAACGTATAAACATTTTAAAAATTAAATCGAAAATCGAAACATAAATTAAATAAAAATGTTAGTTAGTATTCATATTGAGAGGTTCAATCAATTTATTTTTATAAATTGAGAATCTTTTCATAGAGTTAGTTGTGTTTCATATCAGCTAATTTTGCATGTTCTCTCTAGATATTTGATAAAGTATTAATTCGACCAAATTTTTCTTCAAAATCATCTAATTAATTGTTAATCTAATTTTTTTAAGGCAGAAATTACATGAATAAATTATCATGTTTTATCTATTATAATTAATTATATTTTACATCTTTGCATTTTATATTTTTTAAAGCAGCTTTAAAATCAAATCCTTTATCATATATTTAATTCTTCTTCCCTTCATGTAATATTTTCTAAGACAAAGCTTCTTATACTTTTATACAAAAACAATATAATTGTTTTACATATTCATATTCAATTTATAGTTTGTAATATGATTTAGCTTCATTCAATAATTATTCATAAGCTAAATTATATTGTTTTTCAAATAATTGTTAAATTATTTAAAAATCTTATTAATGAAAATTCTGATTCAAAAGTATCTTTTCAATTTGATGATATAATTCTTAACAATCTTTTGGTTATTTTATTATAAATTTAACACTAACATTTGTTACAATATCAACCAATTCAGACTAAAATAATAATATATAAAATAATTAAAATTGAAGAGTAAGTTATCTAAACTTTTGGCATTCAACATCCTCAAATAATAATTTCTCCAAACTTTGAGGAATAAAAGGCTTCAAAGTTTTGAGTAAATACTTAGGAGCCTTAAACATTTATTCTAATCCCTAAGTTATAAAAACGTCTTACATTAATGTTCAATGGCAAATTGGTTAAATTAATAGTTAAATTCATGAATCCAACAAATTATTTAACATTCTTAAGTAGGTTTTCTAAAGCATTTTATTTTCGATATATTTAAATCATATAATCAAATGCCAGTATTTATTTGAAACTATATTATTTATATTCTGTTTATCTAATTTATAAAGCAAACATACTTTTTGTCTTTCAATTCTTTTTAGCTTTCTCTTCTAAAAGAGGATTAGGTTGTGTATTTTAGACCTTTTTCTAATGAAAGTTCAGAATTTTAAGTTTAAGTATGTAATTATAATTGAGATCTAGTGAATTTGGATCTTATGACTCTTTCTTCTTTCTTTTAATCTTAAGAGAAGAGAGCTTAAAGGAATTATTAATCTTGATAGAAACTATTCATATGTGAATGAGTTTTATGATTTTTTATAGGGATATTTTCACAAGATGTATGTATTTTTTTAAATGGTACTTTAATTCCTTTCATTTGAGAAGATAATAAGCCTCCTGAACATTCTTGTTAATGAGAATCTTTTTACAAAAGATAGGTTCTTTTTTTATGAAGTTTCTCAATGCCAATTTAATCTGAATTGTATTCGGTAATGTTTTTTAAACCATTTATTTAAGATCTTAAGTTAGGCTAGGATGAATTCTTTATTATTTGTTTAATAATTTTCCTTTTTTCACTTTGAGATCCTATACTATTGTTGGTTTATACAACAAATTAATATTCTTTGCTTTTTTCAATTATGTCTTCACCATAATAAAATTTTTATGCATTCATATTTATTATTAAAATATATATGTTAAATATCAATCACTATTATTCAGAACTTTCTAAAATTCTTTTTCATCTTCTAAAAAGCAAATCAAATCTTAAATTTTATTATTAAATTTCTTCATTATTTATTTTGTTATTTTACTAGCTTCATTATCAGCTATTTATTTTTCTTTAATTATTTATTCTTTAACAAGAAACTTGATGATATTAATTTTTTAATCATCTTTTAAAGAATAAAATACTTCAAAATTATTCATAATAGAATCTAAATTCTAATATTGCTTTATAATTTCCGAATGCAAATCTAAAATTATGTTATTCTCAGCTTCTTCTATTTCTAAAGTAAATTTTATAGGATTTTTATAGAGTTCAAATATCTATTCAAATTTCTGATGTTTATTTATTATTAAACCTAATATTTAAATATATTATTATACATGATATTCTTTTTTAATCTACCAAATTTAAATGAGATTAATTAGCTACAATTTAATAAATTAGTTGTTATACTATATACTTTTAATCAAGTAAGCTAAGTTATTAAAATTACTCCTATTCTTCTATTACTTAATCAAAGCTTTTAAAATATTCTTTAGCTTTCAATTCTAATGTTTTCTTCACTGTTTTTTAAATCTCTTTTTTTTTTATAAATTCCTCATATAATTCAGTTAATATCTTTTCGTATTCAAAATGTTTATAATTAAGCTTTTAAATTTTTATTAAAGAATCTGAAATATTAAATTTAGTTTAATTATATTCTATCTATTTATTTTCATATTCCTATAATATTAATTAAGCATCAAATGATGTTAGAGCTAAAACAAAACATACTTGAGTCTTATCCTTAAATTTATCTTATTAATTATTTTTTAATATTACTGACTTTATCAAACCAAATTAAAGGAAATATTCTTTCATTTATTCAATTGTAACTGATTATTTTAAATTAGAAATTACTAATATTCTATCATCATAATAATTTTAATTATTAAAATGATATCTACAATTAAAAGAAGAAAAATTTCCTCTAAAATAATCTTGAAATTACCTTTATTTAAATTATTCACTTGGCTAATTATTTAATTTTTAAAATTGTTAATATATTTAAGATACTGATGAATCTACAGTATAATTTTGAAAAGTTTAAGGAATTAGATCAGAATCTTATTAAAAACAAGGATGTCCATGAATTTAATCTGCTAATTTCATAAATTTAATGGTATCACTTAATGTTGGAAGTATTAAAATTAGAAAAAGTTCATCCTTTTTCATTTTTACAAAACAATTTTTCAATTGCAATTTTCTAGTATTAAAATATTCAACTATCATTAATTCCCAAGATAACTCAATAAATCTTTAAATTCCAACAATATTTAATTCTGCTTGATTCAACTTTCTACAAAAACCTTAAACCATAATTTAGATTGAAGCTCTCGGTTAAGTTTTATCTTTAAAAGGTTAAATAATGAGAATTTTTCCATTTACTTTTAATGGCTATCTCAAGTAAATTTCCATTAATTCTTATGTAGTTTAGAAATTCTTATATTCTACAAAACCAGAACTAATTTTAATACACTTATATACTATTATGGTTTTTAGTTCAAATAATTTAATTTCTTTATTTTACAATTGAAGACAGGTCCAAATTATTCAAAAAATATAGACAATTATTCTTAAGTGATATCCGATGGAATGTTATTTACAAATAAATAAACAGTTTTAAATTCATCATTATTTTGATCATCATGAAGTGAAACTTTTAGGATGTTATTATTTATTTTAAATTCTTTCTATTCAATATATATTTAACGAACTGATATTTCATCTGCAAATTCAATTATAGCACTTTCTGATTCATAATATTCCTTGTTTATTTTCATTTCTATTAATTTCCCATATACTCGAAATATTTCAAAAAGCATTTCTTCATTAACATTCTTTTATATATTAACGACTTACTTATGGGAGGCCAGTTATTGATATCATTATAACAAGATAAGTGATTATTTTTACAACAAAATAAAATATGGATTATTAATTCTATTCAAATTGTCATACTTTTTATTTTCCCAAAATTAATTTAACAAATATTATTAAATATTATAATTATAAAATATTTAATTTTCATAATCAAATATTTGATTCTTCATAAATCAAGTTAACTATTCTCAAAATATTTGATTTCCTTAACAACATATTTAAACTAAGCTATAGAAAATTAGGTATATTTTAACAAAATAATAACTATAATGGAAAAAAAATTTAAAAATAACTACTTTTTTATAAAAAAACATTTTAAAAAGATCTTTACTCAAGTTTATTGAATTAAAAAAATAAATGTATTCTGCTTACTCTCATATTAATGTTCAAATTATTTTTTAAATATTCCAATATGATCTAAAATACTTATATAAATATATATAATTATTATCTAAAATCATTCTCTACGTAATTATCCTGGGAATTCATACAAGCGATTTTTCAAATTTCTAATACCTAATTTATTTTTTTGTATGAAACTAATCTGAATTTTATAGTAGCTTGATTCTTATCTATTTAATAAGCTTCTATCGGAATTTGATAAATATATTAACTTGAATAGAATAATTTCATTTTAAAACAATTATTTTTTTATAACCATTCTAAGTAGATTTTTTGATTAATAGTTTATGAAAATCTTGCATTTAATATGGATTATGGCTTAATGATAGAGTTTAGTACTATTATTTTACTAATGAAGCAATTCTAAATGTTGAATTCTTTTATTATAAAAAGTTATTTATTTCCAATTTAGATAAGTATTTATTCTAAACTCATTTGATAAATAAAATTTAAAACTAAATTCCTCTTAATATTATACCAATTCATAGTTGTATAGTATCTTCATGTCTCCATGATTTTAACCTATTTCTTCTTGTCTTATCTTTTTCACAATACTTTATTCATTATCATCATCAATTCTTTCTATTTATATGTATCCTCTAAAATTGTGTTTAACTAAGATTTATATGTAAAAATATTTTTTCTAATTTTTAAGCTGTTTTTTTTTGCCCATTCTTTCTTATTTCCTTTAAAAAATATCTTCTTATCTTTGTAATAAAATCCTATAGTTTCTACCGATAAAAATTTTCTTTATCGTTCGCTATTTTTCAAATTACTTATTGATATAATGATTAAGTTATTCATGCTTCTTTTGAAATTTTCAAATCTTCTCATTTATATTATTTTAAATGATCTTTACTATGATAATAATTTAATGAAATATTTGCAGCCCTAATTAGATTCATTAATGCAATATCTGAAAGAATTTTACGAATTAATGAATTACCATCCACTTCCAAAAAGATTAAATTACTAATTCCTGTTAATTTCATTTCATTAAGTGAATCTTGCATACTAGAACAGTCTTTTTTTGTTTTGGTTCCTCTAATTTAATTAATTCTATTCTTATATAATCAATACGTTCCTTAATTAACAAACTATTCCTTTTAAAACTCATTAATTATCTAATTAATTGAATTCTTTTTGAACCTTATTCCATTTCTCCTTTGAATTATAATGATAGACAGTTGAATGGACTAAGACAAACATGAAAGAGATTCAGATAGTAATAAAAAGAGAAAAGTATAAATTAATAAAAGATTGGCAATACTGAAATTAAATTATTTCATTATTTTTTTCCTTTGTTCCAGGTACCTTAAGTTTAATTTCCTTTTCGATCAACCATGATACCATTTCCATGTTGTTTACCTTTTTTCCAAGGTCCAATATATTTATTTCCATTAGGCCAAGTAATTTCTCCTTAACCATCCTTTTTATCTGCTTTGAAACTGCCTTAAGTATAATTAATATTAAGAACCTATATAAATTCTGCCATCTGGATAAATCATTTCTCCTTATCCATTCATTTCACCATCAATCCAATTACCTTTATAAATTTTACCATCTGTCCAATAATATTCACCATATCCATGAAATTTTTCATCTTTAAAATTACCATCATAATATTATCCATCATTCCATCTAAACAATCCTCTTCCATTTTTATGTCCTTCTATAAATTCACCTTCAAATAATGCTCCATTATCCCATTTAATTGTACCTCTTCCATGCTAATTAAAATATAATAATAAATACAGGCAAATGATTTTCTATATCACCTACATATACTCCTCCATCTGGATAATCATATGTTTCTTTTACAATTTTATTAGTTGAACAACAAGAACCCATAAAATGGTATTATTTATATTGAATTATTTTATTAATGATAATAATAAGATCATTCTAAACTATATTCTATAAGTTGATCTAATTTCAATCTTTATGTATTGAATATTCTTATGTCATCTTAATCTGCTGCTTCCATCAAATATGTTGCCAAATATTTAAGTTCTTAATCATTCTAATCATTATGCCATTCTAATATAGGGATACCATTTTCTATTTAAAATCCAAATGAATGAGCCAAATTATCTACTATTACCATATCCTTTAATTATTTATTCCCTACTATTCTTAAATCTTTAATAAAAAATCCATTCTTTGTTTCCATACAATTTCCACGAGATAATATTCCTAAAATCCATTATCTTTTAGGATCTAAATAATTTACTATAGCATTTGCATATGCAGATGAAGATGCTGTAAATACATAGATTGTATATAATTGACTCATTTATTATAAAAACCATGCACAAAATGGTCTAACATTAAAATGGATCTAATTTATCAATTTTATTTAATTACTTTAGCTTCCTCACCATAATCTCCAAATGCTGTAACTGTTATTTATGGATTTTCCCTTTAAGAACAACTATGAATCAAAGTTTCATCTAAATCTAATAATAATGTTTTTGCCTTAACTATAACACATTCTGGTAATTAAACCATTTTTGACTTGATAAATTTATCAGAAGGTCCTTTAAGACATTTCTTTGCATATACTAAACCTCTTTAAGTAAGTTATAAAAATTTATTAAATGAATTCTCACCGATACTCTATCCATATATCAAATGTCTAAATGGATGATTCTTCAATTTCCCTTCTTGCTATTGTTTGTTTTTCATCTACTCTACATCTGAATTCACATCCATTCCTTTTTCTTATGTATTTGAGTGTCTATTCAAAACTTCATTTATATTATTTACTTCATCTTTGTTTACTTTTAATTCTCTCCTACTTTTGCATATTTTTACTGCATCTATTTTGCTTATTATTCAATATCATATTAATCTTCATTTTATTATTATACATGTTATTATTGTATTTACTATTATATTGTTGTTGGTTTATCATCATCATCATCATAATTTGGATCGTCATTGTCACCTTCAATCTTTTTTGCATTCACAAGATTACGAAATTTTGACACTTTCTAATCTAACATTTTTCATTATTTTTTTACTTGATGGTCCTACTTTATTATTTCTAGGCGTCTCTTTATCAGAATCATCAGTTTAATAACCTGTAGCATTTTTACTAAATTAAGACATCTTGCTAGGTGGTTTGCTCGCTTTTTTTAGTTATTTCTCCTCTTCCTCTTATTTATTACTTTCTTCTTCTGAATAAAACTATTTATCGTTATTCAAATTCTTTAAATGTCCAACTGAAGAACTCGCCTTAAACTTATATATATTATCCATCTTTCAGATTTAAGTAATTATTTTTATAATTTATTTATTATCTTATTTTTATTTACATTTTCACATATCAGTCAACCATTTCTCAACTTTTCCAATCAAAAAATTTTATTTTTACTGATAAAAAAATTATTTATTTATTTTATTCATTATTTCTCTACTCCATATCTTCTCTCACTTTTCTTCTTTTTATTATTATTTATCCATCAAATTAAAACTTATCACATCAACTCTCATTATTCAAATACCATTATCACAATTTACAAATCATTATATTTCTAATTCTATCCATATCTTCTTTTATTTATATATTTATTTATTTATTTACACTCATTAAAAAGAAGATAAAATTATTCTGTTTATTTTAATTACATAAGATACATTAATTCTCCTTCCTAAACTAAAAGCAAAAAATTATTCAAACTTAAATTAAGATTAAATCATTTATAAATCTTCTTCTCCATCAAAAAGTTTTAAAGATATATTATTATAGCATAAGAACCTATTTTTATTATGTAAACATCCAAAATCTTAATTATAAACACCTATAATGTACTTTTTTAATTAACAAAATTAATAAATTAAAATAAATTATATTATTTAATTTATCATATTTATTTTTATTAAAAATTGTCTGAATTTATAAATCATTTTATTTCCCATTAACCATATATATTTAATTTCTAATTTTGACATTATTTTTTTTATTCCTACCTGCCAACTGTTTTTTATTTTATATTAATAATAAATCTATCTGATATTATATGTTATTTTATTATTTTTTAATCAATAATACTATTACTAATTATCCAACAGTTCATTACTAATGTAATTTTTTATGAAAATTTATCATTTCCATAAATTTGATAATATTATCTATTTATCTAAAAATAAAATACAGAATGATATATATTTACCAATATTAAAATAATTTTAAAATGGAAAATATTATTTTTTTAGATATAAATAAATAAAAATATTCTCTAGCATTAATACATTGTTCATATTTATAATTATATCTTAATATTAACATAATTTGATATTTAATAAATTAATTATAATCCTATATATAATAATTAAATTTTAATCAATTCTTCTCCTTTTTTATTGCTTAGATTTCATTAGTATTAAGATTCTCAAACTAATATTGCAAACTTTAATCAACCTTAGCACACCAACAACAAATAAGACACTTACATGAAAATCTATAACAGCAACAAGTACATCTTAACAATGCATAAAAAAATAAAATTATAAGAATTGCCGGTCCAGATATTATACCCATAGCTCCAATACAAAATCCATAACCAAAACAAAGTATTTTCTTAGATTTGGGTGCATCTTCCTTTCCTTTATCATTACAACTATAATAAATACAAGACAATAAAAACTCCAAGCCCACTGAACCTTCCAAAATAATAATTCTTAAATCTAATAAACTCTAAAAGGGAATTTCCTTATAATAATACATAATTAAAATTGATCCTCCCAATAATACAATTCCAATAAATTAGCCAATACATAATTAAATACATCCTCCTTTCGAATAAAAATTCTCTGTTTTATCTACTTCTTTCATACCAGAAAATGTAACAGTACTTAATTAAAATAATATTTGTATAATATCAAAACCTGTAGATATAACAAGAGCAGCCACAACAAAATCATCAAACTCTATTTATTTTTTTTTTATATTTTCCCATGTAATGAGTAAGGATTATTTTTAATGGAATATTAATATTGAAATACCATTGACTATTAAGTTCATAAATCTGTTTGTAATTATTCTATGAAATGTGTACGAATATCCATCATAAACGTATTTTTATTCAACTAAAACCATAAAAGCAACAAAGAAATAATATCCTATTATTAACAATACAGTCTCAAGTTTATATAAAAAGTTAACATCTAAAAAGTATACTGTTTAAATCCAAAAAAGAATAACTTTACCCACTTGTCCAGATACAAAATCATAATCTAAAAGCTCTTATTGAGTTAGTGAATCCTTTTTCTTTTCATTCTTAAGGCATTCATACATGAATTATATTATCCACCCAAATATATCAAAGGTCTTAGATGTTATTTTCATTTTTATTTTTGAATTTTTTGAATTCAATTAATGAACTTTTATTTTTATAATTAAACTCTATCACTCCCTTAAATTAATTTGAGATTAATGATTAATATGATGATGAGAATATTTTTAAATAAAATTTAATTTACTTTATTAATAAAAAAAAAATTGAAATTTAAAATAACATTAAGATAGATACTTTTAGTTGATAGCTGAAACACATATAATTACTAAATTTAATATTAAAATAAAAATTACATCCTAGGATTAACCAAATAATTAGTAAGTATTATTTATAAGTAAGGTGATATAAAATGAATATATTTATAAAATGTTGTTATAATTAAATTCTATTTGATAAAAAAATTGAAAATCTTTTAGCTAATATTGAGTTAGAAGATTATTTTGATTCTTCTATCTGAAATTAGGTTTATTTTCTTCTTAATTAAAATTAGATAAGTTATTTTTATTATAGTAATAAATTATTAATATGAGTCATATGAATAGTCTAAATTAGTAAAAATGTATTAATTAAAGGGAATTTGAAAAATTTAATTACAAATGAATTTTATTTATTTGCAATTCAGTTTGATTTAAGAATAAATTTCTATTATATTTTTTATAATTAATTAATTTTGTTTGATCGATTAAAAGAACTCTGGGAATAATTATGTATTATTTAAATTAATGTTTAAAATTATTATAATCGCACTTAATTAAAAACTTTTAAGATAGAAAATTTTATTAATTAAAAACATTGAAGATATTTTTGAAATATAATTATTAATAAAATAGTAAATAAAAAAAAGATAAGACTATAAATGGAACAAATAGATTCAGTCCCAGGCAAATTATTTTTTGCAATCTATATGTTATCAAAAAACCAATAATTGGGAGTTAAGTAAAAATGGCATTTGAAGGGTAATAAAAATATAATTTAAATTTTAGATCTTGTAATTCAATAAGATTAAAGGATGATTGATATCATAGAAGAATATCTCGAAAATAAAAATAGCAAATAGTTATTTGGATAGCTATTACAAATATGTAATGAAGAATCATTTATATCTGATGATTGTGTTTCTCAAACAAGCAATTATAAGTATCATCGTCCTTAAATGATTGTCTTACCTAATAAGAAATTTGAATTGAATTTTAGGAAGTTTAGTCAAGGGTAAAAAGTGATCTCAGAAAAGTCATTAATTTATAATAAATCAAGACATTAGAATACACATGAGAGTTGAAAATAATATTTAAATTGTATCATTTTTTCTATTTTCTGATATCATTCAGCACAATTCCTTAAGTTGAGAGGAGGAATACTTAATTAATCTCCATTAGCTGATTAAGCTCTATGGTGCAAAGAAGTTTATTTAAATGATTGAAATTCACTTGATAATTTATGAGTATATAATTTATATTAAGTTGTTCCATTTAAATTTTATGCTTAATCTAATTTACGTATTTAAAGTATCGAATTATTTAAAGGACTTATTCCACTGCTATTATTATATTTATACATATCTTAATAACTTGAATCTTCTAATATTATTGATTAATTAAAAGTTCTTTCTTTTTTTAATTAATCAATCAAATTCTTTGAAGTAAATGTATTTTAATTTTATTAAATATGTGTTGATTTTTTAATACTTTACACAGATTTTCTTATCACAATTTTATTTTTGATAGGATTTTAATTTAATTCATACTTACTATTATTAATATTTTAACATGCACAAATTGGATTATTAATTGGTTTTAGATAAATTCTACAAAAATGATAATGACACATATTTTATTAAAATTCTGCATTTAAACTTGTTAATTCTTCATATTTATCTTTAATAACATTAAAAAATTCATTTTCTAAATTATTATTACATTGACTACTCAACATCATGGATGAATTAATACATCTTTAAATATTATAAATAAATGATACTTTTTAGAAATATATTAATTGTAATCCATTACTGATTATTATATGTATGAATTTCTCATTTTAATCTTATCATAAAGACTATCAAAATTAAGTTTGAATTCGTCAAAATTTTATTATTATCTTTTAATAGTTTAATAATCTAAAACACAAATATTTTATTCATCTAAATCATCAAGATTAATATTATTAAATAAAGAAGCAAATTAGTTTTTTTCAATGATACCATTATTATATTATTAATATTTCAATTTTAATTAATAGACTGGTGATTCTAATAAAATAATCTCCTAATTTGGAATTTTTGGTTATAAAACAAATCTTCTTTATTGTTATTTTAATTTTTCTTTAATTTATTGATATTCCTTCTTATCATTATACCTAATTGGTTCTTCATTTTAAATTACACTACTTGTCATACTAATAACTGTTCCATCTTTTTTTCCATTTTATGTTGATGATCTTGTTCTTAGATGTTCAACCAATGGATCTGGTACTAATTTCTTCATAATCTTTTATTTATCAGGTGATAAATCCTTATTTAATTAATATGCTAAATCATCTATATTATCTTTTAATATCTTTCTTGAAGATGCTAACAATGCTTTAATTAAGTCAGTTATCAAATTGATCTATTTTTAGATATTAATGTTCATTTACATTTCCTTATTTAATAGCTTGTTTGTATTAAATTTTTAATTGATATTCTTAATTCATTTATTGAAAGAATCCTTAGTGTAAATTGTAGTATTATTCTAAAAATTGAATCAGACTAACAGGTGGTTGATATGTTAATTCAATAAAAGATTCATTTATTGATTTCATGATATCAATTGTTTTAACAAATATATGACTATCTTTAGATATATATTAATACTTCATTTGATCTTCATTGTATTATTTAGTATTTCTCATTATACTAACTATCCAATTCTCTTTTTCTGTTCTATTTTTCTCCTCTTCTTTAAGCTTTCGGATAATTGCATAAATTGTTGATCTTTCAGCTTGACTAATCGCATCTATTAAATTTATATCAAATACATACTTTTAAGTTTAAGTTTTATAATTGTTTCTAAAACTTCGCTTATTTTTTATTTTCTCTACAATACTGCACTTAATAATTCATCCATATTGGTTTTATAATTCTAAATACAATTATATAAAATTTATTAATAATAATTTTCATAATAATTATTATCATATCATCAACTTTTATTGATAGATCATAATAATAATACTAATAATCATACTTAATATCAATATATTATGGATAATTATAACATAGACCTATTTCAATCAATCTACTCTTCAATAATCCAATTCTTAAATAATATCTTGCTCAGAACTCAAATTATGACAAATCTTCATTCTTAAACTACGACTAATCCTTTTTCAAATGGTATTTAACATTCTTAAATTCATTTATTTAACTTTAACATTTCTTAGATTCCTTTCTTTTTTTTTTTAATTTCTTAGATTACTTATATAATGGAACTTGATTTTATTAAAATATATCCTAATAAACATTTTTTCTTAAAGATAAGATCATCTTTTTTCGATTCCATAAAATTATTTCATATCTTCTCATCAGAGTCTTTAATTAATTTAAAGATCTATTCTAAATGATTATTCATGCTAGAACTTTTTAATAGTAGAAACTCAAAACATAATAAAGCATTTTTAATCATCTTGTGCTGTATAAAGAAAACTATGAATATATCAAATATAATAATTTTCTTTTCTCTTTCTATAATTTTCTGTATTATTATTATATCTAATACAAACTTTAACTCTTTAATCTTCTTTCTGATTCTCTTAAACATTGCAGCATCTTCATTTCTGACCATATATATTTAAAGATCTTTATCTTGTTTAGCATTAATATTATTATTCAAAACTCATATATAATTATTCACAGTGTGAATTATATTATTATGGACAATTTTTAATAAAGAGAAACATTTGGTCTATTCTTGAGATTTACCAGTATCTGCTAAGTTAGATGTGGAATATTGTCTGGCAAGGATGATGTTATGACAAAAGAAAATCATTAATGTCTTGGTATGAAATGAATTGTGATGTTAGAAAAATGTATAAATCATTAAGTGGATTCTTTCAGGAAAGTCCAAGAGGCTTACAAATGATTGCATCAATATATACATATATTCATACATTCATATAAAATTCATAACTATAATAAAATGGATCTAGAAAAGTGATAGTGTCTAAGATAAATATCAATTATTACACTATATATATATTATATATATATATATTATATCAATATTATATCAATATTGTAATATGTTAACACTACCATTATGACTGGCTAAGACTAATGCTTTATCTTACAAGGACATCTTGGTAAATTGTTCATCTTATTTTGGTATTAAATCTCGCTGAGTCTAAAAATCAGTGAAGAGATATCCTAATTTGCTCTCTAATAACATAGAAAAGACAGCAACATATCCTTTTTTGGTACCTAGATAAAATGATTGGAAGATATGATTTACAAACTATAAGATATTTTTCACGATCGATCAATACATCTGTTATAATACCATTATTTTTATCAATTTTAAAATCTAATAATTAACTAGCATTATTAAACATTTTAATTTATGAATCTCCTACTACAAGTAAACTTGTTTTAAAAAATAGTAATTTAACTATTTTTTCTCCATTAATTTCAAATTAATTTTATTATGTCCAATTATTTGTACTTATAGTAATAACTTTTCCATCAACATCTCCAACTGCAATAAGTGATTCATCATCAGTAGCAGCTATATGTGTTATTTATGCTTCCCAATCATCAATCATTTCTTCAGTATCTTATTTTATTTAATTTTCTGAACATTCAAATTTCTTTAATGAACAATCCCATGATCCTGTTATCAATATTTTCTTTTTTTACAAATAAACTAAAGAACTAACAGAATTATTAAATCTTTAAACCACTTATACCTTACTTCCATAATTTATATTAAACACATGTATTTATGAACCCCAACTACCAATTGCAAATATTTCATCCTATTTTAATACAACAATCACACTTAAACAGAATTCATCTACTTTAAAAGATTTTAAAACTGTAAATTCTTTTAAATCAATAACTTTAAGAAATCCATCCTAACCTATCGTTACCAATAGATTTTTCTTTTCTAACACCACCATATCAGTGATATTACTTTTATTATATAAATAACTAAATACGTTTTATGAGCTTTAGCAATCACTTTGTTTTTGAATTAATCTTTCTTATCTAAATTTTCCCATATTAATCCTTCAACATTAATTGGAACTTCTTCTTCTTTTTATTACTGAATCTTTTCAACAGATTTATATATAATTTATCCACTTCTTAATGCATATTTAGGAGGATGTTCTATTTTAAATAATTATTTGGGACATTATCCAAATTCATTGATTTAACATGCAATTGCTTATCTTTCAATAGGATCTATCAAATTATTAATTTAAACAGTCCCTTCATATGTCAGATAATGAAATACTAAGTTAATATATAAATAAATACTATTAGCTGCCTCAACAGCATTAGGTCCTCTTTATTTGTACCCAAATATAAGATCAATCCAATTATGTAATTAATTACTTACGTATTCACTTTCCAATGCCATTCTATTTATTCTCAAATAATCTTTAGCACTACTTGCCCATTTAGGTAATTTAACATCACCAACTTTCTTCTGATTTTATCTAATACCTAGATCCAAATTAAATTTATTAACTAAGAATGAATCATCATCCATAAAGAATTCTGGAATCAATTCTTTTAGTGAGGTAGGATTATTCATAATATTTTTGAAATCTCCCTTTATACTTTTAAATAATCTATCTGGCTTATCAAATTTGCCAGATTACAATTTTAACATATATTATGGTTTTTATCTAATTAAATAGCCAATGACATAACCAGGTGTAGAATAATGCGTTCCATATAAAAATTTTGGATTTGGCATCTCTTAATATCGATTCCAAAATTCTTTCAATCTTTTTTCATTTAAAGCTCCAATTGGTTTTCTTAAATCACGAAAAGTAGATGGATTATTTAAATCTAATTCTTAGGATTCATAATCTACTATAATCAAAGGAAAGACAGGATATTGTGTTAAATCACTTGTGCTTCTATTACCAGCTTAATTTAATCTTATTAAATATTCAAAATTTGAAATCTACCCACTTTACCATAAATATTACATCTTTTCTAAACTAGTTTCAGCTTCAATTGTTACTTTGCCTATATAAATTACATATAAAAGATTTACCTATTAAAACTCTATATACTTCTTCCATTCTATCTTAATTTTCAAATGCAAAATAATTAGTTTTACCATTATTTAAAATGATTTCTAAACCAATATCCATTAATTCAAACCTTCTCTTATATAATATCTTTATTTAATCAATTGGAATCTTTTTACATGGTTTTAATGTAACTTTAAAGAATGGCTAGAAATATATTATTTTATTTGTTATGTACAAAATGCCTGTTTTTTATTACATTATAACAAATACCTTTAGTCTAAATCAATGGCATTATTTTACGAACTAACATCTCTTTTTAAATCAATGGTTTCTCACTCACCGATTCTACAAAACTCATATTAAATCTTATTTTTTGTAATTTCTCTGAATCCAATTTTTCTACTTCTCCTTCAACATCATGTTTCTGCTAATTTATTTATAAAATCCTCTCTATTAATTCAAACACTATCTTTATATTATCAAACAATGGTTCAATTTATATCTCCATATCAATATCATCTAAGTAAACATATGGAGATGGTGGGCCTTATGTATGAATTTCTACAATGCGTTTTATTCTAAAGCTTATGCAATTTGATTGCTTTAAAGGAGTTGTAATCATTTTATAAAACAATTTCTAAATAGGTAATTCCTACTTCTCTGGTTCGAATATTAATGTTCTTGAACAAATATGTACTTTTCCTCTCTCTAATCTATAATCTTATTTATGTATTCATTTACCGCTCTTCTCCTTTCATCATATTTATTTAGCGCACCTTTGCTGAAAAATCTTATAGATACTTCTCACTTTCTTCTAAATAATAAAGAGAGAATCGACTCTTTTATTATGCAAATGTAATCATTAATTATTAATATCATTCAGAATTAGCAATTTCTTCCCACTTCTAGATTGTTTCATCAAGATAATCCACTTATTCTTATAACCTGTTATCTAAATATTTAGACATCGATTGCCATAATGGACGTACAATAAATTTAAAAAATCCTGCCTCTTATTTTGCCATCACAGGTAACTATCGAATCATATATAAAATCATTTACCTTCTATAAATCTTTCATATATGGTAATTATGGATAACCTAATTTACCTTCCAATTCATATTGTTATTCAAATTCCTTATTTACTTTAAATGACCATTATTTTGATAAGTCAAATTATTTAGCTCCTCCTGTAAAATCAGATGTATGAATAATCATGCCACTTAATAACTTTATATCTTCATCTTAAGTTCCAAAATTTGATTCTAATTATTTTGATTCAAAATTCTTTATCAGATTAAAATGTTCTGTTATATCTGTATACAATATATTCGAAATAAACATTCTTCTAAATTTACGAAATTCCTCTCCTTTTAAACTTTACAATATATTTGTTGCTGGCACACAAAGTAATTTCAATGATTTAGCTGCATGATGTTATTCTAATACACTTCTATCATGATATCTTATAGCCAAATTCGATAAACTGTTGATTTCAAATGTATTAGTTCTACCGGTATGTGAAACATCATGACATAATGCTGATAATAATAAAGCAAATTAATTAAATGTAGATAGAATATTTGCATTATTGGTTTTATGCAATTATATTAAAATAGCATGAACATTCTACATCACAGATATTCCATGATCATAATTATGAAATACATTTTTTTTCTTATTATACTTATGCTCTATCTCACTCAAAAATTAACAAAGAATATTTAATGGAATATCATACTCTTTTATTAAATTATGATATCTTAATATTTCAATCACTACTAATTATTTTTATACCATTTCCTCAACACTTAATATGTTGAAATTAAAATTATCTATATTTGGTACTTAACACAATGTTTCTAAATCTTCTAATTGTAAAGATGATTTATGTTAACCTCCAAGTTTCACAGGTTCAAATTATAAAATAGAATTACGATAATGAACTGTCTGTCTTTGTGTTGATCTTGGCTTAAACATTTATACAACTGAGTTCAATATTTAAGGATTATTTTATTCTAATTTATCAATAAATCTTATAGTCTCTTGTTGAATTATCTATTTTTATATTTCCTTTTTTAAAGATGGATCATTCAAATCAAATTTCTTTTAATCATATTTAAACCATCCTTGCTGAAAAATTATAAAAAATCCCTTGAAATTACGTTCTTCCATTTTCATAAACACTTAATATTATTGATCACTATCCCTCAGAATATTCTATTCTTAAAGGAAATTTTCTATATATTTCAGCAAATCCTCATTTTAAAATAATTAAGAATATGTCATCTTTGTTTTCTTTGGATCAAAATCTATATTAAACTCTTTTTTAATATCTTAAGGAATTGGACGAGATAAAAAGATCAATCTACCTATCTTATCAAATTCAAATATCAGTGTATCCTATGATTTAACAAAGAATTTATAGAAAGTTGTGCGATCATAACATTATCTAATAAATTTCAAATACTTATTAAAACTCTGAGTCAATTATTTGTAAATCATAAGATCAGACTTTTTATTTAGATCCATGCCATTTATTGTTATGGATACATTAAGTTCATCTTTAAAATCAAAATCTACTTATTTTTAAGTTCCATAAAAAAAACTAGGACTACTAATTACAGACATTCCATCTCCAGAATTGATATGACTAAAAATGATATTTAGTTAATTACATTTCAACTTAATATTTAGATTGTAAAATGTGAATGCATTTTTTAATGAATAAATACTTGGAACTTCGAATGAATGCAATTCCTATTCCCTAAATCATATGTGATATTTAAAGAGGTGTGAATATTTAAATTTTAGCTTGTTTGATTGTTTCAATTAAGAAAGTGGATAATTAATTTAAATCATCAAATATATCAAATTCATCCGCCAAAGCTAGGAATTCACTAATAATAGATGTTTGATCAGATAAATGAAAACAAACAAATACATCTTGATTATTTAATTTGATGATGTAGTTCTTTTTGTATAGTTTAATTTTGAATAACTCACTTAAAGCAGGATAGAAATTGCATTCATCTAAAAGTAAGACTTTATTTGGTTGAATAAGTTGTGTTTCATTGTAGATTTACTTATCATTAGTAATGATGTATTTATCTTCAGCAGAATAGTATGTCTATTAGGATTCATCATCTTTGAGTAGCAAATAAGTTATTTAATCAGCATCGATTAATTTTTTAACGAAATTTTTGACACTTTATACTAATGTCTCATATGATAGATTATTATCCATTAATAAGAGATGACAGTTAAGATAATCTGTATAGTGTTTCTATATAAATGATAATGATGAATACTTTCATATCAGAATAGAGTTATGTAAATTTATCCACAATTTTACAATTCTCTGATTCTTCTGTTTACAGTATTTTAGTGGTTGTTGTTGATGGTGAAGAGATAGTTGTTTTTTGTATCACTTCCAAAATACTCCTCAATTTCTCAGTTACCGTAGGTGTAAGTATCTAAATAAAACTATTAAAAAGACTAAAATACGCATTTGTTTTCACTCTAGAGAATCATTACTAGAGAATCATTTAAATCATCAATTTATTAAAGCAATTATTCCTCAGTCACTTTTGAGTCTTTGCTAACTGAATTTCGTCGAATCAAACGTATAGGACTCATTTCTATTCCAGTTGATTTGCATCTGATTTTCTGTCCCTACTTTTAACGAGGAGATTAGGTTTGCTTTCTCAAATAGTTTATTATGCTGTATTTGAACTCTTCATCATCGGCATCTTATGAATAATTGTAATCCTTCACTACCTGAATTTAGTGCAATCATGTTAACTAGTTACATGTCTTTTAGCGTAAGATTCACTTTTAATTGGTGCTTCTCTTTTTATGTGATCAGACATTCCTGTTCCATGTCTGATATTATCTAGAAAAACCTTATATAGTTGCTTAAGTGAGGGTTTGATAGCATTAATTAAATTAATGGACATGTAAAATCGACCAGGCGGTAGGACCGGTTCAGGTCCTATGGCATCAGCAGCAGATGCAAATGTAGAAAGAAGAGAACGTTTAAAATAATTAGCTATGGAAATCATTGACCTTTAAAAAGACCCTTACTTTATGATTAATCATCTTGGTACTTATGAATGCAAGTATATTTAAAAAATATTCAAATAGATTATGTTTGACACTTCATACAAATGAGGGATCATATTTAGCTCATACTTAAGGAAAGAAACATTAACAAAATCTATTACGTAGAAAAGCTAGAGAAGGTAAAGATCTTAATGCAATGATGCATATGGCAAAATAAAATCAACCTAAACCTTAAAAACACAAAACTGTCAAAATAGGACGACCAGGATATAAGGTTACACGAACAGTTGAAAATACATCTAAAGTTCTATATTTTGAACTTTATTATGAAGATATTCAACCTGGATTTATCCCAAAACATAGAGTTATGTCAGCATTTGAACAAAAGATCGAGTAAGCAGATAAGAATTACCAATACTTGATCTTTGCTGGGGAACCTTATGAAAATGTTGGCTTTAAAATACCAAATCAAGAGATAGAAACATAAGTATATTTATTTATAATTATTTTTAAGGATGGTAAATTTCAACCTATTTGGGATAAAGATAAAAAAATATATTCATTAAGGGTTTAATTTAGAGAGAAAAAAAATAATAAATGAATTATAACACATATCATTATCATTTTATATTCAATATTATTCATAAATTTGAAAAATTGTCTCAAAAATAGTATATTTATTGTTATTATTGTTATAAAATAATAAATCAAAATAATCAATCATCGAATGATAAACATTTAATCAAAAAATAAATCAAAATAATCAATGATTGAATAATAAATATTTAATCAAAAAACACTTATTAGATAAAAGAGTTCTAATAAATAATTTAGAGTTTACTAAAGAAGAAATCATTAAAGATATTTTTTTATATCTTCTTCCTTAAAGAAACTAATCATTAATAAACTATACGATGAAATGTAAAAGTTAAAAGTAAAATTATGTATCAGATTTATTATATAAAAATGTTCGTTATAAAATGATAATAACTTATCTATAAATATAAAATTCAATATGCTTAATCCTCCTCTCCATTAATAATTCTTTAATATTCATCAAAACAATTTTAATGAAGGATATGATTTTGTTTATTGATATAACAATATCTTGGATTAGATTCCTCATAAGTAATTAATTCAAGACATAGATAGCAAGTGCAATCGCTATGAATGGAACATTAATTTTATTCTAGATTTAATAAATTACTTTCTATCATTCTATTACATTCAGTACACTTTTTTTAAGTAAAAAAGGGAATATCAATTTCTTTTAAATCTTAGAATTTATCTATTTTTGGATTAATGTTTGATACAATCATATTTTAACAAAGAGTATCTACTCCTCCAAAACTTTATTCAACACTAGCGGGAATTTCTAAGTTTTTAAATAAAGGAATGCTTTCTGCAACTTCATCCAAAACTTCCGAAACTAAATTATTTTCTTAGTCATCAAGAATATTTTTCATAATTTAATACACTGATTTAAGTTCCCCTAATTAAATACTATGTACAATAGGAATAATATATGGCTCATTATTTGTCATTTTACAAAATTAAGATAATTCTTAATAATGAATGTTTATTCTATTTTCATACATCCATCTTCCTAATGCTACTGCTTTGAATAATTATTTCAATCTATTAAAAATTGGATAATATTTTGCAATTTTATCATATAATTAAGTAAATTTAGAAGCAAATTAATAATTAGAATTGTTTATATCTTATATTTCTTTATCTACAAGTTTGTCATTTATTCTTTCCATTTATCTTGTTTAACAAATGACTTTCATATCTTCAATTATGTATTTATTATTTTTCTAATGATAGAAACACTATTAAGGAGTTAACCAAAATCTATATGAACCACCTTAGTCTTCATTTTTTCTTTTAATTATCAGAAGTTATAATTCTTTGAGCTCTTCAGGATAATTGAAAGGAGTTTTTCCATCAGCTTCAACACCTAAAGTCATTAGTTTTAATAAAAAATCACTTTCAAATAAAACTCTAGCAAAATCTGTGTTTTATATTATACTTTTTTTAACAATTTTATCTGGATAACATACTTTTTCTTATTCTTAATAAATTTCTTAATCTGGAATAATTATTGGATCTAATGAAAATTAAATTCTTTTATGTTTTTCCTATAAATTTTTATCAAGTAAGACTTGTAAAACAGTAGCTAAATCTGATAAAATAATATTTGTTTAATTTCCTATTAAAAATCGAGCAGATAACTAATTTATTCCTTAAATACGATTTAATAAACTTATATCAACTTTGCAATCAATTCCACCAAGTTATTAATTATCTTATGTATTATTAGCTTCCTCTTTTGTTGTAGTTTAAGTTTATTATTAATCTTTTTAATTTTGAGTAACTCCAGCAATGCCATTTAATATTCTATCACTTATAAAATTATCTGTTAATCTTTCTTTATCAGTTATTATAGTATTTCTATAATGTTTTTTTCTTTCTTCACAGAATCTAGTTTAAAATTCATTTTAATTCATAGAATTTAAAGCTGATAATGAATTCTTACCAAAAACACCATCAACTTTTGTATTACATACTTATTATAAGAGTTTAGTAGTTCTGCCAGGTCCTAATTCCATAACTGTATCAAAATATAATTGTCCTGTATTAATATCTTCAATCTTATCTACTTTATATTTCACATAATTATGATGATAGAAATCATCAATTTCTTAATCTGATAATTTCATTACATCCTTAGCAGGTTCAATCTCATTATCTTTCATACCTTTCTTTCTACAAATCTCTCTATGGTAAGTATCATAAGCTTATTAGCTAATTCCTTAATTTCTCTTTCTTTCTCTTTTCTCTTCCTTTTACTAAGATGAATCGCTTTGGTTTTATCTTATCTGGTTTAAAAATTAACAAAACTTTTCATTCTTCACCATTTTCAATTTAATAGAATTATGATTTATAAAATTATGAAAAAATACACTTCAAATTTTTTGAAAATAAATTTGGAAAATATCACAATATACAATATATTTTATTAAATATGGAAATATTATAATACAAATCTTTAGATTCAATTAAATTATAAAATTAGTTTGAATAGATTATAATAATATATATGTAATTTTATAATTAATTAATTTGCTACACAAATTCTCCTTAAAATTAATATAAATATAAATTCAATAAAAAAAACAATAAAATAATTTATAAATAAGAAGCCATAATTTGATATCCTTACTTCTAATAAGCTTCAATGAATTATTTAAATTATAAAACTTATACCTAGTTATTCAAATAACTTTAACATAATATTTTGTTCTACATAAAAATTAACTTAAAATTTATTAACAAATTTTTGGAGAACAGTTTAAAAATAAAACAATTTTGTAAAATCCTGATAAAAAAATATTAATCTTAATTCAATCTCTAAATTATTTTGTTTCTTTTTTATCATTTCAATTTATGCCTTTTTCTGTTTGTTACCTAATTTTATTTAATCTATTGTTCCATCCTGTTTTAAAAAATTAATATTTAGGGTGTTTTTTGTAGTGCTCCTCTCTGTATTGAAGCATTTTTACTTACAAATCTCTTTAATTTAGTGAATTAACTGCAGCTAATGTATTATCCCCAAAGTAACCATCAGCTTTTAGATTACATGCTTTTTATAATATTGGAATGGCATATGAAGGACCTAAATTTATGCACGAATCAAAATAAACATAAGATGTATTACGGTCCTTTATGAGATTAGCCTTACATCTTGTAAATTAATAATAATAAAAATCTTTGACCTCTTTGTCTGTGAGATCATAGACATCTTTTTCTATTGGATTATATTATGGTTTTATTTTCATATTCCTTATTTCTTTAATTTGATCATTATAGGTGTTTTAAGTTATACCTTAATTTGTCTTTCCTCCTAGATCATTTTTATCATTAACTTTTCCTCCTTCATGTTCTAAAATATACTTTAAAATTATATCAAAGGGATCCATTTACATTGATATTATAATAGAAAAATAATTAAATCATATTAATATAAAGGGTATATAATTTACATTAAATTTGGATAATAAATTAATAGAATTAGCTAGTTTTATCTAAATTAATTTTTTAATAAAAATATAAAATGATAAATAAATAGATGAGATTAATGAAAATATCGTTATATCATTAATTTAGAGATTTGATATTAAATCCATATTTTTAAATTTTAGACATCAACTGATAGAATTATGAGTTAATAGTATATGGTGAAGAATTCTTAAATTTGCTTTTAGAAATTTTATTTAAAAACGTGGACGAGTATAGTTATATTATTTTTAAGCAATTTTATTTAATCATTTTTAACATCAAAAATATGAAAAAATCTATTTTAATATAATAATTACAGAATTATTAATTTATGAATATATTTTTGTTTTTCTTGGATTAGACAAACTTTTGATAACTATCATAAATTATTTATTGATTTACGATAGTTATTACATAAACTAAAAATTAATTCTCAATAAAAAGTTCATTAGGAGAATTATAAAATTAAGAAAAAGATTTTATATAATTTAATAAATCTTAAATAGGAAATAATACAACTTCTAAACTAATTAACAATAAGTTAGGATAGGTCAGTTGGTGACTAGATCAAAAGAATTAGGATTTAATTAATTTAAAGCAACGGAATATAATTTAAAGTTTAATCTTTTAAAGATAAATAAATCAAAAACATAATTAAAAATTATAGTCAACATTTGTAACTTCTGTTAATTTTTTTAGTGTTTCAGATACTTTAGTTTTCATTTTATCTGGTATAGAATGTTGATCTTTGCGTGTATCACTTTATTTAGATTACTCTTCTTGTTTAAATACATATAAGGGATTCAATTATTTTTATTCTGTCCATTCAGCAACAAATTGAATCCATTATTAATCTCCAAATGTTTATCCAAATAGTGCATACATGACCATTTTTAATTCTTAAATATCAGATAATAATTTTTTATTTGAATAAGATTTCAATATCCTTTAACATTCTTCATTTGTAGCTTATTCTAATTATTATTATAATTAAACTAACTTTTAATTATAATCTTTAATAATATGATTTCTTTCTGAAGAAATATTTTAATTTTTAAAATTGTTTTCAGTAGGTTCTGTAACTTATTAATGTTCTAAATCTTGATGTTCCCATTTAATCACATGAGAAAATTAACTTGGATTAAGAGGATCAATTCCTTAAACAAAAACAGGTTTTTTTATTGAAACTTTGCTTTTTTTTAACATAATTTTCACTTGATTTTTAATTTCAGATACATTCATTTATTATCTTTAAGTAGATATATGTTATCTTGCACTAGTAGCCCTTTATAATAATTATTAATGATTATATTTTTATGATAAAACTCTTGTTTCTTCTATTTCAATTTCTAATTATGCTGCTAATAATAAATAATTTTTAGATATTTCATCTAAGAATTTTGGGAAATATTCTGTCTTAGCACTTTCATTAATCTTTCTCATATTTTTAATAATACTAACTAATCCTTCAGGAACTAGAGAATTGTTTGAATCTTAGAATTATTTTAGAAAGATATCTTTAAGTAGCATTTTACATCTTCTTTTCTTTTATCTCATTTCATCAAGTTCTTTTTGTATTTATTATTATTTTTCACTATTTTATTACATTTACTTTCTTAATTGTGTTATTTCTTTAGTCCTCATTTTTATTTCATTATCTCTTTGATCTCTAATTTTTTGAATTATATCCATTAAATTTCTTTTTTTATTAGGAGGTACATCATTTTATTATTCAGGTATCCATCCTTATCTTGCTTTTTCTTCTTTTGCAAAAAACTTTCTTCTTAGATCTTAAACTTCTTCATCAAATTAATTTAATTCTTATACTAAGGTATTATTTTCAATTCTCATTTAAAATAATACATTTTTATGTTCTTTAATCTAAGTTTAAAATAATTGATAACTTTCCATTAGAGACTTAGCAGATGTAGAATTTTGTTATTATTATGGAATTTAAGTAGTTGGAAATGATGTTGGAGGTCGATTAGCATGATATTTAGCTTTTGATAAAACTACATCATAATCAATATATTAAGCAGGATTACTGAAATATTCAGTTAATCCTTTAAAATTATTTAGTGTTCTTTATTTCAAACTATGTGACTGATCTCTAAATACTTAAGTAATTTCATCATCCATACGTTAAATATTCCAATTAGTTTTATGTTTTCTATTAAAATTCATATCATCTAATTTTTTTGTTACTTTTTAAAGTAAAAGACTATTTAAGATTTATTTATTCATTTCTATTCTTACTTAATCAAGAGTCTTTAAAACATTTCCTGATTCTTTATTAGGTCTAAGCATTTAAAATTAAACTTAAACATCATCATTATTATCTTCAGTCTTAAAGTTGGGCAATTCAACTGGCTTCATGATTTGATTAATTATATTTGAATTAATTTAAGGTCCATGATCTAATGTGAATTCATTTTCAATCACTTTATTATTGTTCTCATTCTATTTTACTTATTCAAATGCATAAGTCTTTTTTTTAGACATTATATTTTCATGCCATTAATCAAGTTATTCAAGAAGAGGATCATTTTGATTCTCTAATAGGTAAATTTTTAGAATTACCATTCTTTTTTTAATTTTTTTTATTATCCTCTTGTGCATCTCCTAGATCAACAACATTTCTCATTCTGATTATTTTCCTATCTTCATATTATAATTTCATTACCTCTTTAAGCAGGATCTGTTTCTTCAAATTGGTTTTAACTTTTTGCTTTTGTTATACTTTTTTTTGGTTGGAAGGATGATGCAGTAGATTAAGTTACTTTTTTCATAATTTAATATTAATATAAATTATGTCTTAAGATGTGGAGATAATAAAAAAGAAGACTCCATCAATAGGTAAAAGATTTACTGTGAGGAGATAAGGATCAATATTATCTGACTCTAAAAGCACATTTGAAGATAGTAGAATCACATTATTACTACTTGAATAATATCGATTAGTGGAGATGGCTAGGTTTTGTGTGATATTTGGAACATTAATCATAGCAATATTGGAAGTAACACTATTATTGGAATTAGTAGTACGAGTGTTCATTTTCAGATCAATTTGTAAATGAATTTGAAACAGAGACATTAACATTATTATTCATCATATTTTTGATGACCCTTTCTGCAAGTACATGCTTTCCCCTTGCTATCGTATAGTTGTACTAACTTTAATTTCGTACGAAGTTCTGTTAAGATATAAAAAGAGAGCAATGGTAATCACACCTTAAGCTGGATTGCTTGACTCAAATTTAGTTTAGAGTTTGGTGATAGAGATTATATTGATATTACCAACTCCAACTCCTTTCACTTAGATGATTAAAATACATTTTAATCAACGATATACTGGTGAGACTAGATTTTACTACTTGAATGAAATATTAACTTATATCTTAACATTCAGAGTTATATTACTTATAAATATTACTCTAAAATTCTCATGCTTTTACAGTAGTCAAATAGGGAGATTATGGTTGAAATATATATTGTATTTTTAGTCGTGTTTACTCAACGAATTTTGATACTCATTTAGTATTCAAGTTATGCATGAAATATCTTCCAGGATAGACATTGATGGGTTTGTTCGTGAGTGGGATGGTTCTGTTTGGTTATAGTTTAGAGATAGCTGAGAGAGCACTTTATAGAGATGAAATAGGAAATAGTATGTATAGTGTAATGACATCTTTATGGGTGACCTTAACAACAATAGCAACAGTTGGATATGGTGAATTTTATCCAACAACTGATTTAGGTCGTATATCAATGGCAGTTTGTGTATTTTGGGGTGTTTCATACACATCATTATTTACAGCGATGTTAGATTCAATGTTTGAACGGATGAATGGCGAAGAAATGGTATGGGCTTTATTAGAAAAGACTAGCGTGACTAATTTAATGAGATATTTAAGTTAGGATTTAATTGTGAGGATTTAGAAGGTTAAAATAAAGAAAGAAGAGAGTAGCAATATTCTCATGATATAGGATTCAATAAATGCATTAAAATAAATGAAAAGATAATACAGGAATATTGATGGAGAAGATTCTATGTCTAAAGCAAAGAGAAAGTTTAAGGATATTAATTTCATGTTTCATGAATACTTTTTATTACTGAAGGAATTTAAACGCTTACAATTAATAAATACAATTAATTACCATTATGTGTATGAATCACATATATGTTCTAGTTAGAAATAAAACTCAAATCATCTGTAAACTAATCAAACGGATGATAAATAGAGTAAGGATGAGGCATTTTTTGAAAAGTTACAAGAAGAAGAATCTGATTTATAAGTGATGGAGTTTCATGATTGACTATAATATATATATATTATATATACATATATGAAATATTAATGAATTAAAAACGATTTCAAGAAAGCAATGTTATACCATAACATTTAACAAACTAAATATCTGAGGGTATTCATGGACTTGGATATGAGAGAAGTTTCTCATCCCATTCAGAAAATGGATAGTATGAAACTTTAAAGAATGAGGATCATGTTGGTTTTGAAGATGCTAGAGTTACTAAATTATTATTTGAAACTCATAGATTGATTGAACATGTTAGATTATAATTCATTATTATCATTACAATGATACTCATAATAGATGTATGATAATTATTATATAGTTTGATGATTAATATTTCATATCTGAATTGGAAGATGATACGTTTTTATGGATAGTTTTTGCTTTGAATTCCATTCTATTACTTTTTACTTATCTAACATATCATATCAAATTTCATTACTTTAAAGCTACTAAATTAATCCCACTCAATATGGGATTTCATAAAAGCGATTTTTTTTATCCATTTTTGTTAGAATTTTTGACATTTATACCGATACCTAATGTATTTTCAAAAAGTAAATTCATTTTAAAAAATAGATATTCAGTTTGAATTTACATTATATAGAGTTGAAGGAGTATTTTATTTCACTTTGAATGACTTACTATTTTTATGGACTTGCTTAAGAGGAATCAATTTAATGTTTATTCTTTTAAGATTAAGTCATTTGTATAATAGTTAAGTTTATAGATTATCATTATATTTTGGTTTCAAAGTTAAATGGAGTTTCACATTCAAATCATTAGCAAATGAAGAACCAGTGTTAGTAATATCTACAATATTTACAATACAAGCATGTTATTTAACATTAGCATTATGGATAGTAGAACGTCCATATATGAGAGATGATAATTCTGATACAATGTAATTGTTAAAACATTCATTTTATGAAACAATGTTGGCGTTAATAAGATACTCTTATGAAGAATATGAACCATATACTGTTTATGGTAAAATTGTTTTATCATTTACATAATATTCTGGATTTGCCACAACTTCATTATTAATAGCAGCTATAGCGAAACGTTTCTATATGGAAAGCAATCAATACAACTCTTATATCTTACTTGCTAGATTGTAAGCATCACATGAAATGCTTGTAATAACATAAGCTATAGGTGAATAATTTTATTATCTTACAAAATATCCAATCAATCCTTTTTCTAATGGAAGAGCAAAATTGTGTTTAGCAAATCTTAAGAAGTTCTTTCATAAGAAAAGGAATTATCATAACACTGTGGCAGAATTAACTGAATAATTATTCAATAGAAAATTGAAAGATTTCAAATTACTCTTATAAGATTATTAAGAGATTTGTAAACTCATTAGAGAGTAATAGAAAGAAACCTACCAATGTTATTCTGATTAATAATAATTATTTTTATTATGATTCTATATATTCCCATCCTATTAACAACTATAGTTTAAGCCTCATTCTCTGGTGATCGAGTAAGAAAAACAGAATTTGAGAGTCTCCTCAAAAGTAATTAAGATGTAAAGCATAATTCATTGATTTAGTTATTACTCTTAATTATCAAGGATGATGGAATGGTTGCATTATGGAACCAATTATATTAAAAACATGTTGATTCTATCTTTATGGGATTTATAGATTGTAGAGAAGCAAATGATTTATGCACTGAATTAGGTATATAAAATACACCTTAATTACTTTATGTTAATAAAACAGAAAAAGCATTAATCTATTTTGATGGCTAATGGAATTCAGATTCAATTACAGAATGGTTGATTGGAGATCAAATTCATTCCGAAAAAGAATATGAAATCAATATACAAGTTGATTAACCAAATATTAATTAAAATATTCAATGGGTGACTGATGTTGGAAATGAGGATCAATTACATAATAGTCAATTGAATGAAAATCATGATTTAAATGAAATTAATCATCATCATGATCATCATTCAGATAATATAGAAAAAATAAAATATGAAGAATTACAATAATTAATCTTACTTAATGAGTAACTCTCATATAAGGCTGATAAATTTAGAAGAGATATAGATTTAATGAAACATTAAACAAATATGCTTAATACTTCATTTATGATTGAATTAAATAGATAAGAAACTACTATCAATTTCACGATATATCTCTATTCTTCAGGAATGATAGCATTAATTTGTGTTCTTTTTACTTGGAAGAAAATTAATGTTATTCAAAAGAAATAGTCAATTCTAGTGTAATGATATATTTATATTTTTAATTTATCCAATTAATTCAAATATGAGTGATTAGAACAAATTTCATATACTTAAGTTTACTTAACCAATTCAATAGAATCAACCAGTTTTGCCAACTCCAAGATCTGATCTTTCAAATGAAAGACTGGTTGGAATTAAAAGAGATTCACTTTCTAATTTAAAAAGTTCGTAACCGTACTCTAGCATCTCTCACAGATATTCTAAAAAGAATAAGCCTCTATCTTAAGGAGTATTGGACTCATAAATTGATAGACATTTTATGGATCCCCACTTTTAGGACAAAATCATTTAGACATAATAGATAAAATGAAATCTTAATCACGTAATGATTTCTATGGACAATTAAATAGTATTGATCCCTATCAATATCCTACTCATCTATCTGATCTCTATATCTCACCTAAAACACTTAGAGAACGTAATCTTACTTATTCACATTTTCAAGCTATACTGTTAAAGTTCACATTCCTAACGAATTAAAAGAACCTCCAGTATAATTACCTAATTTTAGTTCTAATCTGTCTAAACATATACCCAGAGATAAACTTCATAGAGGTATTCCATTCAAGTAATCTGTACATTAAATTATCACTAAGACATGATATTAAATCACTTGCTCTTGGATTGATCTTATGATTTCATAGATCTTTCATAAATATGCTCATGATACTAAATAAATTGACTTTTATGAAGAAGTTTAAAATGTATTAACCTTATCTTTAAAAGAATTAATACGATAAATTAGTCTTGATTGTATTGAAAGGAGGTGATGTAAATTTACAATTATATTTAGTGTCCTTTTACAAAAAATATGGAATCAATATGTCGAAATCAATTCCAATCCTATTTATTAAGTTCTTAATGAAAAAAAAGATATTGAAAAATCTAATCTCAAATAAATTATGAAAACACATCAATTATATTAATGAGAAATCGATAATTTTTAATTAATTATTTCCAATATTAAAGAAGATTAATCTAAGCTTACATCAAAATTAATCAAATTTAAAGATAATAGCAAATATCTTAAAAAAACTAATAGAAATTTATAAAATACTATTAGAGAACTCAAATTCTAACTCAATGATTATACTACCTAAACTAAGTATTTAATGAGTGAAATTGATAATCTAAAATAATAAATTTAAGAAAATGAAATTGACATCTAAAAATTTCAATAAATATCCTAAACTAATTATAGAATTGAATCTCCATTAGCTAGTGATCATTCTTCACTTTAATTTCCCTAACCATTAAAAGTTATCCAAGCTGGTTTACATTAATCCTTAGAAAGTGATCCTGATACTACTCTATCAAATTTTGAGAATATGTTATTTAACTAAGCTACTGATACAAATGATTTAATTGCATTGATGAATTTATAAAAAGAACAATCTACTTAAGCTTGTGGATTTAATACTTAACCAGAATATCAGTAAAAAACAATATTTAGTTAAGATCAATTCTTTTACCAGATGTTAGACATAATATTGTTTAAACTGATTTTACTATGAGTAATGCTATTCAAAAGGAAACGCAAACTGAATTACTCACTGATTTATAAGATGATATCAAAAATGAAGAAGATTAATTAATATTATTTTAAGAACAATTTTTAAAAGCATCTGAAAATTATCAATAACTTATCAATGGAAATCAATTAGATAATCCTGATGTTAAATATCTATCATCTTTTATTTTAAGTCTTGGTAATATCTCATCTTAACTGAAATAAACAGTCTAAAATTAACGAGAATATAGAACTAGCTTATTACTAATTAATAGTGTTTAAAAAGATGAAAATGCTAGAAATACTAATGAATTATAATTATTAGTATAATTAATTTATAATATTAGAAAATCAACCGTGATAATCTATAATAGAATTTGGAATCTGCAAAAAATGAAATTGAAGAATTAGAAGGTCATCTAGAATTATAAGAATACGTAAATATTATTTATTTATTTAAAAAAGATCAATTCTAAATTAGAGAGAAAATATAATAAAATAAAAGATAAAAAACAATAACTTATTGAAAAAACTACAAATCTAATTAACCAATTAACAAAGACACAAAAATTTACAAATATTATGAAAAAGAAGATATAAGAAAAGAGATCAAGTATTTTTACTTAAAAAAAGTAATCTGCCACTTAATCTTAAAGTCAATTACCATCATCTTTAGAAATATCATAGAAATTTTCACTAATAATTTTTACAATCAAATAATTCCTAAAATCAGATGGCCTTATCACCTGGAAGATAAGAATTGGAAAATCATTCTAATAATAATTAATAAAAACCTGAAGGTTAAAGCATTTAATAAGAAAATTTAATATAGAAAATCAATATTCCAAAAAAGAAATGGAATATTTAAATTACAAATACAGATGAATAATAAAAGGAATCTGATAATGAAAGTGATCTATCATAGTCTTAACTCTCCTTTTAATAAAGTATTAGTATAGTTTAAGATGTATTAAATATTTTTTATAAAATAGGATGTTATTTCATAACATAGTTTTGCATCAAATAGAAGATCTTAATAACTGTAAACTCAAGCTAAATCTCCTGGTAATCATGTAATATTAATATAATATTAGTAGCAATTAAATCCAAACAATGGAAATAATAGATCAAGTTTAAAATCTGCTAAAAAAAGTACTCCTATTAGCACTTCGAATACATTGAATAATGAAAATGTAAAATTGATTTCAGATACATTGAGAAGATTTTTAAATGAAGAATTAGATAATAGTGAAGCGTCAAGTATTGATTCATCTTTTTCATCTAAATTGGAAGCTTATTTTAAAAAAAATCAGATAGATAATAAAACAAAAGAAATATCACATAAACATAAGCACCAAGTATTTTATAATTTAAAATTATAAGAATTTCAAAATAGAAATTATACTGAATCAACTACTTAACTCAATTTTTAAAGATCTAAATATTTAGTAACTTTTTTGGCTGAACGTTTTGCTAAAAATCCAAAATTGGCTACACCAAAAATGTAAAGAATAAATGTTTTAAAATTCATTTCTTAATTTTATTGTGATAAGATAAGGTAATTTCAAAATAAAAATATACCTTTACATTAAATATGTTATGAGCATTTTGTAAATACTTATGGATTTAAAAGCATGGCAGAGTAAAAATTAACTAATTTTTATCAATCTGTATATTCTTATAGAGAGAATTTTAGAGTTAATCTTTTTGGAAGGTATAAATAAATAAAATGAATAGATTTTTGGAATTGTTAAGTCCTCTTAGTTTGGATGATTTAGATATTTATATTTAATCATTAAAAGTACTTGATGAAAATGATATAGCTATTCATTTAGCATCAATAGTAAATGAAAAGGGAGTATTAGTTCAATTAGAAAAAGCAATAGCATCATTAGATATTCTACATTAATGTTTGGGATTAGATATCAAAGATAGAATTATAAAGGAAACTCCTTTGAATACATATGAGAGGAAGAATAAAATGTGTGTAGATGTTGACTTTTTTATAAGTAAAGTTTTAAATGGTTATCATTAATATAAATTGACATATTAAGCTCATTTTGAAGAAGTATTTTATTCAGCTGATATGGATATGGATGGAATGATTGAATTTCAGGAATTTTAAAAATTATATTTACATTTTGAAATTAATCAAGGAACAACATCCAATAATAAATCAATAAGAACTTAATTTATGGAAAGATGTGATACTATTTCAAATGAGAATGGTGAAAAAGCCATGTCTTTTGAGCGTTTTATTACTTTTTCATTAGAAAATAATATATTTTCAGAAGAAAAGTTCTCTGTAAATAGTTGAATTTTTATAATATATAGAAATTTTCAAAAAATGTTGATCCTAATGATCCAATTAAGAGTTTGAATGATTTGAAAGAGAATTGGACAAACATCTAATTATTATTAATGAGTAGAATTAGCTTAAGTGAACCTAATGAAGGTGATTATTATCAAAGTATAATTTAAAAACTTGATTAAGTAAATTTCAAGAATTATTTAGGCTTTAAATAATAAGGAATTGAAAGAAAGCTATTGGATTTCATATAGAATCTTAGATGAAGATACAAAAGCACTTTATTTAAATAAGATTGCAGCTGATCTTATACCTGATGATCTATTATATATTTAAGAATAAATGAATGAAATTTTTGATGATAATATTGAGATTGATTGAATTATATAGATATATATTATTAATTAAATTAATTATCTCGTAATACTTACTTATTAGAATTGTTTTAGATTATAAATCTTTTCGATTATTATAGAAAGACATAAATTTCTTATTTTATTCGAATTATTATAGATATTAATTTTATTATTTTATCAAATGAGACAAAAATCTCGAACAGTCCATGAAGGAGTATAAAATACATTATAAAGTGTTGATTATAATGAGTGTATATACTAATGTATTCTAACTAAGAAAAAATTTATTGGTAAGGGTCCAAGGTATATCTACTTATTTAAAAATCACATTTGTATTGGAAAAGTATGGATATTATTATATGAGTACAGTCTCCAAAGGTACAAATTCCTGAGAGATAATTTGCTATAAATACAGATACTCGGATTTAGTGGCAATATTCAAAAAATATGTTAAAATCAATAACTTTTTAAGTTGGGAACTAATCTTATGAATATTTTGGAAGTAATGAATAATTAAGAGAAATAAAATAAAAATTTGCCTTGTATGCATTTTAAATGAAAATCCAAGATGAATATTAGGCTGAATCAATTTTAGGGAAGGGTTCTTATGCTACAGTACTTGAATTAACAAATTTGTATAATCATCAATAATACGCAGCTAAATGTATAGATTAATAAAAAATAAATGAAAAGAAAAATGGATTACGTTAATTAATGCAAGAGATAGAAACAATGCGTATTCTGTCTGAGCATAAACATTAAAACATTCTTTAATTACATGAATTATATATTGGAAATTAAAACTATTACTTGGTAATGTAATTAGCTAAAGGAGGTTCTCTATTATCATTAATGAAAAAGAGATCAACTTTATTTAGTAGAAATGATATAAGAATAATTATGAGATAATTATTAGAAGGATTAGCATTCATTCATACATTTAATATAATGCATAGAGATTTAAAACCAGAAAACTTATTATTTATGTCTAAAGATTTAGAATCTCTTAAAATAGCAGATTTTGGATTAGCTTAATCTTGTGATTAACATCCATATACATATCCTAAATGTGGTACTCCTGGTTTTGTTGCTCCTGAAATATTAGAATAAGATTCTGAATTTGCTAGATATACTACTGTATGTGATATATTCAGTGCTGGTGTTATACTATATGTTTTGTATTAAATTATGCAAATTTAGATTAGTTGGAGAACCATTATTTGAAAAAAAAGATAAAAGAGAATAATTAGAATTAAATAGAAGATGTGAGATTAATTTTTAAAGATTCTAACATGATTAATTAGATCATATAGAAAGAGATTTAATGTCTAAAATGTTAGCTAAAAATCCAAATCATAGATGGAAAGCATCTGAATTACTTAAACATAAATTCTTTGCTACTTCTGATGATTAAATTGAAAATGAAATTGATTATCCTAAATAACTTAATATGGCTATGTAAAATATCTATATATATTTATTATTTTTAGACTTTAAAAATCAACTATGCCTACCTTTTCTAAAAATCCATTTATGTAATCAGTAACTAGAGATAAAGCATTAACTACTAGAGATAAAGCACCAACTATCAGAGAATAAAGTTAAACACTTCTTATTAGACCTAAAAATTGTACACTTGTTATGTAAACCAATCTGAATTTTGATAAATCTTCCTAAGAATAAATTAATCCACTTGAAAAACTTACCAATTTTATTGGCTCTTTTAATTTAATTAAGGATGAAATAAATTAATGAAATTTCTATAGTATTATTTATTAAAAATAATAGTTGTATTCTTAAACCATCTAACATATTTAAGCATTCATTAATTATTTTTTATTCTAAAGAAATTTGTGTTTTTCCACATAATTCGCCCACATAATGAAAAATTCATTTGCAATATTTAGTAGGTTTAAAGCTTCCTTATTTTATTTTTTAAAATTAAAATATAGGATACTAAAATTATTTTAAAGCAAACTTAACTAATTAATCATCCTATTTTTTTTGAATTATTAATCAAAGAAAAAGTAACAACATCAATAGAATAGATTAAATTAAATTAAAAAATTTTAAATATAATAAAATTATAAAAATGTATTAAATTCATTCAGCAAAAAACTTTTTAAAAGTATTTCATATATATAATATAAATCGCTGACTATTTGTTTGAGATTTTTATTTTAGCTTTTCTGGCTTCTATTTTGATAATCTAGCAATTCTTCTTCTTTTTAATAAAAGATTTGTTGCTTTTATTTTATTATTCTTTAGCATATGCTATATTTCTGAAAACTAATCTAAGAGGAGATCGAAAAATATCAAATTCTTCATTTAACTTTTTTCTTAAAAACTTTAAATAAATAGCTAAAATTTATTTATAAATTTGTACAAGATTCTTAATTAATAATTTAAGCAACATTTTAAGAGGAAAAGCAGCTATATATCTTTTTGAATTTATTTAGCCAATTATTTAATAGACCAGTTTATATGTAAATTATTATATAAATAGATTACTCTAGTATTCCATTAATCATAAACTTAAATAAATTAATTCATTAATAGATTTATCCTAAATTAACTTTTCAGCCTTTATTGAGATTAATTTACAAATGGGAATTTATCCAAGATTTCTTTTCAATTATCCTTTTAAATGTTTAAAATCATTATCAATAATATTCCATTTATTTCCAGCAATTATAAGTTCTCTTCCTTATTTAATTGTTTCTTAAGCGAATTCTAAATCAACTTCTTTAAATTTCTAGTGAATCAATTAAAGTAGATCTTGTTTTTGCAAGTATCATAAATCTAGATCAATTTATATTTTTTGTTTATATTCATTTCATGCAATATGTACTAATTATATTTTTTATCTTTTTAAAGATAAATACAGATTTTCTTTTGAAACTACTTGCTCCCTTTAAATGGGCGATCTAGTAAAAAATTGAATTAGCTATATTTTCATCATCCATATCCCTATTATCTTTTGGATAAATCAAATTTCTTCTTTTAGTAATTAAGAGTTACTCAAATTTTAATATCAAATTCAATTCATTATTATTTAATGATTTCTTATTTAATTTTTCTTTAATTTCTTTATATTTTTCCTTATTTTTTATTTCCTTACTTAACAGTCTTCATGTACAGATAGTTTAGGGTATATTTACTGAGATACTAATAATCTTAGAATCTTCAACAATCAACTGCTGAAACATAAATAAGATTTCCAAGAGCCAGTATTTTAGTTGAGAATCAATGTAAATTTCGAATATAATTTCATTTTCACATTTACATTTATTAGCAACTATCAGAGTTTTCTTTACGATTTGTTTAGGTAATTTAATTCTTTCAATTTATTAACGCTTTTAGGATCAAAAGTTATTAAAGAGAGTTTATTTTTCAACTATCTTTAAATGAATGATCAATATTGGTTAAAAAACTTTAGCATCAATGATAAATTAAGCAAAATGAGAATACTCAATTGAATTGATAGTTTGTATTTATATTTATTTATTATAATGGATTTAAAATCTATTTTCAGGCTACATTTTCTATACTTTTCTATTTCTAATAATATTGTTTTAATTTAATGTAATAACAGCATTTTCTCCTATATTCAATAGAATGATGATTTACTTTGCTGATTATCTATTTACAAATGATATTGTGTGTTAAGGAATTTAAGAAAATTTGTATAAAATTTTTGTTTACATAAATAATGAATAATGATAGAACTAATAAAAAAAGAGATAAATCTTCTAATGATGTTAAAAGTCTTTTAAGTTAACCTAGTATGTTGTTTAATCAAAAAGTTGAAGATAATATTATTCATGTCATTTAATAATTCTAACCATTGAGAACTGAAAATGATGAGCTTAAAAATACTATACTTGCTACTTAAACTTATTTAGAAGTATTTTATAAAAATTTTATAAATTAGCAATAAAGAGAGAATCTATCATAAATTATTAGAGAAACTGAAAGTAGAGAACTTGTGAAGAGAATTGCAGATATTCCAACGTTAATTACTATTTTATAAGAAGATATGAAAACCATGTAAGAAACATTAAGGACATGTATTTCAAACACTATTACGTAATATAGAATCACTATTATTGACATAATAAACTGAGTAGTTACTATTTTTAAATCAAGAACGCAATTCTAATTATGAACGTATTAAAATTGAAGTTTCTCAATAATAAATAGAATAATAAAGTATTATAACTCATCAGGAAGAATTAATTAAATCAAAAGATCAAACTATATACCAATTGAATTAAATAATTGAAGATGAAAATAAAAAAATTAAGAAAAATTAAAATTCACATTTTGAAATTCTAGATTCATATAATGAGAAGTTAGAAGACTTAAATAGTTAACTTAATGAGGAAATTGAAAAATAATAATAAATTAAGATTAAATATACATAGATGTTACAATAATAATAAGATGAACATCATACTTAAGTAACTATTAAACAAGATTAATATGAATTTGCTTTAGGAGAATTAAGAAATACTTATGAAAAACGTATGGATAAATTAATTAAAGATAGTGAATTTAGAATTTCAGAAGCAAATAAAGCTTCCATAAGAGCCAATAAAGAATTAGAATAAATTACAAATAAATATGAATAAGAAATATTAAAAAATGAATAATCAATAATTCTAATTAAAAATTAATAATTATAATTATAATAATAATAACAATAAACTTAATAATTAAGAGCTTAAATGCATTAATAATCTTTATATCTTCATTAAACTTAAGCTATGATAGCTAATTTAAAAAAAAATAATAATAATGAAGAATTAAATTTGTCAGAATAAAAAATTTAATAATAATTAGAGAATTTGTATTTGATAAATCCTACAAATAATATTGATCATCAATAATAATAGATATCATCGCCATCTTTATGGTCTCATGATATAAATTAATTTTCTCAGTCAGTTTTCAAAAATAATATAAAATATGTTGATTAATAAACTACTTAAATGTCTCCTATATCAAATTCTAAATAAATTTAAGATTAAATTCCAAATTTAGAGTTTTAAGAAATAATGGAATCAAAAAAATAAACTAATTTAATGAAAAAATTAAAAAAGAAACGTAATTAAAGATCTAAAAATAGAGAAGATTAATATTATTATTATGAACTCAAAACAAATGATGGAATAACACAAAAAGAATTAATTACTAAACCTTCTCCAAAATAAAGTGAGGAAACTCCAAATTCTAAATTTACAAGTGTTAATTTTACTTAAGCTTTTGTTACTCATCATCATTCAAATCTTAGAAGAAGAAGTAAATTATAAATTAACTTCTCTAATAATTAAATATAAGAATAAGAGATCAATCATGAAATTTAGACATAAGATATCTCTTGTTAAACTGAAGATTTCTTATTAGAATATTTAATAATCAATGAAAATTAAAAAACTATTCATACTCATTAATAAGAAAGGTCTAATAGTTACTTTTTTTCACCAAATAAAAAACATTAAAATACTTCAACTATTTTAGATAATAGTTCTAATAATTAAAATTAATTTACTCATTAAATATTACAAAGTGATTAGGATGAATTTTAAGTTTAATTAAAAGATGAAGTAACTATTCTTAAAGAATAAATTATTTTACTTCAGTCATAAAATTAAATATAGGCTAAAAATATAACAGATTTATAAGAAAAAGCTTAATATATGTAAGATAGAATGAAAGAAAATGTTAAATAAATGAAATAATAAATTACAAGAAGTTCATAAGAAAATGAAACTCTGTTAAAATAATTAGAAAAGCCAAAAGAAGTTGTTAAGAAAAAAATAGAATTATAAAAACATTTGGAAAATTAGATTTCTTAAAGTGAAAATTTGTAATATTAATTAAATAAAGCAACAGAAATAATAAAATATTTTAATAATGAACTTGAAAATTATAAATAAATGTATAATATTTTTGGATAAGGTAGTAAATCAGAAAGATAAACAAAGAAATTACCTAGTATTTATTAACCTTCTCCAAAAAGGAAAATGGGAGAATGTACTCCAAGAAAATAATAATCAATGTATGAAGAAGCATAAAGATTAATAGATAATCTTTATGATATAAAAACTTATAAAAGAAATTGATAATCAATTGAAAAGTAGTAGTTATGTTTATAATTGAAAATGATATAAATATATATCAAATTAATCGTAATTCATAACTATTAATTAATATCAATTTTAAGATAAAGCAGTCATCTTAGGAACAAAAATTTCTATATTTTCTTTTTTTTCAATAGCTTTTGGATAATCTTAGAATAACTTAGTTATAGATAGAGCTAACTATGAATTTTTTTCTGTAAATTCTTCATGGATTGTTTATAGAACATCTCCATATATAAAATTTTGTTATTCAATCATAGAATACTTTGTTCTGCAATATGAAGAGTATTAAGATTTGAATTCATTTTTGTACATCAAACAAACATTGAGATTTGGATGATAAATACTATATTTTCTAGCTCGTCTATTATTATGAATTTCATTTATTAAAGCTTCAATAAAACACTCACAATTTATGATCTAAATTTCTTTACTATATTATTCACATTAATCATAATATGAAATTGAATTAATTTCTTGAAAATATAATTGCTCAAAACTATAGAGTATAATCTTTTTATGTTACCTTTCTTCAAATGCTTCAATGAGATCTTATTTAGAGAATTCATCAAAATTAATCTTAAGATTAATCATAAACTCAGATTTAACGATTCCTCTTGGTAATTATATTAATGATGGTACACCTTATTTTACTATATTTTGCTAATATAATAAATACATTGTTCAGTTTTTACTCTAAATTACTTTAGAATAAAATTGCTATAAGGATCAAAACAAGCATTCACTAATACATTAATTTAAATGCATTACAGATGCTTTTATTTTATGTTTCTCTAATATCTCCTTAAAGAATAACAACTTCATTATCATCTATTGTTATTGAAAAGATTTCACAAGCATCTTAAACAGTTAACTCTGAATTTCTTACACTTGCACACAAATCTAAGTAGCAATAAATAAAATACTTCCCATTATTCAATAAATAATTATAATTTTATTATTCTAAATTAACAAGAATCAATAACAAAAAGAATTCGATTCATTTATTATTTATATATGCTATTTAATTATCAGTTAACTAATTTAATAACTTTTAAATCAATTTTTGCTTATTCTACCTATTATTTAATAGATAATTATGCTTTTATTAGTTTATCTTTTAGTTCTTCTTTTGGAACTTCTTTAGCAAAATAATCCAATACTCCTGGATCAATTAGTATTTTCAATTATTAATATGATAAATCTGGAATTTGATCCCAAACTATTTTTCTACCACAACCTTTTAAGTTTTCTTTAGGAGGTTCTTTATATTCATCATCCCAATCTTATTTTTTCATGAAAAAGCGAAGGAAAGAACTTTTTAATTAAATTTTATTTTCTTGTTTTTAAGGTACTTAGTTGACTTTGTAATTGATTCCATTTTCTGTTATCTTAAATTCATATTTTTAAGGCATTTTATAATCATGAAAATATTCATCTTTAATAGGGAATGCACCACAAGTTGTTTCTCCTTCACATCCAGATACTTTTAACCAAATTAATCCACAATGTGGGCAGGCCTTAATAAAGTTGAAGAAATGAGCTTTATCATCTTTCATTTTTAATTGAGTAAGCTTAATTATTTCTTCAATTTCCATTACTAATTCCTTTTTTAGTTCAAAATGAATCAAATAAGCTAAACCTGGGTTTTTATGTTATGTATAAAGTTGAGAAAATTTTGCATTATTTTTAATTTCAAAATCTGAAATTAAATTTTCCGCTACGGCTTTTGTCTCTAAAGTAAGATAATGCATTATTTCATGAATAGATGAATTATTTCCATCAAAATCTTCAATAAACTTTTTTATAACAGTTGCTATTCTCCTAAATTTTGCTATTACTTCACCCTTTGTACATTCTAAACTTAATTCTAATTCTCCTTGCAATTCAAGTAAATCGAAGTTAGAATAAAATTCTGTTTCAGTTAATTCAACTTGTTCAGCTTCACATTTATTTAAGATTGAATCTATTTATTAACATATTTTTTCTCCAGGATCATATTTTGAGACAAATATTACAGAATTTATCCCATAGCTTTTACTCAAATCTATAACTTATTATTTATTTTATGAAACAGTCGATTTATCAACAGTATCCCAATGAGTCACAGTAACAGTTAAAAGATATCTATATCTCATAAATTTAGTAACCATATTTTTTATAAAATCTTGCATCATATCTAATCTTTCCCATTTTACTATTAAAAATATTTAATGAACTGGTCCTTCAGAAAGAGCATTCAATACACCAACAGCATGAATTATTTTCTCTTATTTCGATCCAAATCCAGGTGTGTCCAATACTCGAAATCCACTACCATAGGATGAAGCTTTTAAAAAGGTTTATCTATTTTAAAAAAAATCATTTATATACCTTGTTACTGAATTACCTCCTGATTACACTAGTTATTAAGTTTTACATATTAAATTAAAAAATGTTGTTTTTCCACTTCCAGTAAATCCTATTAGAACAATTTGTTTTTTATTCATCTAATATTATTTTCACTTTCATAAATATGAGTATAAAATTTCCTTTTCAAACTGAGATAAATCTATTACACTTCATGCTAGAATTTATTAATTAATCTAATACAAATTTCTAAGAATTCAACAGAAAATAGTATTCCTTAATCTATTACAGAAGTATGAAAATTATTTATTTTTCAAGAAAGAAATTATTAAAACAAAGCATGTCCTATTATCTGATTGTTCTTTTGGGGAATGATTAATTATTAAAGAATTCAATCTATGAAAATTTTCAAGGAAAAGAATAAAAAAATTAATCAATTTTTTTACCTTATTCCTCTTCGATTCCAAAAAATATTGATTAAGATTAACATTGGAGCATACTTAATACTCCAAGCGCAATAAATTATGAAGATTTAATATCTATTTGGAACAATTTGATATAAATTTCTAAATTAGAAAATATTGATTATGGAACTGTTATTTATTGTTTTAAGGATTATCAGAGTAAATTAGAAGATTTATTGGATTAAATACACGATTAAATTGGTTGTTGGAATAGAAAAAATGGAATCATAATTGAAAAATAATTTTAGCTAGAGTACATTTTCTCAAAAATAAAAATAAATAAAAACTTTAATTTTAAAAATTTGACACCTAAAAATAATGAAGAATGCTATATAAAAAAGATTGCTTAAGAGAAAATTAACATTATTTTAAAAGAATGGAATCAAACTATTTCAAGAAGTAACAATTTAGCAAATTTTATATAATAAATAATTGAAAAATAAAATCTCGATAATATTTTAGACAAATTAAATTTGAGTACTTTTTCTGAAATTAGAATGTTTAATTTGGCTGTTAATATTAGGTACATGTTAGATGAAAAAAGAAGGATTTTTACTAATTATTTAAGATTTAAATCATAAGAATATTCTAAATTTTTATATTGCACAAATAAATGCAAGTTGTTGTACGTTTAAACTAAATTTTACTAGTTAGAGTAGATTTTTCAAATAGATATTTCACTTAAACCATCTACTCTTACTAATTATAACTGTCCTAACTGTCCTAAGTGCTAAGAAAAGACCAAATTTATAAATCCTTAGTAAATAGAAGAAAGCATTTTTTTTTATTTTTAAAAAGAAATAATTTATGAAATAATCTAAAAATAATAACAAAATTAAGAAATATTATAAATAATGTTGTTATCAAATGAAGATGAAGAAAAAACAAAATTTTTTAATATGATTTAACAAAATGATTCCATCTCCAACTCAAAATAACAAGATGCATTTGTTCAAAGTAAATTAATAAATGAAAAATATATTTTCCATAATCCTCCATTACTTGATTTTGTGAATGATAGTTAATCTATCATTTCTGGCTATAGAGAATATTTTCAAAAAAATGATATCCATTTTTTTTTTATTTTTGTAAATCATTAAAGAATTGATATCATGACTCAAAGAATTTCAAATATAATAAAAAAATTTCATAGTTTGGAGAGACAAAGAATGGCTTTAATTGTAAATTCATAAAAATAAATTTAACAAGGATAACATACAGAGATTGTAAAGCAATTAAACTATTTTGGGTTTAAGTCTATTAATTTTTTAAATACTAGTGATTCACAATAGAATATAAAAAAAATGATATTCAAATGTTTGGAGAACATTGATTTAAGAAAATTTGATTTCACAAACACAATATTTGAATAAGTTGATGAAAGGATGACGTAATAATTTAAAGAAAATCTTAATAAAGTTAGTAAGAAAATTTAAGAAGAAGAGCTGAATAGATTTAAAATTTATTTGGATTAAGAAAAATAAGAAATAGAAAAAGAAAAAATAGAAGTCTAAAAGCTGGAAAGTTTTTTAAAAAATAAAAAAGATTAGCTAAATTAAAGAGAGTAAAATTATCAACTTGGCTTGAATGAGTACAAAATTACTTAGAAAAAATTAAACTTTTGATTATTTCATATTATAAATTCTATAATATTTTTTTCTGAATTATTATTCATTTCAAATGAATATTTATTAGCTTTTTAAATTGTTATCATTATTATCATTACTATTAATCAAAAGACTTGAAAATTACTATATGTAATTATTATATCACAGTCAGATACTTAAAATCGAATCAAAACGCAATAATGATAAGCTCTCAAAATAATAATGATAAGATTATTAGATTGGATTTCTCTTAAGGCATTCTTGTGATTTCAGAACTAATTCTAAAATTACTTTTTTTATTCAAAATCTTCTTAATAAGCCTTAAATTGATCAGTAAAAACTTTCATATAATTTAAAAAAAGCATCATTAATTAACTTTTGAAAATCCGCTATAGTTTTGATTGGAAGAGTTGTAATTGCAATAGAAAATCGAATGCATTATAATTCATAAATTATTATACTTTTCTTCTAATTTCATGACTTAGACAGCAACTGTAGTGAAATTCTTAAAAAAAACATTTTTTACAATTTCTATAGTTAATTCTTATTCATCTGATTCCTGTAAGTTTAAGTCTTTATGATTTGTTAAATTCTCTTCCATATTCCTTAGTTTTATTCTCTTAATTAATATACTATAAATAAATTAAAATCCTCTTAAGCTTTCATTTTCATTATTAATTAACCGTNTAACATACAGAGATTGTAAAGCAATTAAACTATTTTGGGTTTAAGTCTATTAATTTTTTAAATACTAGTGATTCACAATAGAATATAAAAAAAATGATATTCAAATGTTTGGAGAACATTGATTTAAGAAAATTTGATTTCACAAACACAATATTTGAATAAGTTGATGAAAGGATGACGTAATAATTTAAAGAAAATCTTAATAAAGTTAGTAAGAAAATTTAAGAAGAAGAGCTGAATAGATTTAAAATTTATTTGGATTAAGAAAAATAAGAAATAGAAAAAGAAAAAATAGAAGTCTAAAAGCTGGAAAGTTTTTTAAAAAATAAAAAAGATTAGCTAAATTAAAGAGAGTAAAATTATCAACTTGGCTTGAATGAGTACAAAATTACTTAGAAAAAATTAAACTTTTGATTATTTCATATTATAAATTCTATAATATTTTTTTCTGAATTATTATTCATTTCAAATGAATATTTATTAGCTTTTTAAATTGTTATCATTATTATCATTACTATTAATCAAAAGACTTGAAAATTACTATATGTAATTATTATATCACAGTCAGATACTTAAAATCGAATCAAAACGCAATAATGATAAGCTCTCAAAATAATAATGATAAGATTATTAGATTGGATTTCTCTTAAGGCATTCTTGTGATTTCAGAACTAATTCTAAAATTACTTTTTTTATTCAAAATCTTCTTAATAAGCCTTAAATTGATCAGTAAAAACTTTCATATAATTTAAAAAAAGCATCATTAATTAACTTTTGAAAATCCGCTATAGTTTTGATTGGAAGAGTTGTAATTGCAATAGAAAATCGAATGCATTATAATTCATAAATTATTATACTTTTCTTCTAATTTCATGACTTAGACAGCAACTGTAGTGAAATTCTTAAAAAAAACATTTTTTACAATTTCTATAGTTAATTCTTATTCATCTGATTCCTGTAAGTTTAAGTCTTTATGATTTGTTAAATTCTCTTCCATATTCCTTAGTTTTATTCTCTTAATTAATATACTATAAATAAATTAAAATCCTCTTAAGCTTTCATTTTCATTATTAATTAACCGTATATTTAATTGTCAGCTCATTCACTTACAGAAACACCAACAGCATGAAAAATTTCTATATATTTAATATTAAAGAATTTAAAAATAAGATATCATTTCTCAAATTAATAGTTTAAGACTACAAAAGTACTCTATAAAATTTAATATAGTTAGAAAAGAGCTATTGAATGAAGTATTTCTTTAAATAAAACAATTATTGAATAAAATAGTACAAAATAATAATAAATAATTTCAGAGAATCATAAAATAAACTACAATAAAAAGTTTAGAAAAATGAAAAGATGAAACAAGATTCTATGTCTTTTAATATTATAAAACAATATTATTAATTAGAATAATTCTAAAAATAATTAGTATATAAAATGTAAAGAAAATCAAATACTTTAAAATACTTATGTAAGTTACTATATTCTACAACTCCATTTTGTTAACATAATCATTCTTGTATTATGAATATGTCAAAAGGGATGATTGAGGCATTCACAAAAGCATTTTTAGCAAAACTTTGCTTGAATGCTATTATGTTAGTAATGAGTTCTAAAAAGATTATCAAATCACAGCAAAAAATAAAATTAGTGTTTAATATTTTGATTAATAGGTATAATATGCGCAATAAATCTTAGAACTAATTTCCATTTAGGTTTATTTATGGGAACATAAACATTTTTAATAAAATGTATATAATGTCTTTTAAGAACAATTCGATAAAAAGAAGATGGTTGGAATGCTGCTATTTCTGGATTTATTGGAGGAGGATTAAGTTTTATTACTTAAAAGCCTCATGTATAAAATATTCTAAGAGTTTATTTATTTGCAAGAGCTACAGAATGTTTATACTAAATTGGTATATAGAGGTAAAAAATTATTAAATTAATAAGAAAGTATTATAATCATAGAAAAGCTAATACTGCCATTGCATTTATTTTAATGACTGCAGTAATCGCTTATGGTTTCTTTTTTGAACCAGACATATTACCTATGGATACATTCAAAATGTATGAAAACTTTTCATAATAAACACTTGTGGATTAAGTATGGCATATGTGCAATGTATAATAATATAGAAATAGGTGTAATGTTTGAAATATCTAAAAATTACTTATAAGTTATAAAATAATCATATATTTTTTTAACTATTTTTATTTTCTTTCTAATTTCATTGAAACAAAAGTATATTATTAAATTTGGAGTATAGTTATCAAATTAGTAATCCAATTTAATGTGTTTATAAAAGATTACTCTAAAATTAAAAAATTCAAAAGTAATAAATGGGTTTTATTCGAATGGTTATGGATAAATCAAATTTAAATTACCCAAATATAGATTAGGATTAGATATTTAACTTGAAAATTCGATACCATTTTTACTTACTTTGAAATTCAAAATAATGCATGGCTGCTAAATACCTCATCATTCATGTTTATGCAGCCAAAATATCATATGTTAAGATTCATCTCAAGAAATGTTTCAGTTTTATATATATTTTCTCATTCCTAAGGTTTTATAATGATAATACCAATTTCTTTATTTAGAACTTTAGAATCAAGATTTTCAGCATAATTTTATATGTAAAATTCTAAAGGTAAAGGGATTCAAAAAATAACATTAATATTATTGAAAATTAGGACTAATTTAATTTACTTAATTAAATTGTCTATAAATCTTCTCCTTCAATTTTATTCTAACATATATTGTATTTATTTATGTTGACAATCTCGAGTAAAAATAATATTTTTAATTTTAATTGTTAAGATAATATATTTAACAATCAGCTGATGCTTTATAATTTTAATTCAATTCAATTAAATCTCCTTTGATTAATGTGATGTATTTTTTATTTTTAGCCATTTCTAATAACAATTCCTTCATCTTTTAATTGATTTCATTTAATTGTTAAATAGTTTCTTCTTTTTTGAATAAGAAGTAAATCTTATTAAATGTGTAAAAACAAGAATTGATATAAGTCTTATTATTCCTACTAAAATGAAATTTGTTCTTTTTCATCTTTTATATATACAACTGTCGAAAATCTAATAATTATCAACAATGTAGCAAAAATAAAAAAATCGAACAATTCTTTTAATGATATTTAAACATGCTTGCTTGTAATTTTGTTTAAACCAAAATCTGTCTTATCATTTCTATTTTGTCTTAATCAATTTATATAATTATCAGACATATAGAAGAGCTTTTGCTCATTTTTGTTTATAAACAGAATATTTTCATTTTTGTGCATTTTGGGTGGTTAGTCTGCCTTTCTTATGGAGTTGAATTGGATGTTCTATTATTTTGAATTCCAAAATTATAAACATTTATTTAGAGAAGAGTCTTTTTTAATTTAATAACTAACTTTAAGCAAATGTTTTCATTTTATTAATTTGCTCTAATAAATATTGTGATTGTTCTTCTTTGTTCATTTTATAATAAGTTGAAATAATACTATATATATTACACTTTAACTTAATTATATATATTATTTCTAATATGTATTTAAATTTATATAATATTACTATTATTATATAAATTTTTCTTTTTATAAAAATTTGATTTTAACAGATTTTTCTTTCTAAATCCACAAAATATACTCAGTCCCTCAAAAAATGTTTTTTTTCTATTTTTGTTAATCAAATTCTAAATTTAGACGTATTAAATTAAATTTTCCTAATTCTATAATCGATTCTAATTAAAATCAAGTTATTTTCACTTATGAATAGTTTATGACAAATTTAGGTTAATACTAATTCATAATCTTATTATTTATTTCTTCCATAATGTGATTTCACTTAAAGCATGATGATTGTTACAGAATAGATTTATTAGAATTTGATTTTAACAACCAAAATATTTATATTTGAATTATATCTAAAAATAGACATGAATAAGAAAATGAATTATACAATGAATGTATTATGATACTTAAAAGAAATATATGAATATGTATCAAATTGGGTTCAATTTTTGTAGTTGCTCAGCTTCTTTAACAAGTTATTGCTGCATTATCTCTAGTATTTTAATATTTTTATCCAATTTTTGAACTTATTCTGATATCACATTATGCCAGGGATAAAGCACAAAGGCTTAAAAGCTCAATGCACAGAGTCCTACAAACATATTCACTTTAGGAAGAACCATGATTTTTGCTAAGTTTAGTTTAATTTATTAATTAATTTCTCTTCAATCTATTTTTATGCTTTGAAGGAAGATTTTTTCCATTAATTTCTAGAAATCTATAGTTTAATTCTAAATTTAGATCAAAACAATATACAAAGCTTCTTCATCCTCAATTAGTATTCAATATCACTCATAAAATTGTCTTTTTAACATTATTTATATTATTGCTACTATTTTTAGGATATCAATATTTATTATAAAAATAGAAAATACACATATTCATAAAATCACATCACACACTTTTTGCATTCTTTAGAATTTTTTACTTTATCAAATCTTGATTCTTCTCCATATGTGTTTTCAATTCTACTTCCATTTATTCTAATCTTCTAATGTTGTTTTCTAATTTATGAACTTACTCAGAAATTGTTTCATGGCAAGGATACAAGACTAATGCTTAAAAGCATAAAGCTGTAAAACCAATAGCAAAATTCATCTTTATTATTCCCATTCTATTCAAAATGATTTATTTTAATAATTCTTAATAAATGTAAGAATACTTATTTTTATATTCAAATTTTTATGTATTAATTATTTTTATAATATTTTTAATTAGATTGTTATTCTATTGATTATTAACTAAAAGTCTATTCATTTGACACATATTATTAAAATTTATCATTTTATTTCATGAGAATGATTAGAATAAATAAAAATATAAAGTATTAGTGAATTATAAATTAGTTTTTTAAAATCATTTATAGTAGATCATAGATAATATAGATAAAATGATATTAATGATACTAAAAATATTATTTTAACAATTATTAATTGTTCTTTGATAATTATATGTAAAAATAAGAATTATTATTCAATATTGAAAAGATAAGATATTAAGTTAAATCATGAAGATAAAGTCTAAGAAATTTATTAGTACCTGGTTGGCTTTCTAGAAAATTATTGAAAATACAATTACTTAATAAATTAGAATAAAAAATAAATTTATATTAATCATTTATACTATTCTCCTTTTAACAATGCTGGCCCCATTAATAACTAAACCAATTGATCCTACAAATACTAAAAGATACATTGTTCTAATGGAAATTAATTTCTAAAGAAGAACATTTAATCAGATTTAGACAGTTATTTACTTATTACATTTAATCAAAAAATCTATTCTTGTTCTTATTCTACCATTTTTAGAGTTTTTTATTTCATAAGGTTTAAGATATTTTATCAATATTTTAATAGAATATAAAAATTGCTATAATTATATCTCATCATAATATTGATTTTTAATAATCAGATTCAACTTTAGATTGTGTTTTAACTCTTTTTTTGTTTTTTGTTTAATCATCTTTATTTTAAAAACTATGTAAAGGATGATAAGTATTTATAGAATCTGTCAACATAAATCCTTACATTTAATTATCTGATAATCTGTCTAATCTAGAACTCATAGATTTTGATTTCATAAATGATTGATAATTTGATTTGATAATATCTACTTTAGATGAAATGTTTGGATTTACAACTCTAACATGTTATTTGGCTACTTTTATTTAGGGTAATTATTAAGAATCTTCTTCATTTGATTATCTAAAAGATATTTAATCTCTATTTGTAACAAATGAAGGTATTTACCGATGACGAACTGATTATAATAATTCTTTCACAGTGCTATTTTATTTACTAAAATAGGGAGTTTTTGCTCTATATTAAATAAATATAGTATTTACTTTGGTTTAGCTGGCTAAAACTATTCAAATTATTTTTCTACTCTTATAAGAAGACATTTTTAGAAATTATCTCCTGCCAATTTTAACATATTAAATTCCTCTTATTTTTCACCAAATTATTCATCTAATTTAGTATGTTAATCAATAATTGATTTATTTTATTCAACCATTTATTACTTTGAGAGTTTTGATTAAAATGTTGAGCGAAGAATAGGAGATGATAAAAATGGTTTCGCCTCATCTTTACCAAATTCATTTGCATATCTTCTTTCAACAGCTAATGCTTCCTCCTTCTTTGTAAGATAAAAGTTACAACTCTTTGTCTTTACAATATCTTCAATTCTCTTTCTAAAAAGAAAGCTATTTCTTTGTTGTAAAGAATTTAGAGCTTAAAAAAATTCAGGAAATGTTTTCCTCACAATATGATAATTCTCAAAATAATTAATATAATATTTTACTTCTAAAGAGAGACAATAACAATTACAAATGGTTAATGTTTTAACAGAGTAGTCTCTTTTTTCTTTTTTTTAGACTACTTCTGTTTCTCCAACAAAGCATCCTCCTGTAAGATTGGCTAAAATAATGGTTTCTTTGATATCTTTGACTTCTTATTTAGAATTTTGGAATAAAGACATTAATGTAAAATCTACATTATTTTGACTTGGTGGTTTTGGAAATTCAACATTTTATAATAGTTACATTTCACCATCTTTTAATAATAAGAATCCATCTGTTTCATCTCCTTATTTCCAAATGAAAAAGTTAGCTGGAAATTTTGCAGATGTAAAATACAAAATAAGTTTAGACATTTTGTGTTTCGTCATATGTGGAAACATTTTTAAAAAATAATCTATCTTTTATTGTAATGCTTTCATTCCTTTTTCTCCCACTTACTAAATTGATATATTAGAATTACCTTAAAATTAGCTTTAGACAATGATAATAATTTTAAATCAGTTAAACCAAAAATACTGGCAGTTCTAGGTTTATCATTAGTTAATGCCATTTCACCAAAGATTGTACCAGAATATTTTTAAGCAACTAACATAAATTTACAAATTCCTTGATTGGTGAAATATTTTTCAAAATTTCCTGATCGAAATAATATTAATTCAGAATCAATCACTTTTTATGGTTTAGTTTATTTTTTAATAACTTAACCATAAAATTTCATCAATTCCTCTCCTTACAATTAAGAAATGGATTCTAAATGCATTTTTTCAAGCATTTTTAAAATTCTTGGTTAAGCAGCAGCTTCATCAGCTTCAATAGCTGCTGGTTATCTTCTAATATAGATTCCTGCTCTACCACTTAAAACAATATAAAATTTATCACCAACATCATCTAAATATGATGTTAAAATCTACCAATATGAAAAGCAGGATAATCTTTAGGGATGAATTCATAAATCAGATTTTGGCAACATAATTTAGTAAATTCCATTAATGTTTGTGTGTCAGGACAATTTTCCTTAAAAAAATCAATAACCTGAAGTAATTTAGCAATTATATCGATTTGTTCATCTGATAAATAGTGATAATCTTGATAGATTTAGACAACGGGCTTGTTATTATTGTGATATCAGTAATACTTAAAATAATTCTTCTTTTGCTAAGGCCTGATCTTCCTGTTCTTTTTCAAAATCTTTGGTTAATCCTCTTTTAAGTTTCGACATATTTAATGTGTTAATGTATTATTATAAATGATTATATGATAATTTGATGCAAAATAAAATTATATATGTGCATTTCATTCAATCTTTGTTTATAAGACCTTAATCTTATCTCCTAAATTCACTACAATTTCTTTAACCTTACTTCTAACTCTCACAAATCCTTATAATTTATCATTAACAACTTCAGCACTAACATTTAATAAGAAATCGTCATCTAATTATAAATGATAAATGAATACCAAATTTGGTTTAAGCATACATATTAACACAAATGATGTTTCCTTTTGGATGGTTTTCTTCTATAGACTTAGCTTTTAATTGTTTTTCTAAAAATGAGACATATTTAAAAGGATCACTTAATAATATAGATCGATAATTACTTATGATTAGTATTAATAACAATTCTATTCTCCCATTCATATTTAGCCCATAATTTTCTGAATTATTCAATTTAGATGGTAGCAGGTAAAATGAAATCAATTAAATCAACATTAATTTCTTTAGTTACTAAATAAGCCTATTCTATTCCTGCATTATTTTCATAATGAATGGCTCCATATACAACTCCAATATCTTAAGATGAAAACTTAATTGTTGTTCTAACTCTAGCAGATTGATTAGGTTGTAAGATGACACCTTAAGCTTTTTCGATAACTTTGCTTTCTCCTTAAGTTCTAAATTCAACTTAAACATTTTGAACCATTTTTGACCATCTATTGACCATGAGTACTTCAAATTGTATATCATATTTATGAACATTTACAAATGCTTCAGCATAGATAGGATCACAATATCCAGTTAATTAAACTATATGTCCTAATCTAGAAACATAAGTATTTTCTTCTTATTTAGTTGCAACAGAAGTTTCATCATCTGCTAAATCAATTTCATTGAATTCTGAGATTCCTTTTAATTATCTAATAATGATGGGATCATCAGGTTATTTGAGAATCTTATCAAAATTTTGATGAGTTCCAATTTGATTATTCTACTCAACCACAATATCAGATTTTTTATATAATTCTTATAATTTTTCTTACGGATTTTTGCCAGTTAAAATCCTAATACTTGAAGTAATAGTTTCCAAAGTATCTTAATCAATTTTAGCAGTATTTTTTTGATAATAACGTAAGAGTGAACAGAATATTAAAAGCATCTAACTAGAGTATTTATTGAATTCTTAAATTTTAGATAACAATTTTATGAATGCTCTACTTAAAGAGGAGGCAAGAAAAGAATTTTGCATTAATAATTCTCTTAATTTTGATATATGTTCTTCAGTGTCTTATTTTTCAACAACTTATGTTCCATAAGTACCATCAGGTAATATTACAGTTTTAACAACTTATTTATTTTCATCTTCTTATTTAACAATTACCTTCTCATGTTCTAGAGGTAGATTTCCAATAGCTTTTTTAATTTGATTAAATGATCTTATTGGATTAATACTATAATCACCAAGAACTGTAAATGTTGCTTTATATAATTCCATGTGATGAATATCCAAAAAACGATTAGAAAGAGCTGTTACAATTTTATGTTGAATAGGTTGATCAGATAATTAAATTAATTTAACAAGTGTTTATCCTGCTAATTAAGCACATTAATCATCCATTTTATGATTACATATAATAGAATCAATAAAAGTTTAAGCTACAACTTCATGAACTTGAGAGAATTTATGAATCATAGGGTTGATTAATTATAACATTAAAACCTTATATTCTGATTAATCATTTTAATTCTAACATTTTTAGAATTCCTTTTATAATGATTATGCTAATAAAACAACATTTTCATTTTTTAATTAAAACAACTTTAATACCTTTCTTCTTATGTCAATACTCTATTGATTAAGTAATTAAGATAAATCTTAAGTTCTATCCTCTAAGACTCTAGGATTCAATTGATTTACAGCCTCTAATCTATCCAATATTACTAATTTGATATTATTGTCTGTCTAAGTGTTAATCAATTACATGTAGATTTGAACTGCTATCTTTAAAGAGGCTAAACTAGGTGATACAGCAAAAAGAGTATTCGCACATTCATATTAAACAGATGCTGATTTTGACTTTGAAAATTAATAAATAGATTTCAATAGTTTAGGTTTCTATTAAGGATCTTTCTTACAAACTTTTCTAAAAAGTTCTAAAATTGATAATTATAAAATATCTCCAAATTAATTACTATCATCTGAATAATTAATGCTTAAATAATCAAGTGCCTTCTATTAATTAGCATGGAATAATAAGAGAAAGGCATTTCTTTTAGTAGATAAATCTGTTTCATTTAATAACAATTTCTCCATAAGTTCATCCAAATCTGAAATTAAATCATCTCCGAAGTTTAAAAATATTTCATATAAACACACTACTGCATTCCTTCTTACATATACATGTTTGTGATTTACATTCTCTACTATTGCTGTTTACAATGGCTCCAATATTCCCTAATTTATTCATTCATATATACACGCAATTAAATTCTACTCAAGAGCTTAAGTGTTCTTCCTCTTATGTATTCATTTGGATGCAACAAATCTTTTCTTAAACTATTGCAAACAAGGATCATTTCTTCCTTTAATGAACCATTTGCATGAGTTTTCTCTATTACTTCCCAATAGAAAAGCAGAATCTTTTTTAATGAATGTGTCTCATCTGATAAAGGCACAAGAGAATTTATTACATTCATTACCATTCTAGGCATCTATTCGTCATGTATAATCTGAATTACAAGGGATTTCAATGCCTAATCATTTTATTTACTTTTCTACTTTCAATTTATCTTCAAATTTTCCATTATCAAATGCTTTTGCTATTTCCTATTAACTCATAGGAGCATCTTCAGGTATTACATAGACACTGCACATTCTATCTACTTTCACTTAAGTCATTTTTATTAATATATTAATATATAAATATACGTGTCTATTTTATTACTTATTATAATCACAATTAATAATCACAATTAATCTAACCATTCTTTATTTTCACCATCTATTGTTTCAAAACAATCCATTCCAGAAAAGTCTCTTATTTTTGGATCAGCTCCATTTTTTAATAACAATTCTACAATTTCTTTATTTCCTGAAAGACAACCATAATGTAATGCCGTCATTCCAGATACACTTTCTTAAATATTTATCAAATTATTCTATTTATAATAAGGAATCAATAATTTTAATGCTTCAATATTATCATCATCTACAACAACATGAATCAATTTTATTTATTGTTCATTTTCACATTACAAATATTTCACTTCATTGTGAACCTTCAGTAATTCACTCAATCTATCAGTGTTATGAAGTGAATCTAAAATCTCTTAAAATATTTATTATTCTTTCTCATTCAGTTCAAAAACTTATTCAATTTTTTATCCTGTTTTATTAATCTTCTCTATGAATGCTTCATTAGTATCATGTTCTGCATTCTTCATTGTACTAACTTTCATTCCAAATTATGAATTCTAAACACTACCATTATTGCATTCAACTCCATTTTCTATATATTCTTCTATTTATTTAATATATAATTTCTCTGCATCTGCTTTATTTATTCCCTTACACTTAGACCATGCTGTCCATTTAGCATGATCTTATAGATATAAACGCATGGGCTCTGGAATATTGCAATCACCCACAGTTGCTTATTTATATAAACTATATAGCAATAATTGATCTGGTTAACTTAGCCCTACTAAAGTTCTGCCTTTTTTAGCAGCCTCTTTGAATTCCTGTGAGTTCTCAGATACATCACTTTCTTAATTCAATTTTGGTTGCCTTTTCCAAAATAACAAACTCCCTACAATTGTAGTTATTGTTATGCCTACAATCCATGTCATCTTTTGATTTATCTTGCCCAAAATTTAAAAATTCATATTATAATTATTATCATTATAATTTAACATCAGCTATAAAATCAGATGGATATTCCTTCCAACATTCTTAAGTTGCCATCCAAATCTATATCTTGATGCTTATATTCTTTTTCAAACTATCTAGATTTAAATGTCACAAATCTTATTGCAATTTCCATCCAAAATTCCAAAAGATATTCACTATAAATTAGAATAATTCATCCTAATTTTTTATCAATTCCTCACAATTATCTGATATTTTAAATTGCAGTTTCAATCCTAATTTTTTCTAATCCATTTAATTTATATTTTATGTTTTGATGATAATCGATAGAGTGTTTATTTATAACATTAATTCTCTGATTATGAAATTATTAATGCTTTCTTAAACATAACATTTGAGAATAGAGTTAATTAATTTAATTCCATTAAATAATTTTTTCAGGAAATCCAAAGTCTTCGATATCATAGACTAAGACTCACCAAATTATTTGTTCCTTAATCCAAAATTGTATAACTTTATTGAATTGCATTTCCTATTATATTTTTGCATTGATAGTTTTTTTATTTTCTGTAAATTTATTTTCTAATGTAATATAGTTTCATTTATTAGGAGAAAATTAATTTATTCTTTTGTGCTAAATATTTTTTATATTTGTTTGTCTAGCAATTATCAATTAATTTTAGTTAGTAGTAATTAAGATAGTTATCTGGAAAAGTTTATATTATCATTGATAGAGAGTGCAAATATATATATAGTTTGATCTAAAATCATATTTAATTATTGGTATGGTTAAATTGATTGATGACATTTTACTTTCCAATTGAATGTGTTTTTAGTAGAAGTTTTATTTTTTTCTTTGAATTGTTATTGTACCTTGATTCTTAAATTAATAAATTTGGAGTATTTAGAATTGATTGATAATTAAGTTGAGTTTATTTGAGAATTTCTTGAGGTGCTAGATAATTTTGGTTTATCATGTGATTTTTGAACAATTATTTCTTTAATACTGTCTGTTTTATTCAGTTTATTTAATTTTATACATATATGTCAACTGATGTTGATTACTATAGTAAATAGAGAAGCATATCACAATTACCTTAACGCAGACATCAACATTTTGATTGTTACGACATTATTACACAAGACCAACATTATCAAGATTTAGTGAATTTGGCTGCAAAATTAAGGTATAACAGATTAGATCGCTTTAAAATGTTTGTATTTAATGGAATGCTACAACGAAATCAAGCACTTCAATCTTTAATAGAAAAGAGTTTTCGTCGTGGAACTAGACTCCAAACAGAAGAGAGAGTCTTATAGCCAATTAAACAAGGAATCAGAAGAATCTCATTAATAGATTACCCACAATTAGGACGAAAAACAGTTGAGAGATTGAAGGTTTAATAAGAGAAAAACAAAAAATTATTGAAAGCAATTCATCGCAATAACGAAAATGAAATTTCCACATTCACCACGGAGTGAGAGTCATTTGATCACAATATTATTACTTAGATTTCGGTACTAATATCGGTTTTTAGTTTGACACCTTAATTTTAAAATTTATATTTTATTTCTTCTTTATCAAGCAAGGCAATGGTTATATTTGAGTAATTATTGGTTCTTATTTTTAATCTAATGATTTGTTATCACAGATGCTATTTACGCGTTTAGTTCTTGATCCATCATTTGAAGTGCTTCGTAATGATCTTTTTGGCTTGCATAATTCCTTACGAGGTGACCATTTCTTCAATTATTTTAAATAAATAGGGATTGTTGGTTCTAACTACATCAAAGTTGTATAATCCATTTTTGTATGTTCAACTAGATTCTGAAACAGATGCTTATTCAATTTCGGTTATTATGATTGTAAGTATGTTCTTTACATACTCAATAAGCTTAATCCTAAATGGCTATTCATATTTCTTTATATATATATATATAAATTATTTAATGGATCAAATTGTTGCTTTAAAATATTTATTTAAAATACTTCTTTCAATAATAGAGTAAAAAGAGCTATTAAATTAAATTCTGGAAGGATAAAAGAAAACATAATATCAAAAAAAAACATACAATCATTATCCATATCTAATTATTTTTTTCAAGGCTTTTTTTTAATTTATTTTAAGTTAATTCATTGTTATTCTATCAATTTATTTATGTGATTTACAAGAACAAAAATGAGGTACTTTTTAATTAAAAGATATTGAAAATTCTCAAATTTATTATAATTTATAAATGAGTTTAATATTTTAAGGAGCGCTTAGTTTTATAAAAAAAGCTGAAATATGCAAAAAAAATAATTAAGATGTCGAAATAGGTAGAGGAGGATATGGAGTTGTATACAAAGGTTAAATATTAATTCAATAAAAAAATCTACCTGATAAATTAGTAGATGTTGCTTTAAAAAGAGTTCAAATACCAAAAAGCAAAGATTAACGAACAAGAATGATTGAGTTAATAAAAAGAGAATTATCTGTTTTTAAATCGGTTAAATCTCCACATATTGTAAAATTATATGGAACCAATCAAATTGTTTAAAAAAACAAATTAGAAGAACTAGATTTTATTGAATTTTATTTAGAATATTGTGAAGGCAATTTAGCCGATTTAATTGTCGATCAAGAGAAATGGGTTGATGTACCATTTTCTGAGGAAAAAGCTTCAGAAATTTTTGATCAACTATTAGAAGTAGAATTCTTACTCTAAAAATCAATATTTATGAGATCAAGTACACTGTTTGAGGGTTTGTATCATAGGGATATTAATTTAAAAAACATATTGTATAAAAAAAAAAAGCATAAAATACAAGTTAAAGTTTGTGATTTTGGTATTTCCCAATACATCAAAAGCGAAACGACCGCTCATATGGGAACAGAAGTAAATATTTTATTTAATTCTAGTCTTTTATGAGTCCAGAAAATAAAACCAATTAAGTTTATGATTTAGAAAAAAATGAAACATGGTCTCTAGGCCTTTTGTTATTTTGTTTACTAAAAGGAATTAGATTTTATCAAAATAATCAAGTAATTTTCTACAATAAAACAAATGAGCATCATTAATTAATAAAAGATATGAAAATCAATCAATACACGAAAGAATTATTGATAAACTTATTATAGTATGATCCTGATAAAAGATGGGGATATTCTGACATTAAAAAATCAGAATGGTATTACCTAAATGGTTCAAAGAAAGTTAAAAAATTAGAAAAAATATCACCTATTCTAAGGTTAAGGTAAAATTATTTTCATGAACTTACTCGTCAATTGATAGAATATGAAATTCAAATTAATAATGCATAACTTGGATTGGAATTTTAAATTCCTTAAGAATTATTATTAATAACAATCAAAAATTATGAATTTTGGTCATAAAAATAATTAGAAAAATACAGTGGAACTTATGCATATGAATACTTTGATGAATATGATGATGAAGAAACATAAAAACTATTCAAGCAATAAATGTAAAAACAAGAATACTAATTAATAACAATTACAAAATAACTCAATGATTTCTTTATTTATATTAAATATGGTGAATAAAGGCTAAAGATTAAGTAAGATGAAGTATTAAAATCAATAGTAGAGTATTGGATCAAAGTTTTAGGAGACAACTCTTCATGCATCTCTACTTTCAAACCAGATACACTATTTTATTATTTGAATTATTTAAAGGAGATATAATAAAAACTAGTTAGTTAATTCTCAATATTGCCAATTAATAATAACGAAATTCAACAATTAAGGGATAAATTATATAAATCAATAACAGAATCGACAAATATATTAAAAAAATTTGAAGAAGCATTTGAAAAATTCTAATAGGCGTAGGAGAATGAATCGTAATAATAATTTTCTGTTATTTCATTAAAAGAAACAATTAATGTAAATAAAAATCAAATTAAATTGGAAGAAAATGATACAAGTTTGAATCAATTGCAGCTTTCAGTGTAGGAATATCAATAATAAATAGAAGAATGCTAAGCTAAGATTAATAAAAAAAAAAATCAATTATAACTTCTAGATGATAGAGAAAAAAAAAAAACTGTATTAAAAACATTAGAGGAAATATAAAAATTATTTGATCAATTTTTTAGATGGAAACATCAAAAAAACTTTGAGGAACATCTAAAGAGTACAAATTGATAAATATTAAATTAAAAATAAATTAATTTATTATAACTAATGACATCTCAAATTAAATTCGAACACATTTTTCTTTCCCTTAAATATATGAAATTTTTTGTTTAAATATATTAAGGTTTAATATCTAAAATATGGGCAATTATGAATTACATGAAATTTATGAAAATCAGGATTCGCAGTAATCATTTTAGAAGCCAAATAAAATGCTATTTTAAAGTCTATTCTTCCTTCTTTAAAATTTAGCAGTATTTATTATGCTTGAAGAGTAGGAGCTTAATAACCAACAACAATTAAAGCAGGATGATTATAAATTTATTTTAGATATTGTATTAATCGAAAAAACCCCAATCCTACTAGGTTTTTAGCTAAAATCACAAAAATGACATTTAATAGCTATCAAAAAAAGAGGAGGATTATTAAAAAAAAAAGAAGCTCTATAAAACATGAATAAATAAAATATAAACGAAAGAAAAGCGGGTTCATATGCACGAAAAGATGATTAGGAAGGTCTTTGATTTAATAGAATTAAAAGAGAAAAGATCGCCTCAAAAGTGAAACAAGATTTTTGGAAGTGAAGGGGATTGGAAATTCAGACACTTAATGGAGAATGGAAGGCACCTTGAGAAGTAGAAGAGAAAAAACTATCATGGCAAGATAATAAGCTTTAGAGAACTAATATAGAATTTATCTTTAATTTCAAAGGGAGAAACACAGCCGAAACACTTCTTTTTATAAAGATATGTTTTGAAATTTTTTGTTCTTTTATGTTAGAAATTCTCATTTTTCATTTAAAATTAACTATAACTAAGCTTTTTTTAAATAATTTTTTAAATAAAATCAATTTAATTTTAGATGAGAATTCTATCATTTTATCAGGCTTAAAAGTTTTAAAATTTAGTTTTAACTAATTTTTTTCGTTTATCATCTGTGATTTATAGTTATTGTATGAAGCTAATAAATTAGAGAAGAATTGTTAATTTTTATATACGAGTTAATAAGTGATTTATTTCATCTAAAAGTTATGAACTAATACTATGATAAATTGATAAAATATGGAATATGGTTCAATATTCCTAATCTTTACCAAGGAAAACTTTCTATTTCTTCCAATTCCTTTAGTCTCCTTTTTTTTTCTCCCTCTTATTGAAAATGATAATCAGTGCTTTTCTAATCTACTTACCTCTCAATGATTTATGATTATCAATTATTAGTAAAAATAACTCTCTTGATTCAATTATTTCAACCAAATTTGCTAAAATAAGGAAGGACTTTTTAAGTTAAGGATTATAATCTTTGAAAAGGTCAGTGTCATTAAACTACAGTAGTTTTTTTTGTATAATGTATGTGAAAATTTTACATTAATTATCAGAACAGCTAATCCTGTATTTCCAAAAATCTAAATTTGCAACTTGTGCTTTAGATATTAGTAATAATAATAATGATTAATAAAAAACAATATTGCATTATAAAGAAGATATATAGAAAGAATAAATCTTCTGTATAAAAAGATTTTATTTTAGAGCATTTTTATCTTTGTCAATTTGATATAATATAAACAATTAATTATTATTATTTTTAATTTTTTAGAGAGGCAGTAAAATTTCAAATTTAAGTGAAAAAAAAATTAAAAAGTCCTCTACAGAAAAATAAAATTTAAGATTTTAATTGAGTTGACAATTTATTTAATTAGTCCTAAAAGTTTTTAATATTTTTTATGATTAATTCTAGTAGGCTAATATTACAGAAATATTTAAATATAATTCCAAATTGTAAAATATTTATTGTAAAGTAAAGTTGAAAATTCTGTAAGTTTAATTTTAAATAGAAAAACCTATAAATTGATATAGATACTACTTATCTAAAATGAGGATAGAAAAAGGATGTTCAATATATATTGTACAAGTTTATGTTTCTTAAAAAATAGATTTACATTAATATTCAATAACATCACGGTCACAAGAAAAATTGTTAGAGGACTGTCGTTTAGTGTATCAAATAATGCTAGCTAAGAAGAAAAATTGCTGGACTACATTAAATAAACAAAATTTAGGCTATTCAGATTAATGAAGTATAAGGATTAATGAGATTTTAAAAGTCTGGTAATTTGGCTTCTCTTCTCTTAAAATCAAATTAACCAAACAGTAACAGAATAAGATAAAACTGAGCCTCGATTCTCTAACATAAAGAGTTGGAAACACTCCAAGATCTTAATAATCTAGTTAATATAAAAAATAGAATAAAATATACAGATATTTAATAGCATCTTATATATTCTCATTACTTAAAATATACAATAATGCACGTCATATTATCACAACCAGTGCCATCTATTAATAACTAAAATATTTATACTTTAAGTGTCCTTAGCGATTACTTAATCAAGCAATCCTTCTGCAGCTTGTTAAATAATTTCTTATGTCACTTTGTACTTGAGCTATGAATTCACATAATTAATTATTTATTCATGTTCCCAAATCTCAAAAACTCCATCACATCCCATCAATAAAAATCTAAAACTTATTAAAATATATTACTTATCGTTTCCTTAAATTTCTTCCTCTTTCACATCTGGAACTGCTATAATTATTTGTTCATCTTGCCTAAATTTCTCATCTTTTTTATATTCTAAATCTCCTAAAGCTCTACTTAATGATAAATTTCCTTTCCTTAAGTTAAATTCAATACCATTAGTTCTCCCATTCGATACAAAACCTCCAGCTAACTCAATTCTTCTTTTTTCTTTTTCAATATCTGGTTTATGGTCCTTACTCAAATCATAAGGAGTATTATTTCTACACAACATGGCTCTTGAATCTCCAGCATTAGCTAAATAAACTTTTTTCCCAACTATCAAAGCAACATTTGCTGTACTTCCTGCTTGTAATTCTATCAAAATTAATTAAAAAAAACTCTACCTTCAGTATTCCCTTTAATTTGTTTTAATTCCTCCTGACCTTCTGGTTTGAAAAGTAGTTGATCTATCTACAGAAAGGTATCAATTAAAGCCTGCTTATAATTTTTCTTTTTGTAATTAGAATTTTTCAATAATTCTTCCTCAAAATGTCTCTCAGCAAAGATGGCTACTTCATTGCCTCCATGTCCATCAAATACAGCAAATAAGGAAACTCCTGGCTCAATATCTAACTTAGATATATGAGCATCTTCCATAGTATTTCTCCAACCTTTTAATTTATAGAATTTTTATTATACCTTGCATGTGAGTTGCTGCAAAGATAAATTATTCATTCTCTCCTTTAAATGTTGATTTTTCAACATTTGGTGTTGCAAGATAGGGTCCCATTTTATTTAATTTATTATTTTTGATTTATCATTTTCTATCAACTTTATTACCTAATTCTATAAGAATACTTTTCTATTTAAAAAATATTAAAATATAATTCTTTTAATTTATATTACATTTCTTTACATTCCTCCATAGAGTGGAGTTGTTGAATTTAGAATTTGTAGAAAACATTTTTCAAATTTCACTTTTATTAAAATAATAACCATTATTTTATTAATGTATATTTTTTTATTAATAGATTAATTTTTCTTTAAATGTATAAATTTTATCAAAATAAAAAATAAATAAGTAATTAATAAATTTTATCTACCAGACTTAATCAATTATTTTTATCTACATATGTTAAATTTTCTATTCAAAATGCTCATTAATTCATTTCTCTACTTAGGAATTGGGTCTTCTCCTTTGGAAAAGAAATATAGGTAGGTTTTGGGAATTTGAATTTTTGTGGATTTGATGGCATAAAAAAACAAAAATACTTAATTAACAGAATTGATGGAAAGACAAACATTACAAATAGTTCTAAAAAACATTTATTTTTTTGTTTTTTTCCTTTTATTTCTGCTCTTCATTTAACTGAACAATATTTTATGGATAATTTATTATAAAAAAAACAAGGCAAGAAAACAAAAGAAAATAAGCTTTAGTAAAAATTAGAGAAAAAAAAAAAAGAAATGTAGATGATTAAAGAAGTAGGTGAAGATTACTAAACGAAAGCGGATCTATATGAAATTTTAGCCTCAATACAGGATTAAGATGAAATAATCTTCAAAGGGATTTTTGAACTGGCTAGAATAAATTACATTTATCATAAATTTCAATGAGTAAGTTTTAAAAACTTCATTTGTTTTAATTATAAATCCTATATTTATTAAATGTAAATCCAATTATAGAAATTCTATATTATTATTAAATCGATGTTAAACTAATGTGGATGGAACTTATTAGAAAAACCAATAATATTCAACATTGGAGCGAATACAACTGAGTTATCCTTAGCTGATCTACCTCCAAAAGCCAGAAAAGTCAAGCTTTATGTTTATTATCATTTTGGATACTGTGTATCAACGCATAAAACTACTACTTGGAGTTTATATACAAAAGTAGATATTATTAAGATAGCGGGAACACCATATTAACAACAAGCTAGTAATGATAATACTTAGACTGGTACTTTCATGCTTGATGAAAGAAAAATTATAGAAGTAAGTAGAAATGGAGATTTTCCAAGTGGGAATTTTTAATTTTTGGTAGAAGTTTTAGCATATAAATGAATAAAATAAAAATGTATTTCATATTCAAGTGAAATAAATCAAATCTATTTTCATGTTAACGAAATATAAATAACAAAAATTATCATATTATTCGGGTTTGGTTGGCCATATATTTTTATGGGTTTGGTTTTGACTACATATTCTTGACTATTTTTACCCTGAGTAGTAATATGGTTAGACATGTTAGGAAAAGCTGAAAAAAGGGCTTCACCGTCCCCAATCCCCAATTGGCGATTGGGGTTGGGTTTGGTTTTTACACACCCTCTACCACACCCTAGTACTAGTATTATGGTTGGGGCCGTTAGGAATTTTGCCAAATCCGATAATCGTCAAACCCCAACCCCAACCCCTGTTTTGTGATTGGGGATTGGCG